AATAACAATAGATCTTTTATTAATCGATAAAATCAATAAAAAAGAAATTTTAGTATAATACAAAAGATTTGTCAAACTTTTCGAAGATTTATAGAATTTGAGGATTTTATTAGAATATAAGCTTTGAGATTATAAAATCAATTTCAAAAAAGAATTTATATTTTTTATTGAGAAGTTGAGATTATATAATTCTAGTATTATATAGATATAAAAAGAATACAAAATTAAAGTTGAAAAGAAAGAATAGATTAGGAAATCCAAATCTCTTTGTATATCTAATATATTATTAATATTCAAAAAAAATAATCTAGATAATTGATTTTATAGAAATTATTATTAAATTAATAATGAAACAATCAAAGATATATATTCAATATCAAAAGTTTAGAAGTTTAAAGATAAATTAAATAAAATAATAATTTATATAAAATTAGATCAAAAGAATATTTTCAATTTGATATAAATAAAAGAGAATTATGAATAAAAAATAATCTTTATTTTATTATTGGATTTATAAGAATATATAATTATATTATTTAGATTAATTAATATATTAGTTATATATCAATAGCAAAACAACGAGATATTCAAAAAGTTCAATTTGTTTGTAATTTATTATTTGGATGATATTTTAGTTTTCTTTTAGAAAAAGAAGGAATATAAAGAATATATATTGAAAGTATTCAAAATATTCAGAAAAATAAATTCAAGATTCAAATTATTGAAATACAAATTTGAAATATGAAAAGTAATATTTCTAGAATATATTATTCAATTAGAATAAATAAATATAGATTCTAAGAAAACAAAAAAAATAAGAAATTAGAAAAGATTTAGGAATATCAAGAATATATAATCTATATTAGAATTCGTTAATTTTTATCGAATATTTATAAAAAACTTTTCGAAAATAATAGAATTATTTACCAAAATAATCAAAAAAGAAATAACTTTTATATAAAATAAAAAAGTAGAACAAGTTTTTCAAGAAATCAAAAATAGATTTACAAAGGAATTTATTCTTTATAATTATTATAATAATCAAAAAAGCATTATCGAAATAAATATCTTTGATATTTGTATAATAGAAGTTCATTTATAAAGAGATAATAATGAGAAATTATATTTTATTATTTATTATTTAAACAAGATAAACAAAATAAAACAGAATTATAATATTTATAAAAAAGAATTCATAATTATTATAAAAACATTGAAATATTAAAGGATCTATTTTTAAGAGGTTAAATTCTTAATAATCATTTATATTGATTATATAAATCTTTGAATCTTTATTATTATTAAAGTCTTGAATAATTATAAATTAATTAAATAAATTAAGGAATTAATAGAATTTGATTTGATAATCAAATATATCAAAAGAAAGGATAATACAAAAATAGATATTTTAAACAAATTATCAGATTATAAAGATAATAAAACCTATCAAAAGATAATAATTTTGAAATCCTTATCAAATGGAAATTTTATCCTTAATCTAATAAAAATCGTTATTATAGAAAATAAATCAATAAAAGTTTGAAAAAATAAATTTATAAAAACATAACAAAATAAAAAAGATATCAAATAATCAAAATCATTAATAATTATTGATAGATTATTTCAAATAAAGAATAAAATTTGATTATTAAATAATATTATCTCTAAATATATCATAAAACAATATATATTATTAATTTACAAATATCAAAGAATACAAAGAATATATTTAAAAATCAAAAAACAATATTAAAGTCTAGGATTTTATAATATAATCAAAAAAGTAATTATTGAATATAATATTTGTATTAGAAATAAAGCTTTTCGTTATACTCTTTATAAACAAATAAATATTATCGAAATATTATCTATATTATAGAAATCAATATTATAAGATTTTATAGATTCATTATCAAAATCCAAAAATCCAATAATAAAAGTAATATACAATTATCTTTTTATTATAATGAATAGATTAATGAAATATCTGATATTTATATTATATTAGATAATATTAATTATAGAAATATTAATCTTTATATTCCTAAAAGAGATCATTATAATATATAAATTATCAAAGGAAATACTTTTTGATAAAAATAAACTTTTTATATCGAAATTTTGGATTGTTTTAGTAATATTATTAAAAATAAAAATAAAAATGTTTATTATATTTTATTTACAAATCAATAAAGAAAACAAAAAAATGAATCAAATTATTAAAGTTTATCTTCGATATTATATAAATTATTAATAAAATAATTGAATAAAACTTTTATTTTTAATACAATTTGTATATAATAGTTCAATATCAAAAGTGATATAAATCACTCTGAATTATATTAATTATAGATATAAATTGATTGTATATTATAAATCAAAAATCATAGAAATAAAGAATTAATTTATAATAATATAAACAGAAAAATTCAAAAAGATCTATAAAGAAATGATAGTAAAATTGAAATTCGTTATTAAAAGAAATATATATTATTATAATCGGAAATATAGTTAAAAATTAATATTAAAAAAGAGAGATAAAATCTATTTATTTCGAAAAAATATCGAAACAAAAAGATTTAATACAAAATTGAATTATAAGAAACTTGAATTATTCAAAATCAAGAAAATTAAAGAATCTTTAAATTATAAATTGATATTATCGAAAAATATAAATATATATCCAATATTCTATATATCTTTATTCAAACTAATATTCTTAAGAATATTTAAAGTTTTTGAAATAAAAATTATATTTATAAATTAAGATACTAAATACAAAATGAAGAAGATATTAGATTATAAATATATTAAAAATAAAATCAAATATTTAATAAAATAAAAAGATTATTTCAATTCCGAAAATATATAGGAATTTGAAAAAGAGATTAAATATCTAAAAAGGTTCTAGGAGTTTTATCAATAGAATTTAGATTTATTTAAAAAGAAAGGGAATTCATTGTTTTCTATAAAAAAGGATTGAAAGAATCGAATTCGTTTATAAGAATTTCATTGAGGTTGATAGAGTCAATTGATAATTGATCAAATCGATCAGGGGTTAATTGATCAAATTAATTAAATTGATTAAATTGATCAAATTAATCAAAAAACGATAGAAGAATTATAAGAATTTCTTTATTCTTTTCTTTTTGTTCTTTTTCTTTAAGAATATCAAATTTATTAAAGTATTTGAGTTTATAATATAATATTTCATTATATCGTTTTTTGAATTATATTTTCTATTTAATAAAACGAATAGTTTTAATAGAAGATTTAATAATTTCAATATTTAATTTATCGATTTGTTGATCAAGATTCTTTTAATTATATTTCCGAAGAATTTTATGATTCTAATTATCTTTCAAACAAAATTTAATATTATATGAAACAGAATTTTGTATATATTTCGAATAATATAAACAATGTTTATCAAAAAGATCTTTAATATAACAACGATTCTTTTATTAATAATGAGAATAAAGAATTATTTCAATATTAATAGAATCGATAATTACAATTAAATATATATATTCCTTTTTCTTTCTTTGAGTTAAATTATTGAAGGAATTAGAATTGTTTATAATAAAAGAAGAGAGATAAATAGAATATAAAAAAAGAAAAAAAAATACTAATTATTAAATGAAATTTGAAGGGTTATAAATGATTAGGATAATATTTAATTAAGAAAGAGATAATATTATAATTTACAATTAAAATAAAGATATATTGAAAAACAATAATTAATATATTTATATAAATTTAAACCTTATTGAAAAGCAAAATGTTTTGTATATAAATTTATATAATAATCATTTTATATAATCTCTTCATCTTTAGTAAGTTCGAATATATAATTTGATTCTAATCATATAATAAAGAGTTTTGGAAACTTTGAAAGTTTTTAAAGCTTCAAAAGCTTTTTAAAGCTTTAAAGCTTTACAAAGCTTCTTTATATTTATTAATATATAATCAAAATAGTTTTATAGTTTAAGAACTTTATATTCAATTTAGTTATCAATTAGTTTATCTATATTCCAATTGATCTAATAATATATTCATCTTCGAATAAATAACCAGTAATTATTAACCTTAACCTACAACTATCAATCATACGAAACCCTGAGGCAGCCGCTGCCTCAACCAGATCGTTACATGATAATGAAGATGATGATGAATGAATAATGATATTCAGAAGAAACTGAACTATCTTTCCTGTCAAATATAAGGAATCAAAAGATAAAATATTCAAAGATCTGAAATCTAATGTCAGGAAATAAAATTCTTGAAATATTATTGGTTTATTATATTTGATCAATATATAAGTTTCTTAGTTTTATATAAACAACTTTAGTTTATTAGATTTAAATTCAAGTACTTTACTTTTATATCTTTTAAATTATTTTTTATATCAAAAATCATGAATTTTATTTATTATTTAATAATTTTATAATTAATAAATCAATAGAATTTGATAAAATTTAAAAATTTTATTAATAAATAAAAAAAGTTATTTTTAATATAAAAAAGTGATTCAAAAGTAAAATGTTCTAAAAGTGAAGTATTAGACTGATATACAATATATAAATTCCTCAGTTTTCATATAAAACTTTGGTACATTAGATTCAAATCTATATATACTTGAGTAGGTAGCTAGCTGTATACCTAGTACATCAGAACATACCCCCCCCTCGTATGATATTAGATATTCGTAAGATAGATGTCAACGAGTTTTAATATATTAACATCAGGGGGGTTCGTATCATGTATAAAATACTCCATAGATCAATTTAGAGAGTACCTAAATAAATAAAGTACGTACGGGGTAGAAAGAAAGAATACGAGAAGATTTGTTCTTTCGTTCTTTTCTTCCCCTGGTCATATCCCCCCTAATCAAAAATCTCTTGATCTAGAATCCCTTGATCAGGGGACTGACTTTCTTTCCATACCTAGGTAGGTACGTAAACTCACTCGCTTACAAGGATATATCCACACCGTCATCGTGAGAATAACAAGCAAACAGCAAACAGCAAACAGACAAGAAGTGCAGTGCGTCAAGCTAGTGCCCCTCTTAATACCTACCTGTTATATTCCAGCACCAGTCAGTTGTTCGTCTCCCAGAACGAGAGCGCAACTTGATTTCCTGTTCACCTATTCACCACTTTTCCCATCTTACTTTCTACGTCTTTACATGTTAGAAAAAAAACGAATTCAATAAAATAAATTACACAAGGTTACTTGAGAGAAGAAGAAATCGAAATCGAAATATCGAGAAAAAGATACATACTTCAAGATGGCAGCCGCAACTCCTACTCTCAATCTTAATCCTAAATATGATCATTATGATTACCCTACCACGTCGCCTACGGCTAAGAGTGGTCATCCTGGACATACGACTCCAGAGCAGGATGCTCAGGTTGAGCAGTTGAGGTCGAAGTTGGAGGCGGCGGGGTTTACTGAGAGGTTGGATACGCTTACTTTGGTATGTTCTTTTTTGTTATTTGTCAATTTGATAATGAGAGTTTGGTTTGGTTTGGTTTGATGCTTCGCAGAATGCGGGAGCTTGATTAAGATCTTGATATTTGATATTCTGGGACGGGGTTGGACTGGCAGTATATGGATATAGGCTAATTATTATCAATCTACAGCTTCGATTCTTGAGAGCACGTAAATTCGATGTCACATTTTCTGAGAAGATGTAGGACTCCTTGGTTCTCTTAATATTTACATCATTTCGTATTTGATACATTGAAAGGGCGCATGCTGATTTTGTGGATAGGTTCGTGGACGCTGAGCAGTGGAGAAAGGAGTTCGGACTCGATGAACTTGTTCGTACCTTTGATTATAAGGAGAAGGAGGAAGTTTTCCGATACTATCCTCAATACTATCACAAGACTGATAAGGTACGTTTTCATTCTCATTCTATTCCCTCCCCCTCCTCAAATTAACCATTATCTAACATCTTCAACCTCACAGGATGGCCGTCCAGTCTACATCGAACAAATGGGTAACATCGACCTAACTGCCATGTATAAAATCACCACCTCAGAACGTATGCTTCAAAACCTCGCCGTTGAGTATGAAAAAATGGCCGATCCACGTCTCCCAGCTTGTTCTCGTAAAGCTGGTGTCCTCCTCGAAACCTGCTGCTCAATCATGGATCTCAAGGGCGTTGGTCTCACAAAAGTTCCTTCTGTCTACTCATACGTCAGACAAGCTTCAGTCATGTCCCAAAACTATTATCCTGAACGTCTCGGAAAGTTGTATTTGATTAATGCTCCATGGGGCTTCTCCACTGTTTGGAGTGTTATGAAGGGTTGGTTGGACCCTATCACTGTTGGTAAGATCCATATTTTGGGTTCAGGGTATCAAAAAGAACTTTTGGCTCAAGTCCCCCAGGAGAATTTACCAAAGATTTTCGGGGGTACTTGTGAGTGTCAGGGTGGTTGTGCAATGAGTGATGAGGGTCCTTGGACGGATCCTACTTGGGCTAAACCTCCTAAGTGGGCTACTGCTGAGAAGACTAATGGTGATCAACAAGTTATTGACACGGAAAATGTTAACCCGGGTACTATTCCTACTGGAACTACAGCTCCGGCTCCAGTTCCTAGTGAAGAGACTGTTAATGCACCGGTTGCTCAATAGATGTACATAGAGGAAGTGGTATTAGGTGTGATGAAATTGGTGTAGAAATGAGCGAAAGGGTGTTGTGGTTTCAGATGAGTTGTTGACTATGTGATGTAAATGGATGGATGGACCAGGGCGGTTTGGAATGCATATTACATGTGGAAATAAATCAAAGATGACTGACTACTAAACTTATTTTTTGGAGAATGAGAGAAATAAATGAATTCATAAGATTACAAGAATGGAGATGAAGAATACTCTATTCTATTCTATTCTATTCTATTCTATGGTTGTGAAATTTTCTTTTCTTTTCTTTGCCTCTGTTTGCTTTTCTGAAGATTTCTTATAGTGGTGGGGCAGGGCGGGGGGGAAGGAAGGAAGGGGGAAGTGTGAGAGGGGAAGAGGGAGGAAGAGGGAGGAATTGAGATATTTGGTAGGTTAGGTAGGTTAGGTAGGTAGGTAACTCATCATAATCTAACGAAATTTTAGGTAGGTAGTCAATCATAGTATAGTAGAGATAGAAATAGATATATCATGGGATGGATTAGATTAGATGAGAATTGAAGAGAATAAAGGGAAGGAAGGGAAGAGAGCGGGAGTTTAGATTGGTGGCTTTGAATGGGATTTTGAGATTTGGTGTGATGAGGATGTGATGAGGTTTGGTGTGAACGGTGTGATGGATGAGGTTTGAGAGGATGTGATTAGGTTTGATGTTAAAATAGAGTGAGATTTTTTATAAAGCTTTTTATAAGTATATATAGGATGTAATTAAAGAATATAGTAGGAAGAGGATGAGTATAAGAGATATAAGTTTTGAGGTATAACTTTGAGATGAAAGATATAAGTTCGGGATTTGAGTAGGGGATTTGAGATGAGGATAGGATGTACCAACGGGCGATATAACGTATTTATCGGTATTAAATATATACAAATATATATTCATCTCTTTCTAATAATCTTACCTCGTCATATATACTCTATCTCCATCTCTATCCTATATACCAAATTCTAAATACTATAAACTATACTCAATACTCAAAAATCCCACGCTCTATGTACCCAACCCGACTGAATCAAAATATATAAAACAAATAAAACATATCTCTACCACCCAAATTTCTCAACGGTAACCTTTAAATCCATACCCTCTTTCACAAATTCCGCACATTTATTATTGATCGTGCGGTTTAGTCCATCAGGTCCACTTACGACGACACCGGTTCTTCTTTTGCTCCTCTTCTTATATGAAGATTTCCCATTCCTCACATTCCCACCATCCACCACCATCTCCATCAACCCCACTAAATCCGGTCTCCCAGCCTCCACCGTCGCACCCGGAATAATAATTTCCACCCCTCTCTTCTCCACCTCCTCTCTCTCTCCTCTATCAACCCACTCCAGATGCTCACGTTTATGAATAATCCAGATCATTACAATTCTCCGCTTCCTTCCCTTTACTATATGCATCATCCCATTCTCGGTATCTTCATTTTCTTTTTCCTTCGACATACCTAGAAGATGATGTATAAGGGGCCATGTAACAGCAATTCCACTTCCCCCTGCAATAAGTATTGCGAGGTCGGAATCTGAGAGGAGAGAACGCGCGTGATTACTTCCGTAGGGACCGTCGAGACGACATTTTAGAGTGTTTGTTAGTTGGGCGGTGAGAAGGAGATCGCTGGTGAATCCGGAGCGGGAGCGGATTAGGAGGGTTAGGAGGGAGGTTTTGCTGGAGGGGTGGGGAGCTGGTGAGGCGATTGTGAAGGGGTGGGCTTGGAGGGTGTGGGTGCGGCCTAGAGAGGGGATGGTGAGGAAAATGTGGTCGGTTGCTTTCCAGCCGGTAGAGATGGAGTGACCGAGGGTTTGGGAGAGGATGGTTGGGGAGGTTTGCGAGAGCTGGAATGTTAGGAGCATTGTTTCGTTGTCTGGGAATATGTTGACTTTGGCCTAGGAGGGTTAATGTTGTTAATATATATATGTGATTAAGTGGTGAGAATAAGATAATGGAAGTAGGATAACTTACTTCGGCCATGATACTTTTTGCACAAAGGCGGTACCCCAAGCGATCTACGAGGAATATCACAAGAGCCCATAACACATAAGTTCTCGTTCCTGGATGATGAAAATACAAGATGATCAATGCAGCTGCTTGTAACATAACATGCAACCCCAAGAACAGCTCATACCATCGTTGACGAAACGAAGCAAGCGATGTTACATACAATGACTTGTATGTAAAAAGAGCTAATAATCCTAAATAAATGCATGGATGAGTTAAAAAATGCCATATCGTCCAACCACTAAATGGTTTCAAAAACATATACCACATCATGAACATTCCACCGGCATGAATCAAGGCGGCAACCATGATTAATTCTCCCAATCGTCGATGAATAATATTCAAAGATTCATAGGAGACGCCTGTTAGAATTTTCAATGGTTGATTCTTCGCACCGAGGATATATAGAAGTGGGAGATTAACACCGAAGATTAAACCGGCTCGATCCCCTAGTACTGATGCTTCGAAGGCGGAAAATGGTATGCGGTAGAAGGTGTAGAAGATGTTGAGAGCGAGGAATGAGAGGATGAAGATTGATGAGCCGTTTGAAGGGAGGACTTTGTTGAAGTAGGGTATTGGTCGAGGTTGATAGATTAGGAAGGCTTTGAGACGGGATATGACTGTGCTTTGATATGAGGGGATGTTCTTGGGGAGCGCGTTCGCTAATAGAGGGATATGTTCATCTCTGTCATCGAGCTTGATAGAAGGGGTATTTGATCCCAAAGTACTGCTTCTAGATGAGCTTGCACTACCACTACCACAGTCCGTCACATCCTCTCGAATCTTCTTGGATACTTCATCATCAACTTCATCATCTGTGTATCTCTCTCCTCTCCTCCGTAAAACCCGTCTCCTCCATTGTTTAATTCTTCCAATCCAATGTATACCCGAAATAACCAATACAGTCCCCAAAATAGTCCACGGATATGTACTTATAATTTTCTCATTAAACAAAGCGCCATCAATCAACTTCTGCAAATCGGGCTGTGGAGGATCGACTATTGCGCTTGTTTCTGAGTTATTGGTCGTGGGTATAGGTATACGAGATGTGCTTTGAAAGGCAACATTTTGGGACTTGCTAGATATCCATTCCGAGAGGGAGTTATGTGGGTGATGTGTCGAATTCATGTGTGATGTAGTAATGTAACGTGGGAAATGTAAGACTTATGCTGTGTATAATGAGATCAGATCAGATTAGATCTGATGGATGATCTGATAAGATTTCAAAGATTTAATTAACCTTTAGTTTTTGTGGAGCTAGCTAACTATACTGGCGAATTATAGTTGATATCGGGTTTAGTTCTACCCTAGCCTTATTGTCCAGTGTCGAAAGTGGAGTGTGTGAAAAAGTGCTTTGCTGGGATGGTAAATATCGGTAGGAGTAGAAGAACTCGCAGAGAAAAATTGCTTCCATTGTGCTATCTTCGCCTGTCTGAGCTCGAGGTGCGTGAGACGAGAAGATTACAATAAAAGAATGTCTGCACTTGCCGGGAGTCAGTGAGTCCTTGCAATTGAGCATTTGTAGCTGGAATATAGCTATCTGTTGCCGGTCAGAATCCTCGTAATCAATCTTTTGAGTTTTGGTAACTTGTGGCGGCAAGATTAGTTTCTATTGGTGAATCACGGTGCATGTATATCATCAAACAATTTTATTAATGACGAGAATAAACCCTTGCAGTACTCTGAATGAGGTCCTCATTGATGCTCTATCACAAGTGTGTACGAACCTTGAGAACTCATAGATATTTGGACAGGGAGGAGTAGGGCAAAAATTAATTCGCTCATCACTGTTACGAGCTACTCGTACAAAGTTTTGTGAGGAAAAGTCAAATATTCAATGGTGTACAGTCTACCGTTTGCTCTCAATTCCATGAAGGTATTTCATCCTGCTGCATGAGCCCAGGAAGATCCAAGCCAGATCGCTTGATGGCGTTAAAGACAAGCTGGTCAAGTTCCTATTGTTGTTTCTGTTCCTCTCGTTCACCAGAAGATATAGTGATTTATGGTCTTAGAAGATAAAGACCGTACGGACGCAATCTTGAGGAGCTAGTCTTCCTGAGAGGTAACCATACACCACACGATCAAGCGCGATGGGAGTACATACCGAAAAATTGCAGATAGATAATGATATATGCGGTCTTTGAATAGGTGACGGGATGCAGAACTTAGGTGTAAAGGGATCAATATTAGAAGAACATGAAAAAAATCAGTCTTCCAAAACTCGTCGTTTGAAAGAGAAATTATTGACACTCTCCATGTTAAAAGCAGGACTCATCGTCGCTCGTCTGAAGTACGCAATCTAAGAGCCAAAAGATCCAAAGACATAACAAGTTACAAATGGCTTGTTTGCAACACGCACCCGGGCAATGGTAATCAGCTGCTATCCCCGCAGTGCACTAGTCATCTACACGATTTGATAGCCACGATAGTCTAACATACAGCATCGGGCTCGCAGCGCCTTGGGAGGGAAAAAAGCTCCTCCACGTACTGCAACGCCGCACAGTCCTAGGTTTGGTTTCTGAGGGAGCGAATTTTGGGATATCTATACATGAAGGCCTAGGGTGCTTTCATTCATGATGTGCATGAAAACGGAGACAGTGAGATTTACGAATGCAGTTTAGAGCTTGAAAGTAGCTAGATGGTGAATGTAATTTCAGAGTTTAGAGATATTATATATAAGAAGAGAATGTGTATTATAACGTTCTCAATCCAACCCGTGAATGATTTGACAGTTTTACTCTTGATCTATAGCTAGGTAGTTCATGATTGTTGCTCAAGTTAGGTAGTATTCTGGAAGTATCAAGGGGTCTTCTTGAAGACAAATGTATGTTCATGGCCTGCCATTTCCCATTAGTTTACCACGTTCTGATAGCAAAAGCCGCTTTCGCATTCAATGAGAATTCGAAATTGGGTTCTCAGGGCTAAAGTTGATTGGATGCACCATTCATATGTTGAAGGATCTTGAGCTATCAACTATTCGTCAAGTTTTTGGAGATCATTTTCGAATGCTAATTGGGAGGCTTTATGGGTGTGTATGATATTGTTTATGATATTGTTGGTTGTAATGATGTTGTTGGTTATAATGATATTGTCGGTCATGACAACATTGGTTAGATCTATATCTTAGAAGAATGTGCTGATTTATTCGAATCATAATGATTTAGCTGGTTCTGGCAATAGTGAAATGGGTTGGGAAGAATGATTAAGAAACGACGGGATATGGTTGTCCCTATAAGTCTTGCTCATTTTGGTACTTCTGCGTTTATGAATGATGTGCTTTGGAATAATGGGCGTTATAAAGTATTATAATCATTCCTGTAAGTCTTAATGTATGCTCGTGGCGTTGTGATCTTAGGGGAAATGTGCAAAGAACTGCGAGTGAAGACTTTTGGTTCAACAAAGCAGGTGTAATCTCTGAACATTTTGGAACATGCAGAGACTTACTACATGGTTTTTGGTCACCACAGTCAACGTAACTACTATCATGTTTATTGAGAAGTGAGACATCATTTCATCTTGATTGAAATTGCACTTGAATTTATTTTGTTCTCAACATGAATTGGAGAATTGATGAATCATCATCTACAGGTAAACTCCAGTTTCCGCACCCTGCGCTCCTTACTTGCTTTGTCGTGAGCATTGCCACCGTCAAGTTCCTGAGCTACTTATCATATATCTTCAAAAGCCAACCCTCCATCACTCCCCTGCAATTCGCATGTACACCAGCTCAACAATTGGCCGTACCCATTTCGGGTCATCCTCCTTCAAATTCGCAAAGACTTCCTGTAGTTTAAAAAGCATCAGACTTTCCATGATTGAAAAACATCTAAATTCTGAATTATTCACTGCGTACATACGCAAATATCTTCCCCTATGGCCACGATACGGAGAGGCAACCACGAAAATCAAGCGCTTGAGCTTCTTGAGGGCTTTGATTTCATGGGTCAGACCGTAGCAGGACCAGATATCGAAATTGAGAGCCAGGTTTGTGACACCTTGGTTAACGGCGTTGAAGATAGTGGACTGTTGACTTAGAACTTCTTGCGCCACGGTGGTGTAGTATTCATTACTGTCGATTTGGAGATAGATGATATCGTCGCAGTGAGAGTAGACTGGTGCATATGGAACTCGGAGACCTTCCTTTTCGTACTGAAGAGCATGAGTGTAAAATTGTTTGAACAACACTTCACGTGAGTCTCGACAGGTGTGGAACAGGGAAGAATATTGCTTGTTTGGAATGAATCGAGGATTTGGTTGTGCTTTTGTACCAGGACGGTATAATACTTCAGTGACAATATCGAGATCTGTGCCCTTTCGAATTGCAGCTTCTTTCCAGATTTTGAGTTGCAGTTCTTTGGGAAGGAAGGGAAAGAAAACGAAAACATAATCTCTCGGTCGGCTGGATCCACACAGATCAACCGAAGGCCTCATCTCCGCGTACGACTCTTCAAGTTTGGCCCGCATCTTAGCCCCAATACCTATAGCATCCTCGATCTTACCTGGGGTAACAACGCGAGTCTGCAGGGCATCGTGACTGATATTTTTACCAGGAGCGGTGTCCACGCCCTGGGCAGAACCATGGGACAGATCGCGAGTGAATTGTAGGCTAGATTGAGCACATTGAGAATTAACCCCATTGCTATTCCTTTCGCTGCAAACAACCATATGAGATTCTGATCTTATGTTAATAAAGGATTTCAGACTCTGGGACTTGGCATAATTATGCTGGAGATGTGACTAGAGTGTGACTTGTCCAAGAGGGAATAACAGGAGGTAAAATCTGAATCAAAGATATCATATTCTGCTTACCTTCATTATTTGTGTCGACAGTAGTTGCTGCCATTGCATTGTTAATGTTCTCCATAGTGAGCTATTAGATGTGTTGATGATATTTGACGGTGGTGTGAAGAGGAAGGGAAAGGGAATAAATACTAAAGATCAAAAGCAGAACAGCCACCGTAGCTTAATCGACAAGAGCCCAATCAGCTTTACTACTGCAACAGTGAAGCAAGATATGATGCTATTTGGACGAGACTGTATATCAATGTGTAAATGAATACTTTTAACATTGTGTCTACTAACAACGGTGTACAGCGGAACTTCCAAGACTAGCCAATGACAAACCATACAACATTTAACAGCTCAGACAATTAGATTTAGGAGAGTGAGGTAGAGTTGGAAAAGAATTTCTTCTAACACTTCTTTCTCATTTCATGAACATAAGAAGAGGTAGATACTGCGCTGCTGTCTCATGAAACATAGATCCGAACATAAGAAACGGCAAATCTCATTGAGCAATCAAATGCCTTCATTCCTGTGTGATTCTCGGATAATAGATTCAAATCAACTTGTGCGACGTATTCAACTATGCTTCGCAATACAAAGCCAATCAGGAGCCCGTATCAAACAGAGAAATTGTGTTCACAACGGTTGAATCATTTCGAAGATTCTATGAGGCAGATAAACCATATCTCTGTTAAAGACTGTCCCGTATGACCTTCCCTACCTTGACAAAGACTAATAGAACTTACGATATTCTACGGATATCATGGTCATATTGCCGTATGTGAGAGGCTGCCAAAGTTATTCGCAAGTTCTGTGTGGTAGAGTATGTGAAGTCTAATTCAAGTTCGGGGCTCAACTTTAAAAGGGTTAAGAACTAAGCGATAATTATCACGTGACAAATCGGGAAAAGCTACTGACAATATTTCGAGCCTAGCGCATTTCACGGGCATCCCACGACGAAAAAAATAATCCCAGAAGCTTTCTTGAAAATTTGTGGAAGGTTAACTTTGAAATCAACAAATTAACCACCAACAACGACAACATATTATCGACAAAATGTCTGCCGTTGATTACCTTCTCCATGAGTCGGCCACTGGTTTCGCAATCTTTCAGGTTGTGCATCAAGCCGACACCATTGGCAATCGATTGAAGGAAGTTCAAGATGCAGGTCAAGATCTCGCGAAATTTGGCAAAATGGTCAAGCTTGTCAACTTTGCGCCATACAGGTTAGCTATTCAATGCTTTAGAGAGCGGAGTGTTTGAATTGACATTTACTCTAGAAATGCTGCTGAGGCGCTCGAAAATATCAACATGATCTCCGAGGGTGTACTTTCCGATTACTTGAAGTCGAACTTGGAATTGAACATGCCAAAGCCATCGAAGAAGAAGAAGGTTATTCTTGGAGTTTCCGACAAGACTTTGGCTGGTAGCATCAAGGAGGAATTTCCAGGTGTTTCTTGCGAGACTGGTGAAACTTCTGAGGTTGTCGCAGACTTGCTCAGAGGATTGCGATTACATGCACCAAGATTGTTGAAGGGTCTACAAGAGGGTGATGTCGAGAGAGCTCAATTAGGTCTTGGACACGCATATTCGCGCGCTAAGGTTAAGTTCTCAGTCCAGAAGAACGATAACCACATTATTCAAGCTATTGCTACTTTGGATCACCTCGACAAGGCCGTTAACACATTCTCCATGCGTGTCCGTGAATGGTACGGATGGCACTTCCCAGAACTTGTTCGAATCGTCTCGGATAATCACACATATGCCAAGCTTGCATTGGCGATTGGTAACAAGAAGAACTTGAACGACGAACAATTACACGACATTGCCGCTATTGTTAATGATGATGGAGATATCGCGCAAGCAATCATTGATGCCGCAAAGGTTTCTATGGGTCAAGATATCTCAGTAAGCGACATGGAGAATGTTTCAGCTTTCGCAAACCGTGTTGTCAAACTCGCCGAGTACAGAAGGTCCCTTTTCCAATACTTGACCGACAAGATGGCCATTGTTGCACCTAACTTGGCTGCTTTGATTGGTGAAGTTGTTGCTGCTAGACTCATTTCCCATGCTGGTTCCCTCACCAACCTGTCAAAATACCCAGCTTCCACCGTCCAAATTCTAGGTGCTGAGAAGGCATTGTTCAGAGCACTCAAGACCAAGGGTAACACACCCAAATATGGATTGATCTACCACTCCAGCTTCATCGGTCGTGCAGGCGCAAAGAACAAGGGACGCATTTCCAGATTTCTGGCAAACAAGTGCAGTATCGCAAGTAGAATCGATAACTTTTCCGAGGCACCAACCAACAAATTCGGTGAGGCATTGAGAGCTCAAGTCGAAGAAAGGTTAGATTTCTACGCCACCGGTACCGCACCAACAAAAAACCAAGATGCTATGGTAAGAATTTTGGAAAGTTACTACTCATGATCTCTTGGCTAATATATTTAATAGAAAAAAGCAATGGATGCTGTTCTCGGTGACATCAACGTTGAGGACCCAACCGCCGAAGACACCGAAATGGCCGACATCGCCCCTACATCTGTCTCCAAGCAAGAGAAGAAATCCAAGGACAAGAAAGACAAAAAGGAGAAGAAGGAAAAGAAAGACAAGAGCGAGAAGAGCGAGAAGAGCGAGAAGAAAGACAAAAAGAGAAGACACAGTGAAGCCAATGGTGAAGAGGAGGGTGAGAAGAAAAAGAAGAAGAAGAGCAAGGCGGAGTAAATTTCTTCTTCATCATTGTACACATGACATGGTTTAGACTTCTTCTCCTTCTCCCTTTCCTTTTCTCTCTATCTTGTAAATTTCGGGCACTGCAGCTGGGTCACTTTGGCGGAGTATAGCTGTGTTATTATCGGCGTTGAGGAATACTTTTTGTTTTCTTACTTACCGTATCTCTCTGGCTTTTTGCTTGCATGCATACGTAGGTACTTTAAATGGCTAGACGACAGACACTATGAGGTGCATAAAATTGGAAAAAAGCATATTAACTCGATACGTTTCTGGATCATTTTTCTTTCTATTTTCTTCTCTTGTCATCTTTCTTAACTTGAACTCTGTATTTATCAAAAGTGTAGTGTGAGACCTGGATATTATTGACATATATGTATTGTATTGTATTCTTCTTGTAGCTTTTCGCCTTTCTCAACTCGAAGCATCTTAAATCATGCTGGACGTTCATTCGGTTTAGAACGCTATCCATTTATAAACGCCATACTCGCCTCCATGCCATATCCTATACTCCTCTTCCTCCTATCACTCTCAGTAACACTTTCCGCTGAGCTTGAAACTTTTTTCTTTTCGCTATGACTTGATCACTTGCTTGCTTGTTCAACCAATCATTGTACTAATTAATTTCAATAAATGAGAGAAATTAAGCACCTTCACTACCAAATTCATTTGTCCATTCCGTACTCCTTTGGATATCTTCTTGTGAGACGGTAGGTCTAGCTCCCTTAATGGCTTTGATGAAGTCTTTTACTTGGAGGGGTGGCTCGAGGAGTTTGTCTGAATCAACTTCTGTCCAGGACATTTCCATGGCACCAGCGTCGCCGGGTGAGCACGGGGTTAGTTTTTCTACGCCGTCGTCCATGACCTTTTGGAGGTGTTAATTACTTTTTCGCATTGTCGAGAAATGGGTTTGCGGGGTGAGATGGCGGAAACATACCTTTTTATAATGTGTAGCAGTTTGAATCTTCCGTACAGGTTGCATCAGAGCATCTTGAACCGCAATACTAATATCACTTCCAGAGTAACCCTCACTTAACTCTCCCAATTTCCTGTAATCTGAAGCCACGAGTTCACAAGGTGTGGTACCGACACTGATTTCGAACATTTTTGTCCGTGCAGGTAAATCTGGGAGGGAAATGTGAACACGACGTTGGAAACGACGTCGAATGGCGGCATCTAGTTGCCAAGGAATATTTGTAGCACCCAGAACTAACACGCCTCGACTGTCTCTTCCTACACCATCCATTTGTACAAGCATTTCCGTTTTGATACGTCTCGAGGCTTCCGATTCTCCTTCTCCTCTAGGGCCGCAAAGAGCGTCTACTTCATCAATGAAGATAATAGAGGGTTTGTTTTCCCGGGCCATGGTAAATAGTTGTTTAACTAATCTGTTTCAACGATTAGACATGCCCCCAACTTCATATTAAAAATCAAGAAACATACCTTTCACTCTCTCCCATCCATTTACTAACCAAATCTGAACTGCTCACACTAAAGAACGTACTATTCGCCTCCGTAGCCACTGCCTTAGCCAAATAACTCTTTCCCGTTCCTGGTGGTCCATAAAGCAGAATACCCTTCCAAGGTTGTCTTTTTCCCGTAAACAAATGCGGGAACTTAATTGGCAAGATAACTGCCTCCTTCAGCGCTTCCTTCGCTGCCTCCAGACCCGCAACATCTTCCCACTTAATATTCGGTTTATCCTGTAAAATCGCACCCTGTAATGCACTTCTCAATTTCTTACTTTCCGGATCTCCTTCCTCCTCATTCGCTTTTCCTCCCGTCGAACTCCCATTCGCACCCATCATACTAGGTTTCTTCCGCTTGCCATCCGCCTCTGCGAGATGTGTTTTTAGTTTTTCGGCTCGTTCCATGTATTCACCTGCTTTGGCGCGGATCATTTCCTTAGATTTGGCATTTTTTTCCCATTTGAGTGCGAGCATGAATAGTTCGAGGGATTGGTAGTAGAGCTGGTATGCTTTATCATATTCGGCTGCAGTGTCGGCTTCGATAGCTTTTTTAACCACGTCTATGGCGCGGCCGAGGAAATCGGTGTTTGACATCTTGAGGGTGGGGTTTCTGTGTGATTATGATAGTGGATGGGTAAAGAGGTTGCTCGTCCAGGTAGGAATCAGATGCCTATCGATTATTCTACACGGCACTGCTTCTTGTCGAAGAATACTAGTGTTGACCTTTGGCTTGAATGTTGTTGTACTTGAATAAGGTTGCGAATTCGGCAAAATGACGACGATAGCCTTGACCAACAAAGAAACTCCAAACTACAGAATTGTAGAACTGGGGAAACGAATATTAACAGATGGAACTGAAAATGAGGCTCTCTGCGCGCATGATATTCTCGTCCTATGTGTCTTGGTAACTGAGCTTGTGGAGGGAATTAGAACTTGTGAAGTCTGGGTTATCGCTTGAGCTTGGCGGTGTCTTGGTTGCCCCGCGATTGCGCTAGACATCATGTCAATAATTTGATATTGGACTATTATTCAAAGACAAATTGTTTTACTTTTCTACAACTACATTTTTAAAAGAGTTGTTTGTGGTACTCAAAATCATAATCGAGTTGATACATCATCGCAACATTTTCTCACAGGAAAAGCAAGCACCGCAGCACATAATTAACCTATCTAAACCCTCAAATTCCATCCCAGAGATCAAGTAGCTTCACATCCTCACATCCTCACTATGGCAGAACAACAACAACGTCTACAAGTCCTTACTGAGGAATATCAAAAACTCCAAACAGGTATGTATCTCCTCAGTACTTGTCCCCTGCACCATACATACTAACCTCTTCCAGATCTCCAAAACTCAATCTCCTCACGCCAAAAGCTCGAATCTCAACAACAAGAAAATAAGGGCGTTCAAAAAGTACTTTTCACTTCATCCGCCTCCCCGCCGCATGTCACCTCATCCTCATGGCCATTCACTATCAATCCAAAACCGCTCACTAACCATCCTCAGGAATTCGCCGCCCTCTCTTCCGAGTCCAACATCTATAAGCTCGTCGGCCCCGTTCTCCTAAAACAAGATAAAACCGAAGCTGTTATGGCCGTTGATGGACGCTTAGAATTTATCGACAAGGAAATGTGCGTATATGTTTCCTACGTTTCTCCTATATCATATATTCAATGATTCATGTGCCACATGCTTTTCTATATACTTTTTCTTGTTACTTTCATTCCTTCAACCTCTGGGGATTTCGACAAGGAGTTTTGAGAGCAGATCTGGAATAGAATGAGGATGACAATAAGAACATTTGCTAACATAATTTTGACCTAATCAGAAAAAGAGTCGAACAAGCTATCAAAGATGTACAGGATAAAACTGATGGTCTAAAGATGGAGGTATGTTTCCCCATATCCATTTTCCCGTTCCCTTCGCTTTCCCTCTCTCCCCCCTTATTCCCCATCTATCCCTTCCATTCATTTTCTCCTTCCACCCACCCTCCCCCTTTCCGCCCCCTCCCTCTTCCTCCCCTACAAATCCCACCCCAACCCCGAACTAACACTCTTCCCTCTCCTAGATAATAAAACTACAGTCCGAGTCCCCAGCCGCACAGTCTCAAGCCGTTGCATAAACATAAACACAATTAAAAAAAAATCTCCATGAGCCCTCTTCTTTCTCCCTTTCAACAAAACAAATCAAGCAAAATATGAAAAGTTTAAAAAGCAGGCGTTCACTTTATCATCAGGAATGTAATCTTATAATGTATATGCAAAAGTATGTATGTATGTATGGATTTGAATTTGCACGACCATGGGCGTTAAATATCCAATTCATCATTTACTACTGAGTATACTAGGTATGCTACATACTAGATATAAACATGACATGATATCCCCACGAATATTCGGATTCTACATAAGGCTAGGGAAGGGGGTAAGAATTAAAGAACGATTTCCGCATATAAGAATTTCATATGGAATTTGTAACAGAAATGCATATGGTACAAGGGCATGGACAGACAGCTAATGAATAGACGGCCAAGAACGGCACTCCTGTGGCAATAAGATGTATCCTCAGAATTATATGTCAATGTGATTGGCCGTAGGTGGTGTCACAGTGTCACTAACTTTTATCCATATCAGAGGAGACTTGAGTAATGATGGCAACAAGTCGCGCTGACACGTGGGCGGGAGCTAGTGCTGCTTTAGGATCCGTGGACTTACCGCGTTAAGATGTCATCATTCCATCAGCCCCAACAAAGGTTGCAGCGTGCATACGGTATCATGGAAGACGAGGGTAAACTTTTCTGGAGTTATGATGCTGGGTGGGATGAGATTGAGACAGAAAAAAAGTATTATGATATGCTCAGGACCAAGCTCGTGGATAAAGGGTATCTAATGAGTTGGGATGGCAGATCCTACGTGTTCATAAAAGGAGAACGCCGCTGGGTACTATTGGCGTCCAACACGGGAGCTAAAAATATATGTATGCTGCTAGGCATGGAGAATTACACCACCGGCTATGTAAATGCTATGTCGCGTTACCACAACTGGCTTACGAAGCATTGCCATCGACGCCCATGCAGCATCATGCCCAGGAGCATTTGCATTGGTACCAGAAGACTCGAAATATCCGTGGAAGGCAAGACAATGGGCTTCAAAGATTGCGACAGTCTCCTAGGCGATTTCAAATTCGAGGATCCTCGAGCATGTCAGGCGGCTATAAACCCCGTAAGCTTCGTAAACTTGCCCGTCAGGTGGGTACACCCTGGCGCCGGGAACATAGAAAGCTTCATCTACCCCCTGTTCGACAACGACACGGACATGGAAACTTTGAAATGGCACATCGGTAATAGCCTCATAGACCCAGCGGGTAGTCCCAAGGCACTCATCATGTTCGGTCCCGGTGGTACGGGTAAGAGTACCATACTCAGTATCATAATTGAGTGCATGGAGGGGTGCTGCGGTGTGCTTCCGCATGGCACGTTCACCAGCACGGCTATCAAGCTCACAGATGATGTGAAGGCTGTGCTCGCAGGGAGTAGAATGGCAATCTGTGACAGCGTGGACCTGGATAATAGGCCGACAAATGTCAACGCTGTCAAAGGTATAGCAGAAGGCGACTACATCAGCGACGACATGAACACATTCAAGCCCAACTGCTCGCTCACATTAGCTAGCACTGGCCTCCCAGACCCCAGCGTCAGCTCGAACACGCTAAGTGATGCATTTTTACGACATACCGTGGTGCTAAATCTAAAGACGGCAGCTTCGTTCCTGGCGAAAGATGACTCATCATACACGCAGGTGCAAAAGATAGATTTCATTTGCGCATGTGTGTACACCAGGATGACGCATACCTATATACCAATGTCCCCCAGCAGCATGCTCCTCACTCTATGTCAATTGCAGTATCTAGCAGTCAGGGAACTGGTGGAGGAACACCCTGCTCCTACTATATCTGACTATCAGGATATACTAGCCATAATCCATGTACACACTTTTCTCTCGACTAACCAGATCGTGCATAAGGCCATGCTAATAAGCAGAAGTAGTGTTATAGAGGTAGCGGGTTCCAATTATCTCAAAGGGCTGCGGCCCAGACGCTAGTCTGGACTTTGTGCGGATGGGTGGTTTTTGAAAAAATATATTATTTCGAGATATCTTAGCTGGGTTTTTTTTCGGGGCTCATTTTAGGGATGTTTTGGACGGGGGTTCTATTCGGATACATACATATATATATATATATATACTATCACTATGCTTCATCTTTAGCTGTGGTGAATATCGTATATCGTACATCATATATCATATTTTTGTATCATATCCATATCTATAAACAACAGCACAATAAATAATCTTATAATAAACACAAAATCATAAATAAGCTTACCAGATAAGATATCATAAACAACCATAAAACGCCATAAAATATTTCCCAATAACAACCCATCCATCCCAACATCCAGTACTCCTAGACGAAAAACTCCCAGCAAAGAACTCTCGCTAGCTAGCCATGGGTATCCAGACCATATCAATTGAACAATGAACATGCATCCCCAATTTTCAATCCCCTACCAACTCCATGGATCCTATCGCATCCCATGGATCCTATCACCCAACAATACGACAAAAACCATCAGCATTCGAATCTCTCCCGTCGTCATGGCTATCCCTTCGAAATACCACCAATGAATATATATCTGATTTCTGCAACACAATCATCACGTCGCCGCGAAGTCTCCTTTACCTCCTCCTTTCCTCATCCCTTCCTTTCCCCTTCCCTTCCCTTCCCCCTCCCTTCCCTTCCCTTCCCGCTCGCTATATCCTCTAATCACATCCACTAAATCTCAACTCCCAAAACATAAAGTTAAATCACTTCCTTAAAAAAGAAAAATCTCGAACCTCAAATCTCAAATCTTAAATCTCAAAAACCACAAGGAAAATCACACGCATTTACAAAAAAAAACGAAGAAAAATAATTCTTAATACACATAACATGAATAAATTAACTAAAGGGAGTCTCTGCGCTGCAGTGCGCTACTCTGCTTCGCTACGTTTGCTCTGCTCTGCTCTATTCTCCGAGCACCATGCACTCTCAATTCAATAACCGAATGACCACCTTATCGATACCCAGTCGATACTATTGGTACTCCCAATCTCCCGATCCGAGCCTGCCTACTGACTGGTACTTGATTTGAAATATCCACCCCTTTCATCCTGGTCCTATCCATCCTGCCCGATACCATCCTATCCCATATGTACTGATATGCTCGAGTTATCCATCTGCCGCTATTCATACCAAGCCCAAGCCCAAGCCCACCCCCCTCCCCCTTCCCAAATCCATATCCATATCCATATCCAAGCTACCTGTTTATATTCTTGTGAAAAAGGATAAAATGAACGAATGAATATCAAAGTGAATAAACTCCGCTCTTATTGCCATCATCCTCAATACGATTCGAGGGAATACCTGATATAATGGTGAATGCGCACTTAACATTCCATCTTCCCATAAATAGCCACCCACCCAAACAACACCATCCACATGCACAAAGAACAATACAACCACCGTTCCCAAATATAACTTTTATATACCACCTCATCCCCAAACCAACTACCGTTCAACGATACTTTCGGGACTCATTGGACCTAAGGCCCCATCATCTTTTTCAATCGGACTGTTAAGATCCTGACTTTCCACTCCATCTACCGACACAGATCCACCATTCGGTAAACCTGGTCTGACCTTTTTACCATCTCCTTTTTGCGGACTTCCACTTACACCAGTTTTAACCGAAGATTGTGAATCAATTGCTGTACCATTATCAAGCTTCTTCTTTTTCTTCGCATTACCACTTTGTTCTTTTAGTGGACGTTTGCGAGGACTAGTAATTTTACCCGTTGGACCAAGGCGTGGACGCGTTGGTTTTTGTTTTCCAGTGAGTTCTTCGTCCTCCACCAGAGGTTCATCATCGTTTGCGTGTAACTTAGCGAGAAAGAAATTCCTGACGAGGCCAATTTGACTGGCGATGCTTTCCCTGGTAATAGGTGGTAGAGGAGGTAGTGGTTGGAATATTTCAGCTTGTGGTGCAGCTGCGGCTGGTCCTTGGTAGGCGCTACGTACTCTCGTGTGGAGGAGATGTAACGGTACGCCAAGACTTGTCATTGAGAATTCACTGTCCAAACCGAGAGCCTTGAATCCAAAGTAATCTTCACCAAGTTCCGCGGCAAAATCACCACCAACAAATTGTTCACTACCCTCGTTAAATGCACCAGATCCATCCTGAGTCCCATCTGTTAAAGCAGGTCTGAGTAAATCTGTAAGATGTGCCTTCATGCGTTCGTGCATGACTGAAAGTTTGGTTCCCAAACGCTCAACATCATCTTTGACATAGCTCTCCAAGGCTTCTATATCCATACCATTTTCACCCAAAGTATGCAAGACGACTTCCTCATTAGAGTAACGGTCTTGACATTTACTTCCAGAGCCAGGTGCAGCAGGGACTTTATGCGCTTCTCGATAGACACCAAAAGTTTTGACAATTTTACCAAAGAAGTCCCCAGCAATATCAGTTATGACATCTAAAGCAGAGGGCTGCAATTCTTCAAAACCAGCATGATAGCATAGCTTGGCAACAGATCGTTGCATTGCAGCTTTGCAAACCCAGGAAGACATGATAGGACCATCATCTGAAGTGACATGTGGTTCGATATCTGTTTCTACAAATGGTTCAGGCTCATACTTAGGAAATTGATTGTTATACATCTGAAATGGGAAATTAGTAAAACTCAACATACAGCCAAAGCCGTCGGTCTTACCTGCGCCTGCAATTGCATTTGCTTTATAACGCCGATCTTAGAACACAACTTTCTGGTTTCTTGCATTTGCTTCATATTAGCCTCAACCTTGTTGGTCAGGAAACTTTTCGGTGCTGTAAAGTGTCCAGCGGGCACCATCCGGAGAAATTCTTCCGACTGCTCAATTAGATTACCATCCGCATCTTCCACCCATTGCAGTTTCGGGTTGATATCTGGAATAGCTGATAGTGGATCATAATAGTCAGGCAAGAAATGTTCTTCTTCGCCTTCCATACCTTCGGCAAGAGTCTCTGCGCCTTGCTTTGCAGGCTTATCTTCAACGACACCTTCAGCTTTTGAGCCACTGGGATCATCTTGCTTTCGTTGGCGCAGCCATCTCCGCATCCCGGCTTTGGTTCGCAAAAGAGCAGGCTCATCGGGATTCAACTTATCACCTTTGAATAATCGATTTCGTTCCTTAGCAACCATGGCACGATTTTTCTTGGTAACCTGTTTCCAGATTTTATATTCTTCATCCTCATGGACATCTTCTCCTCCGAATCCCTGAGCCAAACCTAGACCATTGATTGAAGGAACATCGATATCCATGCCATCAGCCTGACTAGCAACACCATTCATACCACTGGGCGTTACTGAACCACCAGGAACTGGAGTAGAAAAGCCATTCTGACTACCTTCTACTTCAGAACCATCCTGATTGAGATTTCCAAGTACGCCATTGAGTTGAAGAGCAGGCTTTTTGTCAATAACTGGAGTGCCTTTGTCACGTCCGGAAGCATTCTTTCGTGACTTGGCAGATCCCTTTACACCTCGACCACCTTCACCTCGACCTCGGGAAGACATGATAGGCTCGTCATCACTTTCATCGGCATCATCGCCTCCATTCTGTTTACGACGTTCCTCCGCTTCCACTTCTGCTCTAGGTCGAATGATAAGATCTGGAATCAGAGGTATAAGTTTTGCTGCCTCTTTCCTCATGTTTTCCGCATTTCTTCGCAAAGGATGTTTATCTGCCCCGTTATATTTGAGACAATTTTCCCATATCAAGTCGAGATCAGTAACAAATTCCTTTTTAGATTTGTATACCAACGACTTCAACTTCTTAGTCATTGTGCCGAGGTCCATGGGTTGCTTGATAACTATTTCATGTCAGCGCCAAAACTACGTGTATATGGACTTTGAGATTTACCATTGTAATAATCAGGAGCCTCGCGCTTGTTAACCCTGACAAGAAAGGGAGCCGAGTATTCTGTCATAGCCTTGAGTTCACTCAAAACTTTCTCGGCAGCCTCGTATAATTCTTCCTGGTTTACGTTGTCCTCATTGGCCCATTTACTTCTATTCTTACGAACTTCATTAATCAAGGCTCTCAGCTCCATATCCGTAGCTTGAACCCTGTCACGCTTTGCATCAATGCGAGCAAAGAGATTCTTCAACGTCAAACTCGATGCGCCCATCTCAGCATTAGCCAAAGAACTGTGTTGTTCGGCTTGCCGATTACTGGTAGGTCCAGCATTGCCATTATTGTCCATTTCCGCATCAGTTTGCCGTTCGGACTCCTCCAGCCTTTGCTGCTCTAGCATAGCGATCCGATCATTCTCCAATGTATAGAATATGGTATTGAAACTGCGCTTGGCAGCATCCTCGATAGCCTTCTTTTCCTCTTCCAACTTCTTGCGCGCATCTTGAGAAGTTTTAGGTTGGTCGCTTGCAGCATCATCCTTATTTTGTTCCGCGTTCTTTGAAGGGGATAATTCAGATTGAATGGGAGAACTCCCAGACTTCGAGGGCGACAGTAAAGCATTCGCGCTTCTTCCCTTCGAGGGAGAATCTTGCTGCCCGTCCTCCTCTTCATCATCGTCATCATCATAGTTGTCTTCATCTATGGCGCGCGCCGGCTTCTTTGGTGGTTGTGCTTGCTTAGCCGGTTCAATGGCGGTTGCATCTTCGACCAATTGTGTATCTTGTGCCGAGACTTCTTGATGTTCATCGACATCTGCAGTATAATCGCCACCTCCAAACAAACCAGCTAATTTTGCCTCGCTGCGGCGATATAATTCTTTAAATATTGTCCTTTGACTTTCCTCCTCCTGTACGTTGGCCGAGTCAGCCATTGTGGCATCGAATATACTTGGAGTATGCGACCGCGGAGGAGTATTGTTTTTATTTTGGTAAGACTTTTGGGGATGAATTATACTCGATGAGGAAGGTTGCCATGATGTGCCATTCGTGATGGAAGAGTTGTGTCCGGATACCCCAGAGCGAGACAAAAGTCCCCTCTCTCCGCCGCCCATAACGTCAAATCTCTCGGTCGCGACAAACCGTCTTAGAGTTGTCGCCTTTTCGTGATTTAAATTGGATTCGATATTGTGCGCATCTTTGTATTAGATTTGCGCAAAATATTGATTATTTTCTGGCGTTGACGTTGTTGGTTTGATGAAGTTCTTGAGATGAGGTTAGAATTGGTGGTTGTAGGACGTTGTCTGTGATTCCCTTACCTAGAAATCTAGCAGTCGTAGTGTATAGAAAAGACAATGAATCGAGCACCATTTGGACCATGATTTTTCATTGATACTCTTCATATCTGTATTGGTATATCCTCAAAATTTGTAGATAATTACAATGCATCACAATTTACAAATACAAATATTTACAATTCAATTATCTATCTATTTTTCCATGTACAGGTCGAATTAAAGATGGCCTACCTAGTACCTCGCACTGGAATCTCCATATTCAACATTGAAGATATTGGTCCGTGCTAGATAGAGTGATAGGTGTACCTAGACAAGCGAGATAGACGAACCAAACCTCAGGTGTTATCTGAAATGAAAGCTGCAGCCAGCCCACATGGGAATGGAGAAGGACCTGCAAGTTGCCAGGTTTAACCAGAAGCTCTGAACTCTGTTTGAACACAAGAGAGCTTGTCTCAACATAAACATAAAGAAATCAACTGTTCCGTACTCCCAAGACTAAGACTTCAACTACTCCATCGATACCTAAACAATTTGCTTGCTTTGAAAGTAGCAGTGATGCTTTATTAACGCAGAAGATTCGACTTAGAACTATCAAGAAAAGAAAAGGTTTTCCAAGAAAATGCGCATAAGGCTACCCTTTGCAGGTAAATCACACTCTAGCTAAACTCCTAGTTCCTTGTCCCTCCCCTCCTTCTCCACACCATGTTACTCTATCCTATCCATAATACACTCCCGCTTCCCCAGAGATCCTCAAAACTAATACACCGTCTTCACAACAGGAGCATTCCTGTTCCTTCTCTTGCTCGCCGGTTATGCGGGTTTAACATCCATCCAGGTCGACGCAGTCATCAACGACAAAGTCCTACACACCGTAACCTTCTTCATTCTCACCGTTGTCTTCTACTGGATCCTCGACACCAGTCGTCGAAGAACCCTCAACTTTACTCTAATATTCTGCACCGGCATTCTTGGAGTGGGTTCTGAATTCCTCCAAGGTTTCTTGCCCAATGGGCGAATCTTTGATTTTTACGACATAGTCGCAAATATCGTGGGTTCGCTAGCTGGTGTAGCATTATGTAGTTGGTATCATTTACGAATGTTGGAGCGGAAACGACTGGCGAAGACGTATCATGTGGTACCTGGGGATGAAGATCAAGACTTGGAACTGGGAGAGGGAGTGGGAGCACAGGAGAGTGGTGTGACTGCGGCGTCGAGGACACTAGATGAAGAGGTTGATAATTGGGACGAGAATGTGGAGGATGCTTGGGATGAGGATGAGAATACAGGTGGTATGAATAGTTCTAACGGCGAAGGGTTGAAAACACCTAGTGCTAGTAGCGCGGGTGAGGTTGAAGCGGACTTGAAGAAAAGGGCAGACTAAGTTTCAATAAGATTTGCTATGATGTTACGGATATGATTGGCTACGACGTGGTCTTACGAGGGAACGAAATTTAAGAATTCCTTAATGATGGAATATGTTAGGTGATCGGATGTATATTAGGTTATATTTCAAAAAAGGAAAGCACCGTTGAGGGAATCTAAGGCACTGGCATTACTCATACTAATTCCTCCAATCACTATTATAATAACTAATCTATTTAGTAAAAATTGGGAAGAAGCCGATCGATCAGAGTGTCCATAGGCGCACTTAATGGGTATCGGCAGTATTCCATGCACGTTTGCCCAGTATCGACTTCTAAAAACATGATAACATTTCTAATTCTCGTCAAAATATATCTCCCATGAATGCACATGCCAGTCCCTCAGGATGGACATGAAAGCTGCACTTTGAAGGCGCGAAAGATCGAAGAGATGAAGCGGAAACCTTCTGATTTTGTCCCAGTACCCCCTTTAAGTATCCTGCCTTAATCCTGTTCATCCAAATCCACACATCCTTCCCCAATTCCGCATGACCAAAATGCTCCATCCAAGCTATTTTATTCAATCTTAACAACGAATCCTTAGTAGCTATCGAGCTAATAGCCAATGAGAAAGCTATGAATGAACGAAGCTTTGAACCGGGTGTCGTGTCCATGTATACCAAAATTCCATCTTTTTCGGTAGGAGTCAACTCGTCATACTTTGTATAGTTGGACATCAGAGCGCTCATGGTGTAATCCATTAGCTGGGGAATACCGAATTCGTCAGCCAGACCATACAGTATGATGCGAGTCATAAAGGCGACGAATCCATTTTCTATTTTAAAGGGCGCGTATTTCCCAGTTTGGATCCATTCGAGAAATAACGCGAAGGAAGTTGGTTCTAAATGAAGGAGTCTCAGCGGTTCGTCTCTGGGATGTCCATTGAGAATTTCATTGAAGTATTTGATATTGTCGCAAAGAAGAGTCTTGGGAACCTCAAAAGTATGACGATTATGCGCCGCGCTGCCAATATCTATTTTGACAATCTCCTCGCGAGTGGTAGGTTCTAGAATTATATTCTTCTTCCTCTTCCTCTTTTTCTTCTTCTTCTCTCTCGGCCCATAATATGTCACCCCATCCACCTCCACCTGCTCGACTGTAAGCACAAGTGTAGAACTCATACTAAACAATGAACAATATCAAGAAGCCAGAGAGATAAATATCAAAACACCAAATCCCAAGCAACTGGACCAAAGTTGAAACCGGATCTCGAAATGATAGATACACCAGAGTCGGAAAAGTAATTTCTAGAATCTTAAATCAAGTCTACTTGAAGTCAAGACTCTATCGAAAGAATATAAAGAGCCCTCTTCCTCTTTTCTCAATATTAATACCAATATCGATATCAAATCCGAAAATAACAATAATACCTAACAGACAGAAAGATACTAGAAATCCACAACACAAAACCAAAACCAAAATCGAAATCAAAAACCAGGAACGGTAAATGTAAAGATTAGAATTTATTCCCAATATACACGTACTTGAAGATGCTTAGTTTGTATGTGTATAAAAAAAAAGAGAAAGCAAGACAAATAGCAAACTTGATGGGTTATTAAAAAGACGTGTAATTACTATCTAGAAAGAAGGTGCGAACTCTCCTCTCCTACCCTCCCCTTTTAACAGAGCTTAGAAAGAGCAACTGCTCGATTTGACGTGATGTGATGAATGTTAATATAATTAGCTTGAAGATAAATATAGGAACAATAGTTGAAACTCAAAAAGATGGCTAAATTGTGTTTTACTCACCCGAGACTTTTATCATGCTATTTGGGGTTTTCTTGTTCTAGATTGGTTGAAATTACAAATCACATGGTTTACTTTCCTGCTCAGACCTGGGCATTTGCCCATAGGTTTTACAGATAGGTTGGCAAAGCCACAGCCAAATACAAAGTTGGATTTTACGTGGACATTGAAGTAGTAATATTTGCAAACAGGAGATGAAGAAAATAAAACACAGGCAGCTTGCTAGGCATAGTCATTAATTTCATGGTATAAAACTGCGAAATTTTTTCCAGAAGCGTTTGTAAGATATCATAATACATAGACCGAAATAATTTATCGTAGCTCATCAATCCGCTTTCCATATATGTCCACCCCCTTTCTGCCATAGCCATAGAGCTTCTATCGCATAGGCTTTGCTACCTTGATGCCCTCCTTCGGCATTAGCAGCCTCTTCAAGAGTTTGGATAACTTTACCCTCTTCCACAATTCTCCACAAGCCCTTTGACATCTCAGTACCACTATCTCCCCACTCACCTCTACCCAGCCTGTAAAGAAACCTTCCCAGAGTCTGGAATGCAATACATCTTTGAGCTGGGAACGCAGAGCGAGCTAACCTTGCTAATTCCGGAATTGTATACCCAGCTGCTTCAGGAGCCTCACCATGATGATGTAGACCTTTTGTAATTGGCATAGCTCTTGCAATTCTAGGCGGCAATAAGCCACCCCTGAAGTCATATCGAAGAGCTGAAGCTGCCAAAGCTTCAGCTGCGGGATAATAAGGTGATTCTTGATCTGCTACAGAACCGTGTGTAGGTATCGGTGCCATCCAAGCAAGCTTTGAAGGGTCCGCAGGAAGTGATGGGTAGTATTTTTTGTGTAAGTTTTCGAGGAACGAAGGGTCGTCCGGATCTAAGTCTGGAACAGGCGAAGCAGTTGGGAAATGTATAGATGGTTGCGCAACCTCAGGGACACTGGAGCTAATCTCGGATGCTGGTCTTAGGTCTATAGGATTTGTCGGCTCTTCATCTTCTTCAAATGTCACTGATTTTTGAGGCACAACTGGCTTGCCTTCTGGTTTTGGTGCAGGTGTGGCCTCAACATTACTTTTCTGAGGTAGATTTTTGTTCTCATCGCTATTGAGAGATTGTGTCGAAGACGGAGGATCAATTCCAGTATCTCCACGTCCATCATCAAGATTGGCTCTCTTCAAAAGTCGTTGAATTAGTGAAGGATCTAAAGTAGCAAGTAATTCTTCTTGTTCTTGCTCAATTTCTTCCTTTGACATGGAAGCTATTCTCATTTTGTTTTCTTCATCTATTCTTTTCCGTTCCTTGTCGACACTGAACTCGTCATCCTGCGTGGATGTGTCTGCGGCCGTTGGACGTCCCTGGGAGGGGGGAACTCCAAACGCATTGGGAGAATCTGCCACAGTGCCATTTGTATTTCCCGCCCTTTGTTTTTTGAATGCCGATACTCGTATCCGCTTTCTATGCTCTGGAAAGCCTGTTGTTGAAGTTTTTAACTGAGGAGCTGTTGGTGGCTTTGTAGAACGTTCTTTAATATCTGCGACGAAAGCAGATGCAAATGAAGGGACATTATTTGATGGGATGGTTGAACTTGATTCGATTTCGTCGTCATCATCTGAAAGATTAACGGTAAATCTCTCACCACGAAACTCCATGATTGTGACTTTTGTAGTTCTTTTTATTTAGGTAGGTTGTGGGGAAATTTAAGATCCGTATGCAAGGCTGCTAGGATACTCAAAACGTGAGCCTCTAAGAAAAATTTAAGGTTTTACGCTAACCTGTATCTGACTAGCTGCATTTCACAAAGATTTATTTCGGGAAGCCATCAGACGTCGAGCAACGATTGACAACATCTCGATGGAAACAAATATCAATTTCATTGTTACAATTTGTTCGACTTTATGTATATAAAAAGCATCCTTACATAAGCCTTAATATCAGGCACCTTACACATATTCCCACATCGACAAAATATTCATCATCAATGGCTCCAACATAAAGGGGAATATGAAAGTATTTCCCGGAAATGGAGGAATTTCTTTTAGATGCGGAACTGCGCATACGGAGATGTTATCTGACGTTTCCGTTGGAGATAAACTGGGTACAAAATCACATGCATTAATTCAACAACACATCTACCTACCAGGTAGCCATAGGGATTGAGTCGTACCCCGTGGAAGAAGTCGATTGCTAAATAGATATGGGTACTGTGTATCCACATCCATACACATATACATACATTTACATTTCTTAGCCCGATAAAGGAAAGTCGGTAGTATTGAATATTTACTCTTCTTGCCCTATATCCTTATTAGTTTATAATTTCCAGGTTGAGTACCGAATCCTAGGTACAATACCATACCTAGGTAGGTACAGGACGGTAATAGAGTAGACCTTTTTCTTCCCTTGTCTCGTCTTGTCTCTCGTCTATTCCCGACGCATCAATTGAACCAAGTTTAGAGATCCCTTTTATCATATTTTCTTTGAGCCGAGCCAGCCAACCAACCAGTGCAGTACGGTATTATTTGCTTCGATGGATCCGCAATGGAACACCTGAACCCCGAAAATCCCCATGTCATGACACTCAAGCAAAAGCGCCCCCCATATATATGCCCAGACCAGGTGAAAGAAAGGTGGGACCAAAAGAAATAATAACCAGAAAGGCGACGGCATTTTTTGCCAACTGCACTACGCTACCCTCCCTAATACCTATCTGCTTGTCCCTGGGATGCCTATCGACCTACCAAGTACCAATCTACCTACCTCCTTGTTACTCCTCCTACTCCTCCTACGACTTGTCCTACTTCTTCTACTTCTACTACTCCTACTACATCCTCCATCCTACATACTACATAACATACTAGCACACTTAACTGGTTAGCTCATCTCTCATCTCGCATCTAATGTTCATGTTCCAACCGTTCCCCCATCCCAAGTTCCTTCCACAATTCCCCTTCCCTTTCCCCTTTCCTTCCACGGCCACTTCCCTTTGCCTTTTACCTTGCGCCTTCCATGCGGGAAAAGACTCCTCAAGGGCCGGCTGTCTTGTGAATAATTGGAAATGTCGCTTGTATTGAATTAAATCCAAAACGTAGTAAATGATCAAAGTACAAGAAGTCTAAAATCCCCCTCTCCCTTCCAACCTCCCATATCTAAAAACAACTCTTCAACTTTTTCAACTTGATTTCTTCTTCCCTTTCACACCCAAATAAAATATACAAAGATCTATTCAATCGATCTTTTATTCCATCAATACTTTTTGACTTTCTATCATACACGGCCCCAAAATAATACCATTAGATACCGACTAATCTCAATTATTTGTTCCTCTATCTTCTATATCCATCTCAACTCGCTTCTTATCGACAACAACATTTTTCGGCTTTTCTCATCCACGTCTCAAAATTGAAGCTATTCAGAAAAGTTTCGCAATTCTCGGTACTACTACGAACGTTTCGCCAACAACAAAACACGGGTTACAAATCACAAAACCTCAAATCACGCAGAAAGGATCAGAATTTGAAACACAAATTTTCTTTCAAAATATCAAATATCAAATATCAAAAGTAGATGGTGTTGATAGACATTTATTAATAATTCGAATTGGAAATAAATTTGAGTTCTTTTGGTCAGAAATGTCAAATTCTCATGATGTTCGCCGGGGTTCGCCACAGATGGGTTCCAACAACAGTAATTCCGATTTATCATCCCCACCACGATCAAGTCCTGAGATGGATGACATGCAAATGCGTAATGATTTAAATAGCATTACAGTCAATCATTCCACCACAGGTGCTTCAACATCCGAAAAGCCTGCCCGCAAGAAACCAGTTAGAAAGCCCAGACCAAAAGCCGGAGATGCTAGCTCAGCTACAAATACCGACGCACCAAAACCTAAAAGAGTTCGCAAACCCAGAGATCCCAACGCTCCTCCTGCTGCCAGATCACGAAAGAAGGTTACGCCTTCCGAAATTACCAATGGGGGAGAATCATCACGACAGACAAAAATTACTGATGCTCCTGGAATGCGTTTGAGTGATATTAGCTTTAGTGGTCCTGCAACCCCACCAGTACAAAACGCCACGATTGCCAAATCAGGAGAAAGTGAGGCTATTCCCAAGTCCTTCTTTAACTCCGCCCCACCGCAACCCCAACCTCAGGTTGCTCCACCACCGCAACCACAGCAGCATCTGGCTCAACCCCAGTCACAAATGTCAACACAACAAACACAGACTACCACTCGAACGAGCGGTCAAAACTATGACCCTGTTAGATCTAATTATGATCCTGTTCGAGAAACACTCGTCAGCCAACACTCATACAATAATTCCCAGGGATCACCAATTCCGCCTCAAGTTACCAATCGCGCCAGTGCCTCACCTTCCATCGCCAGTCTTGTCGACCCTCCCAATCAGCCATTGACCTCACCATCAGCTCATTCATTCCTAATGCATCAGCAACGTCAACAAGACGGACATACTTCCTTACCTGCCTCCCCAATAGTTAATCGATTGGGTTTATCAACGACTTCTGATTCCGCTAGTCCTCGGACCTTTGCACCAACTCCCACACTAACGTCACAACCAATGCCCGCTCCAACACCACCTCCCGCTCCAACCGTGTTGTCGCAAAAGGAACCCCAGATTCCCAATGGTAGCTCGAGTAAGAAGAATATAACCAACGGAACCTCAGGAACATCAACTCCAAAGCCATCGACCAAGGGTAAAGAGAAAGAGAAAGACAGTGTTCTTCTTACCCCACCTCCACTCCCTGGTTCTGGCCTGATGCAGCTCGGAGGTAGTGATGGTACAGAAACCCGTGCTCCCACAATCGTTCTCGACATCCCTTTGAATGATGGTGAAGTAAATGTCTATGTCAACTTTGCTCGTATGGCCGAGGAAACATATGGTTGGGATGCCTTACACCCTCGATTGGCAGCTCAGCGTGATCGGCTTGCAAGAGTTGCCGCTGCCGGTGCAGCCCTGGAGAGAAATGGCTCAAGCAAGGAGAGTGGAGATGAGATGTCACTGGATTCTGAAGGAGAGGCTAGTAATATTGAGATGGGTGGAATGAGTGATGGACGTATTGGGACTGATGGGGGTACGAGAAAGGCCAAGCCAAAGAGAAAGACCAAGGAGGATGAGTACGACAAAGACGATGGTTTTGTTGATGATTCTGAAATGTTATGGGAGGAACAAGCCGCCGCTGCAAATGATGGCTTCTTTGTGTATTCAGGACCTCTTGTTCGAGAAGGCGAGAAACCGACCCTTGACAGGTACGTGCTGTAAACCTCAGATGAATTTTTTTACGTGAGACTAACTTCTAATTTAGAGGAGAGGGTCCAGCGAAGAAGCCTCGCACTCGAAAACCAAAAGTGGCTGGTGAGAAAACCACTACCACAAGTCGTACTAGTTCCGGCGGTAAAGCTTCTGGTACATCAGGCGGCGTTGGTTCTCGTGGCGGAACCACAGCAGCACGTAAATCTCGTATCACAAAAGCTGATCGTGCACGTATGGAACAGGAGAAGATGGAGCGAGAGCAGATGGGTTCGATGGGTTCTATGGCTGGTATGCCTGGAGGATATAACACCATACAACTAGCACCAAGTTTAGGAGGAACACCCATGATTTTCAATCAGTAAGTGTTAAGTAATAGGATGATATTTGGCTGGGATTGATCGAAATCGTTTGGGTTTTTGTAGAGTTTTGATTCTTGAAATATCATCCTCTTTCATGGGTCGAAATGGTAATCTTACCAGGCGTTCAGAAGGGAGGGTCGAAATGCATATGGAGTTATTGGCGGTTCAACGTTTGAGCATATAATCCTGGTTGTACATTAGACTACCTATCTTTGCATGACCGGAGAACAGTTACTTTTTGACTGTACAGTATATTGTAGCATTCAAATTCGAGATATTATAATACTACATGTGCCGTGCAAGTGAGATCGATAGATGGTGATTTGACTTGGGGGTTTTGGAGCACTTTGGGGAGCTAGGTTAAAGCAGCGAATATAAAAAGTATCAGAATGATTTAAGAGTTGCTCTTAAATGTATATATATGAGTAGGTAATGTGAAGCATGAAGGTTAAAATAAACTTTTAACTTCTAGTCCTGATGCACTTATCATTAACAATCTTGCTTGTATTACTAGTAAGTGAACCAATCAAGCAAAAAACATTAGTGCACTCAACCTGTTGTTGATACCCATGAAAATACCCCTCGTTTAAAGCAGCACACCTCCGAGCATCGGTACGGAGTATCACTAATAATTGCATCACCATCCCGATCGATAAATATTTACGAAATATTTCCCGTCGCATGAATCCCTGCTTGTAGCTATCTATTTATTTACTTTTCTGCCATACCCAACATTCAATTCCCGTTTCCCATTTCCCATACCCCATATGCAATTGTAATTGTGTTTCTTACAATTACAAACATAACTCGCCATATCCGGCGCAACACAACAAACACAATGACAACACTATCCCCAGCACCGGCATCAACCCCCGTCCCAGCACCGTCCGAAAAACCCAATCAGAGACCCAGTCCCCTCCGCAGTGTCATCGCGGGAAGTACAGCGGGCGCGGTCGAAATCGCAATTACATATCCGTTTGAGTTTGCAAAGACGCGGACGCAGTTAAATAGACGATTGCCGGAGAGTGGGAAACTTCCTTGGCCGAAGTTTGGGAGTGCTTGGTATGCGGGATGTACGACGTTGATTATTGGGAATTCGTTAAAGGCAGGGATTAGTATGTTCTTTCTTTTTTTATGGGTTTGCTTGGGGGTGGTTTTGATGGAGGGTGGAGAGGTGGTTTGAGAGCTTGAGCGGAGAGAGGGATTGAGGGGATATGTGATAGATGATATGGAGTGCGAATACTGATATATATAAACATAGGATTCGTCGCATTCGATCAATATAAAGCACTACTCCAAGACGCCGATGGAAAGATTTCAGGACCCCGAACTGTAATTGCCGGGTTTGGAGCTGGTGTTACAGAAAGTTTATTAGCAGTCACACCATTCGAAAGTATTAAAACAACTTTGTACGTTCCCAACTCTTCCCTCCCTACCATATACATATAACTAACAACCGCAGAATCGACGATCGCAAAAGCGCCAAACCGCGCATGAGAGGATTCCTCCATGCTGTCCCCATCATCGCACGCGAAAGAGGTCTTCGAGGATTCTTCCAAGGTTTCGTCCCAACGACCGCTCGTCAATCCGCCAATTCAGCCGTCCGATTCGGTTCCTACACCTCGCTGCGTCAACTCGCACAATCTTATACGGCGCCCGGAGAAAAATTAGGTGCATTATCTACTTTTGGGATTGGCGGATTAGCAGGTATCATCACGGTATATGTAACGCAGCCACTTGATACCGTCAAAACACGCATGCAGAGTATAGAAGCAAGAAGCCTGTACAAGAATAGTTTCCACTGTGCGAGCTTGATAGCGAAGAATGAGGGGCTATTTACATTTTGGAGTGGAGCCTTGCCGAGATTGGGAAGGCTAATTTTGAGCGGAGGCATTGTTTTCACAATGTATGAACAAAGTATCGAGTTAATGGGCCGCGTAGATCCAGAAAGTAAATACATTTAAAAAGGGAGCTAAGGAGTGAGTTGAGCATTGAGTGGATTTGAAAAGTTGGGAAACGCGCAGCGGAGAAGGGTGCACTTTGACTTGAACTTTGTGCGCAGTGAACAATCTTCAATCCTCGTAGAATTCCGTCATTTACCTTGTTTGGCAACCAACTTTTCTTTGGACCCCTAGCTTGGTATTCTCGGTAGGAGGGATGAAGTTGTGAACTGTGTGGTGTGTGCATTTTGTATATATATATGTATATATATATCTATGAGTACCTAGTACCTAGTAGCTAACTAGCTAGCTAGCTATCTGCACTTTCCTTGCCCTTGCTCTTGTCCTTTTTCTTTGGGTTTATTTATAGAAGAGAGAAGAGGGAAGAGGGAAGAAGAAAAGGGGAGAGAAGGAAGGATTGAAGTACGAGAGCTAGAGCTAGTGTAAAAGTTTGGATGGACTTGTGGTTTTTTGATGAATTTTTGAGGGGTGTGTTTGCTGTGGGTGCGGACATATATCTCTATTCATTTGCTACGTTCATATGTTCGTATATTCATACATTCATGTCTTCAATCAACACACTAACTAGTAATACAAATTTCATTCCATCCCATCCCAATTCATGTTTTTATATAATCTTACACTTGGTTTTATTTGATATCGTTTCTTCTCTCTCTCTCACACACACACACATCACTGAAATCGCAAAGCCCCCTTCCACTTATTCACCTGCTGTTGGAACCAACTCCTCTTAGGCGCCTCTTCGAGTTCCCTGACGAGATCTTCGTAGTATGTTGGGTTGCTGGTGGGTTTGAGAGTTTTGGATGTTAAGGGATACTAGGGCAGGTATTAGTCCTCATCCCGTGCTATTTCTTTCCATATCCCCCCGCCCATTTTCCTCCTAAAACCCGAAATCGTAAAGGAACAAAAACAATAGAAATAGAAATCAACGTACCTTCCCCCGATACCGATCCTCAAGTAAACTGTAAAGTGCATTACATTGGCCTAACTCACGCTTCTCGTCGAATTTGCCGGCAGCAGAAATTGTTCGATCGTCGACGAATGGCGTCTTGAAATTGGGCTTCGGGTCGGAGTGCGTCTTTGGCCAGCGGGAGAGCGCGGAGGTAGTGGCGGTAGGCTGGCTGGATGGGGAGTGGGTGTTAGATGGGTTTGGGGAGGAGGGAAGGGGAAGGGGAGAAAGCCGGAGGGAGGGAGGGAGGAGGATGGATTGAAGGGGAACAGGAAGGGGAGGGGGGAGGAAGGGGGAGGAGGAGGAGGATGGAAGGGATGGAAGGAGGGGAGGGAGGAGGGAGGGTGGGATGGAGGGATGGAGGAGAGGTAGGATATAATCATATAACTTGGAAAGGCATGAAGTATTCAAGTAAACATAACATCCACTTCATCCCAATCTAGACTTCTAGCCCCAGTTGCCCGACCGTGCGTATCTCGAAACCCCCAATACGAGCTCGGAAATTTGATTTCAAGGACCAAAAGAGAAAAGGAAACTTACCGATTGCGACATGATGTTTGAATCAAATTGATTGAGAGAGAATCAATTGGGTAATGGTGAAGATGGGATTGTATTGACAAGGAAATAAATTGAATAGATTGGATAAATTGAATCAACTACCGGTAGATGATTGGAATAAACTGAATGATTGGAATTGAAAGGATGATTTTCAATGGATTTTCAATGCGGATATGCGATTGGAGGGGTGGTAGGTACATTATGCGGTCATTACTTTTCAGAAATACAGCAAGGCAAAACGGCAATCATTTTTTAGTGGATCCGGTCATAATGCGGTTGTAGTGCTGTGTTAGATTTCGGTGTGCTTATATGGAAGATGGGCGTGGATTTAGTATGGGAGAAAGTCTACGTATGATTTGATGGCATGTGATTTGTAAGATTCACAGGACACAGGTTCGAGATGATTGTTCAAATTCACATCTTGATTTAAGAATCGATAAGATGATGCTGATATAAAACATGTAAAATAATTATACATTCATATATACATACCTCTTACTTAGACATTCTTACATCCTCAATATTATCCACAATAAATTCCTATTATCCCCTATTAAAATCTCCCTGTTATTCCTGCTGTGCCCTTCATCAAAAATATCGATGATTTCTAGCGAATGAATGTGGCGCTTACGGAGTTATTCTTGTACAAGCTAACAATCTTGCGACCCCATCCCATCTCACATCTCAAACAAAGCCGAAAGGACTGAACTGCCTGACTACCTACTTATCCATCTACACGACCTTTTCCTTCCTCCCTCCCTCCCTCCCTCTTCTTAATCTCCTGACTAAAACTACCTCAACCACCCTTCCTTTTCTTCCTTTCATCTACTTCACTTCACGACCTCTTCTTTTCTAACCCTTTACATTCATTCACCACATTCAAATCTTCAAATCTTCTTCCCTTGGTCATTTTCATTTTCTTTGTTTCTCAAATAGCAAATTCATCATGAGTTCACAACGATATGAGAGGGTGCGTAATCCCCACTAATCCTCGCCACGATTTGAGGAGTGGATATAGTGGTTAATGTACGAAGATGAATACTAACATATTTTGATTAGGTATCTGCGAATGATGAGGATACCCCTTCGACACCTACATCCCCTCCACCATCTTTCCGATCGCGAGGCTCTTCTCCCTCCTCACGACATCATGTAACTCCCGTCGATCAAAATCTAGCGGATACATTTGGTGATGATGGATCTGATGATGAGGATAATGATGGAGATGATAGACAACGATTAATGCGTGGAAATCCTTCTTCGTCAACGGAGCGACTTACGGAAACTTCGGGTGATGAGAGTCGGCCAGCTACTCAAAGAACAGTCACAGCGGTACCGACGTTTGTGCCGCCGACAGGTGGAAGAGTTTATGGTGGTGGTTCGGGATCTGATGGTGTCTTTGCAAATTTAAGTGCTAAGCCTGAGAGAGGTGAAAAACAAGAAGAACATCCACCTGTATGTGTACCTATCATCATATTGCACACTCATGCTGACAACCCATAGACATATGAACAAGCCGCAGCAGACGCAGCTCCACCATATTGGGAAACAACCATTCTCGCACCCGGATTCGGCGGATTAGATGAAGTATATGTCGAAGGTCTTCCAGTTGGATCCTTATTCTCCTTTATCTGGAACGGCATGATATCGATGTCATTCCAACTCGTCGGTTTCCTCCTTACATACCTTTTACATACTACACACGCCGCAAAGAATGGATCTCGCGCTGGTCTCGGAATTACACTCATACAATATGGTTTTTATATGAAAGGCACAAATAATGTTGTTACACCACCATCAGGAGGAAGTGATGCATCATATGCTCAACCTCCTGACGCAAATAGCCACGAGTTTGATCCCGACAAGGTTAATGCAGCCGCGACAGCAGGAATGGATTCTGGAAATGGTGGAATCTCGGATATTGCAAGTAATGAATGGTTTGCATACGCACTTATGATAGTTGGATGGTTTATCTTAATTAGAGCTTTCAGTGATTTCATCAGAGCGAGGAGACATGAACAGTTGGTATTACAAAGTCCAGATCGTGGATTACCAGTACCGATAATTGCAAGTGGTGAGGAGAATGAGACGATTGTCTAAGGGATGGGTTGGAAATGGAAAGGATAGGATGGTTGATATGGAAACTGGATATGGATATTCATTCACACGTAAAGAGTAAAGAAGGTTTACCCTGGGAGTTTATATGGACAGGATAGGGTAGGAAGGATTCAAGAGGAAATGGAGATAAGGGGAATTACTTGAGCAAAGAATTCCTGTGGTTACTTTTATACTCCTTTTTCTTTAACGGATAACTTTTCTTTTTGAACTTTTTAAATATCATCTGGTTGGACAAGCGGGCGTTAGATAATCTCATTCTCCTTTCTTTTGTGGGTATGATGTGGTGTGGTATGGTGTGCTTATATGGATATCATTGTGAGCTTAAGTCATATGGAGAAGAGAATTGACTGATTGAGTTAGATAGATGAGTGGATGGATGAGTGGACGGATGGATGGATGGATACATTGAAAGTTAATGAATATGTGGAATATATATATATACAATGTTGAGAATCTGATGTTTGAAACTTTTAAAACTAGTTTGATTTTGAATTTTGAATTTTGAATGGTATGTTGTGTGGATTTTTGGTTGTGTTTGTGAGTGGTGTTTGGATGGATGGATGGATGGATGGATGGGTGGATGTTTTGGATGGATGAGTGAGTGAGTGGTCTATGGGAAGGGAAGTGGATGGATAGATTGCTTTTTATTATGGGATATTGGTTGTGGTTGTAAGTGTGAGGGAGGCTGTGAAGGATATAGGTGGGAGAATATGGGAGGTGAGACAGATGAGGTGGGGTGAGTGGGAGAGATAAGGGAGATGGGGAGGAAGCGAGAGGAGACGAGAGACGAGAGGAAGTGAGTAGTTAGATACATCTACAAATCTACAAATCTATAAGTCGCTAGTTTAGTTATAAGGAATATATGTAAAATATACTCCTATCCAGAAAAGAAAAGAATATATATCAGTAAAAAATACAGTGATATAATGATATAATGATAAAATGAAATGGTTGTGCGATGAGTTGTATAATTGGAATGGGAATTGGAATTTGATCTTGATCTGGATGTTGATTGGAGGTAGTGAGGGGGGATGGGAAGAGCAAGGGGTTCAACAAGAAGAAGAAGAAGAAAGCCAACAAGCAAGCAAGCAAGCCAAGAATTATAATCTCAAATGCGAGTAACCCTACTCACCAGAAGGAATAATCCTTCCTAGGTTCCAAAATATACAACTGGTGAACTATTTACTATCTACTATCTACTATCTACAATCTACTTACAATCATCAATCACTACGAGTTATCTATCTTATAACTAAGAATTACAAAAATCTTTAGGGCTCACTGCAATCGAGGTCAAAGGTAACTTAAAAAAGATGAGGGTTTAATTTTACTCTTATAGATTTATTTCATCATTATTTCACCAGTACAATAACCTCAATTTACACATGACTCTCCATATTTACTTTAAGAATATATATCATTTCGGATTTTGTACTTCCTTTCCTCCCTAATAAATACTAATCCTAACCATAACAGCCTTATCAAAGGCTCAAAAACAAGAGCAACACAACAGGATATCGTTTTCGTCTTCATCACTATCTTCGTCCTTAGCTATTTAATCATCTTTTTAACCTTTCTCTTCCACAAGTGGTATTGAGAAACACACAATGGATCTTTGCTTTCATTACTCCCAACACCAAACACTCTTTTGCAACCCATTGCATACCACAAATTTGAATTGATCCTTCAATTCCCTGATTCTCATTCCAAACCCAAGGGTGCAGCAAATCTAATAGTAACAATTAATCCATTAATCCAACATAAATGCTCTTTTCTTCTCATTTCGATCAAGCCCGAACTTCAGTAGTTTGCTCGTCATATTGTGGATACGTGTACTTGCTCATCGTGTTGTGGGAGCCGTAGTATTGATCGTTTCCGAATACGTTATGATGATACCCTCAACCGGCATAAACAAATCGTCCTAAATTGAGGCCTAACCTTAATCCCTTATTTGACTTTTCTTCAACAGGTGACAATGGCTCTTCCTCTCCATCACTATCTGGTATAATCAAATCTTCACTACCTTCTTGGGTCAAAGCAGCTACCTCAGTGTCATCGATTGGAGGCAATGGAACGGATGTCGGTTGAACATCTGCTAATCTTGACTTTTTCTCTTTGGTGGCTTCGGGAAAAGAAACGCTGGTTGTTCGAAGAAAGGCGATGGGACCGGCGGCCAGCATGGGAGTCATTGGAGGTGTGGGTGGTAGCTTGAAGCGATTATGTGCAGCAGCACCCAGTCGTTGAAGAGGTGTGAGGACAGATTTGGCAGAGGTGGTGACAGATTTCTTTGTAGCTGTGGTGTTCAACTTTGCTGAAACAGGGATCCTCGACTGAAACTGCGTGGAAGTGGACAGTGGAGTTGGAAGACCTTGACTAAGGGTAGTAGTCTTTGGTGTTGAAAAAGTTGAAGCATCAAGGGAAAACCTGCTCTTGAGGTCAGGAAGCGGGGTGGACGATTCAAGGATTGGAGAGGGTGGCTGCTCAGATGAGTTCCTGCTGGTGATAGATGATTCGAGGTCAGGGACCGTAATCTGAGAGTCTTCAGTCTGATCGTGCTGACTAAAGGTACTCGTACTTTCCTGGGAATCATGAGTAGATTTGGATGAAGCCTCTCTGAAGATTTTAATTTTTGGCTTCCTGGCTGTCAAATAGTTATCGATATCTGGAATGCTCATCATAGCTTCTTCAATCGAATCATCCGAAAAGATGGTTATATCTTCCTTCTGTTTATTCTTCCTCTTAGAGATCTTGGAAATACTTGGGCTGTCATCTTCAAACCCATCCGCAAAGAAACGGCTTCGACCTAGCTCCACTTTCTGACCAGTTACAGGTGTTTGAAGTACTGAATCATCCTCACAAAGTCGTGCACGTTTTGGTGGTCGAGATTCGGTAAGCGAATTCACTCTTCTTCCAGTCGATCTGGAGGTTTGAGGAGTGGGATGAGGAGGCAATTGAGGTTCTATTTCAGTTGTAGATCTTTGTAAGTATGGACGAACTGGCTCAGCAATCCACGCCCCTGAATTCCGAGAAAGAATCTCTTGTTGACTGTGAGAAGCTTGAAAGCAATTGATGTCAAGCTCCGCAAGAGGGGTTCGCTTAGCTCTGAAATATGTATCAATGGAAACACCCTTCTTTAAGTCGTTCGTGGAGACAGATCTCTTCGAGGCCGTGAAAGGATTTGCCATCTTGTTTCTTCGTTCAGTCACAATGGGTTGTTTCGTGATAGGATCCAAATCGCCTTTTGCAACCCCTCGAGCAATCTCCGGTGAAACGTCGTGTCCAATAAATTGGGTTTGATCCTCCGTAAGTGGAATACCAGGTTGGGTGTGGAGGACTAATTTGAGAGTTCGTGGACAGAAAACTCTTTGATGTAAAAAAGTAAACTCGGCTTGATAAAAAGATTCAAGGTAGTTTTTCGGCACGTGAAATTTCCCGTCAAATTGAATCATACGAACGACTTTTTCGATAGTCTTATGCTTCCGAACTAGCCGATAAGCCGTCTTGAGCCCCATATTGCTCATGCTAGCTAGATAATCACAGCCACTTAGGATTGCCATCCTCCGAAATTCGGCATCGGACCAACCAGTTAAGTTGACGTCTTTGCAAGCACAAAAATCTCCCTTGTTGACTTCGATACAGTTGCCGTACTGATCTAACTTGGTTAGAAGACATTTAGCACCAAACACCAAAAGATCAGAGTCTTCAGATAGTATTCCATCGATTATGCCTTGTCGTTCCAGGTAAACCATTTGGGCATCCGCTTCATACGGAGCGACAATATATTGTACTCCCATATCTTTCAACTCATCAATTACATGACGGGCCATCTCTGGAGTCACATCAACCGCTTTCTGAAATTCCAGGTATGCTTGGGAGGTCTTTCCAGCATTCAATAACTCTTGTCCCATTCGTTTGCAATCTTTCCGGCGCTTTTCTCTGTCCTTCTCTGTTGCAGCTTTACTTGGCAAATAGTCACCATCGAAGATCAAGTAGGGAGTGACACCAAAATGCAACAACATTCGTACCCGGTGCATACAATACTCAACATATCTGCTTTTTTAGTTAGCATATTTCCTTCCTAACTGGGCTCAGGCTCCATACTTTCTTGTTGGCTTTCCCATAGCAAGATCCATAGCACATGATACAGTCCCACGGTGTAGCCAACCATAAGCATCCACCCCAAGGGTTTTGCCATCAAACTTTTTCAAATTACATGGCTTTTGAATGGATTTGAGCAAAGGGAGAAGGCCTACGCGTGGTTAACGTGGGACGACTTGAGTGAGTAATCATTAGGGAATATATATATGTACCATTGATCCCCATGTCGACAAGAGTATTAGTAGCACCAAACAAACAGATCAACAGAGGGAGGCTCGGGCAACCATTAGAATTTTAATTGCATGTAAAGTACTATTAATTCGTCGTAGAGCGGCGAGGAAATGATGAAACGAATGTATAATTCAAGACATGTAAAGGAGAAAGAGCATGCTATTATTTATGAGGGATCAATGGCCGTTAGAGTTGTCGTAAGCTGTCGCAAGTTTTGTCGTAGGTGGTCGTGAAGATTGTTGATATCAAGATTCGGATTGAGGTTCAAATGTCCCTCCCAATTAATTAGTAAACTAGTAAACCTGCATGATCATGATAGGATGAACGCGTGTGGAAGGCGCGTCGAACACCCAGGAACTTCCTTTTCCTTCACTAGGGCAACCACTGATCAATATAATGTCTGTGTGATCTCAAACCCCTGCTAGCTCAAAAAATAACAAGCGGGGAATTTTGGCGATAAAGATTCCGATATGGAAAAAAAGTTTAAGCACCTGCAACCAAAATACTCGAGTACAATTGAATTATTTCATCAAAAATACAAACTACTACTTTGGTCGATTACCTACAAACTTCGCAATGCCGAAAAGTCTCAAGAAAACCTCAAAACATATCTCCAAGAAGAGAGGAGGAGAAGTCACAGCTTTACATGAAAATTCTCGGGATTCTCGCAGTTTAAGAAGAGCAGGAGGACGAGATGATAAATTGGAAAGAATGGCAGCTGAGAGAAAGAGACATAATCGTCCTATATGTATGCATTTCAACAGTTCAATAATGTTACGAGCTTCAATTGACATATGTGATAGTGGAACGAGCTCTTTATTTCCAAGAAGCCATAAAAAATAATGGTGTGAAGCCACTCGAGCTCGATGCGATACATAACCTCATAAAAACGTAATGGATCCCCGAAGAACGATAGCTTCAATATTATATCTAACTATATACCCAGTTTTGTTCACCAAAATGATGAAGAGCTTAATGCTTTAAAGAAAGAGCGCCGTCCTGGTCGACCAGCGAGTACAAGAGAGGATCTTCTGAAGATCAAAATAGCTGCGGATGAGAAGGAATATGAAAATGGATTTTGTTCGTCAACACACTTCTGTGTGATCTTTGAGCCTACAACTAACAATATGTAGACTTACCAGACCTCACCGATTCAGATAATGTAATGGCTTTTGCGTTATGGGAGAACTTGACATGGTCATATCTTAACACTTTGAAATGGATGCGCTTATCGAGCAGTGGGCATATTCAGGAAACTAAATTCCCACCTAAAGGATCTTCATGATTGAGTCAAAGTAGAATGGCGGCGTTAGTGGAGTTTGTATCAATACCCAAAATTGCGGGAGCAAATTGTGGATGATATTGTTTTATTTGTGCTATGGGGGTTGTATGTTTAGATAAAGCCGATATATTGAACAAAACTGCATAGAGTGAAATTAGAATGAATAACAAAACACATTTCGAGTATACTTGAGCATATCATAAGCACTTTACAACCCAAAAATAAACATGTGTGACAAACAGCCTATGGAATCATACAATTTTAAAAGTCCGGATCAATCATTTTTCCGACAGCAAAAAAGTTCCCTCAGAGGCGAGCTCAAGAAAGCAAACTTCCAAACTACAATTTTATATTTTATAACAAAATCTTCAATTCAAAATAAAAAGCATAAACCCAATCACCATGCTTTCCCTCCGTACTCTCACCCGTTCAGCACCACGAGTTGCTCGCAACTTAAGCACCGCCGCCATCAGAACCGCAACCCGTCCATCCCTTCTCCAAACCGCTTTCCCCGCCTCAAGACTTCAATGCGCATCTGCATTTTCGACCTCTAGCATTCGAAACAAATCCGCCGCTCCAGAAAGCGATGCCGAGTTAGTAGAGAAACTCGCTAGCGAGATTCAAATGGAGGACGATATGAAGGCTCAAGAGGAAATTCCTACGAGTGTGAAGGATTATATGGAGAATGGTCCTTTTGAGATTTTGGATACGCCTGGACAAGAAGAGGTTGTTTTGACCAGAAGTTTTGGCGATGAAAAGTATGTTTTTGTTTATTCTTTCTTCTATTTGTCCCATTTTTTATCTTGTCTTGTCTTTTCTTTTCTTCAAAAAGAAAAGAAAACAAAACAAATAAAATAAACAGCCAACTGACAACGAACCCAGAATCCGAGTTACCTTCTCTATCGCTGACCTCAACGCCTACGATCCCGAAGCCGACGACTTCCAAGACCGCGGCCTCGTCGACGAAGAAGACCTCGACCCAAGCAAACCCGAGGACGTGAATGAAACCGAAGATGCCTCCTCCAACTCAGACGAAACCCAAGGCTTTCCAGCCCGCGTAAACATCATCGTTGAGAAGAAAAACAAAGGTGCCCTCGCCATTGAAACCGTCGCTGAAGATGGCATGATCGTAGTCGACAACGTATACTACTACAGTGACGCCTCGCACGCATATGCCAAAACCACTGAAGCTGCGCATCAACGTCAAGATTTGTATGTTGGACCTCCTTATGGAAATTTGGATGAGGATTTACAGGTGTTGTTGGAGAGATATTTGGATGAGCGAGGGATCAATCAGGCACTTGCCATTTTCGTCCCCGATTATATTGACATGAAGGAGCAGAAGGAGTATTTGAGATGGTTGAAGAATGTCAAGGGATTTATTGCGGCGTAGACTTCATATCATATCATTGATTTGATGTACACCAGTCTATATTCACGACGGACCGATGGATGGATTAAAAAAGCGTTGTTTTATGGGTTTTACTACACTACCTATTTTCATTTCCCTTCAATCTTGTATTCTTTCTCTTATCTATCTCTTTCTTCATACCCTTTCCACTCTACTTGCGTCATGCCCTTTCTGGCACAGCACTACCACACCATACCTACTATCCACATATAGCTAGGTAGATAGGTAGGTAACTACACAAACTATGTATGTACATTATCCCTCAAATAGATGATAGCACGACTATCACGACTGTCACGTACAATACGATTCAATTCGATACGATACGATAGATTCAAATGCAAGCAATCTACGTAATGACTTCCAAATGTTAAGAGATACCAATTTTTGTTCAAGAGATGCATTTGATAAGAACAGCTTATATTCTTGATTTCCTTCTTTTGAAATTTAATAATATGGTTTATTATCTTTTGTATCTTGCGTATTTTTGAAAAAAGGTTTGTATATTTGACTCCTGATGGCAGTGGGGGAGCTGAGGGCTTTTCCCCCAAAGAAGTTTATGGTGTGGAGATTGCGGTTGGTACTCGTACAGCAAGCTACAAACACATTCAGAATCAGAATCAGAATCAGAATCCGTATATGCTTGTGGGTGTATGTGGGCGGCGACTTTTGACCCTTTCGAAAACAATATCTCTTCCCGCTCTTCCCGCGCACAATACCCTGAACATATCGCCAGTCTCGTTGATCATATACGCCTGGACCGTAGCTCCCCAAGTTCATCTTTAGATCAGATATGGCAAGATTTGGATTTAGAAAACCTTGAGATGGGCGGGCACTGGAGAAGGCGATGTAGAAGACTACTTCAAGAACAAGATTTTCCCTAGACCGGCACCGTCAGATACCCTGAAGCGTGTCGCTAGTTGTCCGATGGTCAAAAAAACCGTTCCTGATGTCAGATCAAAGTTCAGAGTCAGTACTCCTTGTCCTGATCTGCTTTACGGATATAACAGCCTTGGAGCATTTCCCCGGCAGCAAAATCAACTTCGTTCTATGGGAAATGAGATGGTAGCTAATTCTCAAAACTTGATATATCCCTTTCTTGTCATCTAATTCAAGGCTGATGGACCTGGAGGGTCTGCGGGTTTGTGGGTGGCAAAGAATCAATGTCTCGGCGGCTCTGCATCCTGTGTCAATATTGCTGAAAGCCTCAATCGATGTTTGAGACAATGCAAAAGCGAGAAGATCCAGGCGATTGGTAGCGCTGCATTCAGTATCGCTATGAGCGGCACAGAAGCACGATTTTGTGTATCCTGGAAGCATAATGAATTCGAATATTATACACAGAAAGTCGATAGTTTCTTACTTCAGGAACCTGAAAATTATATAAAATTCCGCAAATACATCCGGAACATTATCGATTGGGGCAAGGAAAAACGTCTGGACGAGATTCGGAATTCATTGGATAGCCTCCTCGAGGAGAGGGAAAACAGCCTCCCAGCCTCCCAGCCGGCCAAGTCCTGCCCGCTGCCCTGACCAGACGACTCTTTAAGGAGGAGTAGTCAGAGGCGCAAATTTTCATCGTCTCGCAGAACCAACACTGTACACGACCGCAGCGTTCCGCCTCAAGACCATGGATACGACTCCCTCGCAAACAATGCTCACGCTCTGCCTCCCGTTAACGACTCCTCTTTCCTATACGTTCCGCCTCGAGACGATCCATATGAATACGCTTAGTAGGGTGAGAGTTTCTTATCATAAAGTCCTGAAAGCGGTCCAGGTTGTTCCGTCATCAATGGTCCCGTTCCAGGAGCTTGAATTAAATTTATTGGTGGGAGGATGTGTAGCTTGCGGTGCAGACTGAGAGAGATCTGGAAGAGGTGGAGGATAAGCGGCTTGGAGCTGGATTTACTACTTGGGATTAATGAAGAGGAGTGAGGTGATAATTCATGAAATGGAAGAAATTTCTGATCCCTGCGTATGGTCGGCGACGGATTGAAATTTGTGAGGGATAGATATATCTTGGGAATACATGCTCTACTTAATACTATTAATTTTTGTTTTATTTAATTTATTACATCACATCTCATTCTCGTTCGGAATCGGAACAACATATCCTTTCTTTTCTCTCTTTCTTTCTAATCCTTACCCTACACCTACTCTCACTTTCACACTCTCTCACTCTTCCAAAATCTCAATCTCAATCTCAATCTCAATCCCAATCTCATTCTTAATCTCATTCTTAATATTCTGATTCTTACGATTATCTGATTCACGCCAGGTCATTCAATCATCCCCTCACTTCGCTTCTCTTCTGTTTTCTTCTCTTCCCTTCCACACATACACTCCATCCCTATGCATTCCCAAATCCTTTGCAAGCAAGTGACCAACCAACCATACCAAATTCCCACCAGACCAGACCAGACCAATCCATACCATACCCGCCAAAACATAGATAGATCGCCTTGCCGACTTGCAGAAAGACAAGGTAAGGCAAAAATGTGAGCAAAAAAACATGTGACAATCCCGCCACGCCATGATGCATGAAAAGAGAATAAAGACAGATAGCTAGAGTAAAAGGAAAAATAATGCGCCGATTTCTTATGAATATGAGTCCATGCTTGCTACCAGGTGCCGTAAAGGAGTGTCTAGGCTAAGTAATTTCAATAATGTTCATAAAATAGAGAAAATATCCGGTGCATTTAGGACTAAGTCAGCACAAACGCCCAATGATGCAACGGGAGAATTTGATGACTGTACAATAGACATTTGAAAGTCTTGAACTTGGTAAAGAAGGCTCGTAGTTGGCGATAGAACAAATTGTTTTACTCGAGAATGTTTGTTGCTCCAACTACTAGTCCATGAAGATTCCCACAGATTTGCCAAGAGATCTTATTTACTGAAGAAGTGAATAGAAGCAGAGGAGTCCGGATAACATGTGATCAAAAGCTCGTGCTCCAAGACCATGCACCAGTGGCAAGATTGTCGGCAGTATCTGCTAGCAAGATTATTCGACGTTTGTTACAATAAGATGTCTTGTCCATAATTTCAACCTTCAATTTCTGGGCAGCAAGTTCCTGAACTGGTTTCTCAAACATTTCCGACAAAGCTTCGACCGCCATCTCAAGATCCCTTTGATTATCCTCGAACATTTCTGTAAGGTTATTTCGTTGAAGATAAAAAGCAAAGGCGTAGGTCCATTTAAGAGTTTGACGGCAAGTTTGTAAAGCTTGACTTGCGGAATTGAGATATTGAACTTCAATCCAAGATAATCCCGAAGCGGATTGAAGTTGAATCATCTTTTTCTCTGTCTTATGATATATATCGATGTCCAGCTTTGCTGATTGTTCATGATTGGCATACCGATTATAGTAATGAAGGTAACGTTCCAGGGATTTTCGGGAATTCGCCTGAGCATCTCTGGCTTCGGAGCCACTTTTCTCTTCATATCTATTGCAGTTGTACCAGCTTGTTCCATGCTCCGACCATAATCCCATGCACATCCAACAAAATTCATGTTTGCACTTTCGACAGGTCATATGGTTGCACCCTCCGTTCTTCTCAATAGTAGAATTACACTTTGGACATTCTTTTGTGTTGGCAGAAATCCAATTGGCGGTTTCAGAATCATCCGCACACTTCTTCAGCCATCTCTTGACCAGTGTACAAGGTGCAGGCTGATGGTCCGCTAATATGCAACCGAAACAGAAACGATGCTTGCATTCACATGCAACTGTTGGGACAACTTTATCAAGATCCTTCTTCTTGATAGCACACTCAATAGCATTTTGACAATCCGGAGCGGGGCACCACTTCAAGAACTCTTTGTCTTCAACGTATGTTCTCGTGAGAAGTTCGTGATATCGTGACTTCAAATCTGCAGCAACAAGTAGATCCAGAGAATGACTATCCATAATTCGTCGGCATCCGTCGTGTGGACATTGAATACGAGCTGCCTCTCCCTCCTCCTTGATCTTTTGACTCAAGTATTGATTATAGCAGTTAACGCAGTATCGATGCCCACATTTCATAGCAAACGATTGTAATCCGGGTTCATCCTCGCAACAGATGTCGCAGACAAAATCTGGTATAACCTCAAGCTTCGGTGGCCCTGATTTACTCGATGCTAAACCAGCATCATCAAGGACCTTTTTCGGACGGTCCATATAATCTTCGATCAAACGTTCTTTATTCCACCTGAAGTGCCTCAAGAGAATAGCAGCGTCTTCTTTGCGAATATCGAGTATCATGTTGACTTCATTAATAAGTTCGTCCTGCTGACTTTGAATATCTTCGGGACGGTGAACCTTGTAATTTATATCAAGCGACTTCTTTTTCTTCTGCGTATCATCCTTGAAGCAAATATCTGGTGCTGATTCTTCGAATCCGAATTCTACATGACCCCAAAGATGTTAGTACTTGTAAGGTGAGGGAATTTGTTAGAAGATAATTAAGAAAGTGTCCACTTACCATCCTCCGACTCCTCTTCATTTTCACTTTCGCCCATAAGAACATCATCCTCACTTGATGCTCCAGACATGAAGTCGTCCTCGGAATCCATACTGTTGCTGTTGGCTTGTGGTGAAGGAGTTACTGTGGGTTTTTCGGAAGACGTTGACGTTGCTGCTGCTGAGGCGATCCTTTTGTTGGATCGATTCTCGTCCTTATCGTTGTATGGTATCGCCTCAGCCGCCTTTCTCTTTTTAGATTGGGAAGAAATGGTGACTGTGAATGAGTGCTTGGCTCGTCAAAGGCGACGAGGTCCTAGGCACACAAGGCTACCGAAGAAGAGTAATTTCGGTGTGAATGACCCTCAAAAGCAACGAGTCAAAGATGGCGTGTGATTATTGATATATGTAACCTGACCATTAAACAGAGAAGTGGTCAAGGAAGAAGGAGGAAGAAGGAAGTAAATAGAGCAGAGTAAGGATGGTATGACTCTGAATAGTGTAGAAGAAGGAAGATGGTAAGGGAGGGATTGAAAGTGTGTGGTGTTGTAATGAACTTCAGATTTAGATTAAGTAACAAAGTATGGAGTCGTAAGTTGATTTCGGGATTGTAGGTAGTGGGTTCTGCTGAATGTCTGACTAATAAAGGTTAGACATTTAGGATTTATAGTAAGATCTTACTTGGTTATAGTATGTGCACTGATGGTCCGCTTGTACCGATGTCCGGCGATTGAATGAATGAATGACGGTACGGTACGAGACCAGTAGCTCAAATTGTGTAGTGTATTTTGAATACGGTATAAATATGTATTGCTTCTTAGATATTCAGATATCAAGCTTCATATCTTCAGCAATACGATCTTATGGAGAGAAGGACAACATACATACAGCAAAGACTCAATCTCCATATATCGCTCCGGACGCAGCCAATGATGATGAGCCAAGCAAGTATGCGTCAGATACTCCATTTTGAAGCTATTCATCAGTTTCGTCGTCATACATCTGCAGTAGCCTCTTGTATAATAATAATTATGGTGGGTCGGATTTATATCCTCACTTCGATATTTTCATAGACCGGTACCTGCTTTGAATGATGGGAAATCGGACATCGGGAATCAAATTGCCATTCCAGGTCGAAGGAGCTTGTTGCCTCAAGCCATCCTACCGGTATGACCATTGAAAGTCGTTATACATGTGTTATCTATCCAGGTTTATATCCATATAAGTCTTACAGTAAGTAATTCAGTATAAATATAGGTATAGGTATCGGTATACAGAATCAAACTCAATACATTCAGTACTCCCTTCTTCGACATAGATAGTTCTAGCTCTAGCTCTACCAAATCATACAATTTCCTTCACAATGACCTCCGAGAAGCAAATCCCCGTCCTAATCATAGGCGGAGGTATAGTAGGTCTATCTGCATCGCTCTTCCTATCACAACATGGAATCAAGTCTCTCCTCATTGAGCGCCACTCAGGAACATCCATCCATCTACGAGCTCGATCCGTCAATGCCCGAACTATGGAAGTCTACCGTGGTCTCGGGATTGGTGAACTTGTTCGAGAAGCTGGTGCTTCAATAAAAGCTACTATTGGTATACATAGAGGACAATCACTTAAAGAAGTGATAGAAGCAAAGAAACGAATTGAAGGTCCTAGGAAGTTTCCTTTCACTGGTTTCTTGGATTCGGTCAGTCCAGTGAGGGGAACATTTGTGACTCAGGATATGCTCGAACCAGTCTTGGTAGATGTGGCAAGGGAACGTGGGGGTAATTTGAAGTTTTACACGGAATTTGTTGGCATCGAGCAAGATGATGATGGCGTTACAGCTACATTGAAAGATCGAGAGACTGGCGCCGTCTCCTGTGTTAGTGCCGAGTACTTGATAACCGCTGATGGGGCAGGAAGTCCTATCCGGAATCAACTCAATGTCCCAATATCCGGACAGGGTACAATGGGATATCTACTCAACATCCTTTTCCGCGCAGATCTCAAACCCCTAGTACACAAACGAGAGTTTTCCATCTGTATGATTGAACGTCCTGAAGTCAGCGGCGCATTCACATCTATCAACAATAACGACCGCTGGGTCTTCCATCCCTCGTATGATCCCTTAAAAGGCGAAAGAGCTTCAGACTTTACTCCTGAGAAATGTAATGAGTTGCTACGTATTGCACTAGGAATCCCCAGTATCGAAATCGACATTAAGAGTATTCTCCCCTGGGAAGCATCTGTACGAATAGCAGACCAACTACGACATGGACGTATCTTTCTCGCAGGCGATGCAGCACACCAAATGCCTCCATGGGGAGGACAAGGCGCAAACACGGGTATCACAGACGTCCACAACCTAGCGTGGAAACTCGCTCTAGTTCTCAACAAGCAAGCGAGCCAAAAACTCCTAGAAACATATAATACAGAACGACAACCTGTAGGCAAAACAGCAGCAAATATATCAGCAAGTGGATCCGATAAACGAGGAATGATCTCAATGAATCTCTGGAACCTAGCTGTTATATGGAGATTTTATAAGAGAATAGCTCTCTTCAGGCCACAGATATACATATACCAGTAACGCAGTATGCGCTGAGGATACCTCCTCTCCACTCAACAGCTACACATAGAAACCCTAGACAATATCCAGTCTCTTCTTCTCACTCGGTAAAAGACCAAGTAGTAAAATAACCCACCTATGGACCACATATTAAAGAACCCATATCTCGACTCTCGATCTATGCCAAGGGAATAAGTTCATTCTCCTCACAGGCGCAAAAGGAAAACACTGGATCGAAGCCGCGAAAACGCTAGCAGAAACATGCGATATTCATAAGATTATATCAGTCTATAGTACAGGAGAAAATGGTGATTTGGTAATAGATAATGGAGTATGTGAGACGGCGATGGGTGTTACGATGAATGGTGCAATATTGGTACGGCCGGATGGGTTTATTGCCTGGAGAGCTAGGAGACGGGGATCTGCTTTGGAGAATGAGCGGGTTCAGCTTGAGGTGGTGATGAGGAGGGTGTTGTGTTTAGCGTGATTGGATTTGGTTGGGTGGTTTTGAGATGTAAGATAGTGTCATGCAGGTATTTGAGTTTGGAGATGAAGTAGCAGATACTGGGTGGAATGTCCGGGTTATGGTAGACGATCTTGTTATTCTGTGTAATCTCTCTCCTCTTACTCATAGATAATTGTACATATATATATATAATCGAAATTTTCACACTTCCACTTCTTTACTCACTTACATATTTGAACTTTTCAAATTTTCCAATTTTCGTAAGTAGAGAGTGAATTTTACACACTAATTAAAATGCATTATATTTACATATATTTACATGTATTTACTCATATCTAACCCTCAAAAACCCAATTGCTCCTCCACCAGCAAACCTACGACTCCGCAGCCAATCCACTCGTAATATCCATTACACTGACCGTAACCTTATTAGAAGTAGAAGGCGGCAAGATTCCACCACCCGCAATCAACAAATGATTTTTATTACTTTTCAACACTCTCAAATGTCTCGAATAACTAGTGCCCTCTGGCGTCTTTACTGTCTTCCACGCATTTTCGGCTCCCAATGCTCTGTTTACGAATACTTCGCTGCGGCCGCCACAACTTACGATGAGGGTGCCGTTGCTACCGCCGATGGGAGTCCAGGTTACGTATGGGGAACCGGTGGGTTGGATGCCGTTGTTTGTTATGAGAGGGGTACCGGGGGCGGAGAGGAAAGTGAGTGGGGAGGAGGAAATGCGGTAGTAGACCGGGAAGAGATAGGTGGATGTGTTGTTTACAGTGGGACCGCCGCCGTATTCGTAAGTCATGATGTACTTTCCATTGGGGAGTTGGGTGATTGTGGTCATTCCTGGACGAGCGGTGTAGGTGGAGTAGTGGACATCATCTACGATGTCACCCCAAGTGAGAAGATCAGAGGAAACGGTGTGCACGAGTTTCTGGCCGTATAACGCATCACGTTGGTCGGAATAGTAGACTTATTTGGTTAGTATTTATAGTGGTTGATTTAGACACTGGAAATACTTACGAACGATCTGTCCCTTGTATGTAAGAAGGAAAGGTTCCCAAATAGCGGGAACTCCATTATCAGGAGTAGCTGCACCACCATTTGCTACTGTCGATACATATTCCCAAGTATATCCCTGATCCAAACTAGCATAAACATCAATTTGAGTCTTACTCAAATCCGTTGGAATGGAGTTTCCGGTTGCAAGGATAGTACCAGCAGGGTATATTCCGACTTTCTCTGTCATCGAATATAAAAATGGTTGATATCTCAATCCCCATCCATTAACCTGATCTGTAATATTCGAGATATGTTTCCATGACTTTCCACCATCAGTACTTTTGAAAATGGGGAAATAAACAAGAGGAGGTTCGGGACTGTAGTTTTCCCATGTAGCTAGGAGGACACCGCCTGGTAATTCGACTGTTCGTGCATAGAGAACACCAGGATCAGTCCAATTAGCTCCAGGAGTAAAAATAGTAACATCAGAAAATGTACTGAAAGAAGCAGCAGGAGCCGCAATGACCGTCCCGAACACCGCGGTGAGAAGAGCAAAAGAGAAGAACCTCATCTTGAGTATAAAGATGCCGATGTAGATGAGAACACAACAAAACCAAGCGGAAAAATTAGAGAGAAATCATGACTTTATACTCTTCATACCGCGTACCCATGTATCTCCATATTGATTCACTTGATTCACAACCAGGTACTCCGGAAAAATACCCCGCATGAGAATAGTAACCATTGGGAACATCGCTTGGATAGTAAACCTTCACTATGGGGATAGTCCCATGTTGATCCCCGCAAAAAGTGTATGGAGCACGCTGGCCAACAATACAGAACAGGAACACGGGACTGGCTCGCAAGAAGGTTTCTCCAGTGCACTTCGAAGCGCACCAATCAGAGGACTGCGCTAGCAATTATGATGGCTGATGGAGGAATTATACTTGGCGTGGAGAAGTTATCGTATGAGGGGGAAGCTTGGGGAAATATAGATGATAATATGTTGCACTAGCTGGCGGGGAAATTGTTTGCCCGAGGTTTAGATTCTTGCCTCCGTACTCAAATGTCATACGAGAAATCTGCCGTTGATGACCTCGGTATATAATCATTAAGTTTTTGTCAATGTGTATTGAGTCTGGATAATACCCAAGTCTACATGATTGCCGATGAAGAATCAATTGACGACATCACGTAATTAGGTAGATAGTTGTGAAATATGCTGCAAGTAAGAATTGCAATATCAACAAAGTTCGTGATGTTCATCCCATAAGGTTAACCGTAACTTAAACAAGCAAGGCAAGAAATGGCGATCCCTCCTCACGTCACGACCTTCCATACCCTTCCAACCTTTTCAGTGCCAGAATATCAACATTAACATTAACATCAACATCTCAATAACCTCATCAACAACCCATCATCCATCATCCATCATCCATCATCCATCATCCCTCTAAACCTCAAACTCAACATCAATCAATCAAAAGCACCTAGACCTACAAAAATGGCAACCCGCTTCGCCATGCGCCGTCTCGCGACCCCGCAAACCTTCCGCAGCTTCTCCACCACCCGTCCAGCATTCATCAAAGTGGGTGATAAAATCCCCAACCTCAATACCTTGGTTGAGGATTCTCCCGGTAACAAAGTAAACTTGAGTGAGCTTACTACTGGAAAAGCGTTGATTATTGGGGTACCGGCTGCTTTTAGTATGTGCTCTTCTTCTTCAATTGATTTTTATGTCACTTTCGTTCTTTGTTGAGATTTCCGGATTTGTATTTTTATATTCATGAACATTGTTTATGCTGAGGGAAAATCTTGGATATGCAGATTTAAAGAGAAAAGGAATCAAACTTGCTAACTCTAAATTAGGCCCCTCATGTTCAAATTCCCATATTCCAGGTTATATCAATCATCCTAAGCTCAAGGAAGCTGGTGATGTGTTTGTAGTTGCTGTTAATGATCCATTTGTGTAAGTGAGCAATCTTGAGGAATTTGGTTCTCGTTCTCCTATACTTCTCGCTAGTAGAATCATCGGGAATATCACGAGATATCACATTATCACATGGATGGATATACAGCAATCGATTATACTAATACTTTTTCTAGCACCAAAGCATGGGGCTCAACTCTCGATCCTACTGGTGAATCTGGTGTATGTTATTCTTCCATCTTTCTATCTTATACACCTACCCATTCTCCCCTGGCCCAAACTATCCATCTCCCTTTTCACCTCCTTCCTCCCTGGTCCCCTCGATGCATTTCATCCCAATCCGCAATGCCATCTTCAAATCAAATCCCTTTAACCCTATAAAAAACCCCACTAACCCTCCCCCCAAAGATCCGCTTCCTCGGCGACCCAACCGCCTCTTTTACATCCGCCCTTGACCTAACCTTCGACGGTACCTCCATCTTCGGTGGTCCCCGCAGTAAACGTTACGCCATGGAAATCGAAGATGGAAAGGTTAAGGCTCTTCATGTTGAACCTGATAATACTGGGTTGAATGGTATGTAGACTTAAGATCTTCTTTTGCTATTCTCTCTTCCTCGCCTTTTTCTTTACCTTCTATACACCTTCTTCATTTCATCCTCAATGTTTTACTCTCCATCCGTCTCATGCGATCTCTCTCTCCCACATAAACCCCAGAAAATACCCCCAAGAAAGCAAAACAAAAAAGCTAACACACACCTTTCCCCATCTAGTCAGCGCCGCCGAAAAAGTCCTCGGGTAAAGAGATCAAACCATACACATTAAAATACCCTACCTACATTACCTACCTAGCTAGCTAGTTATAATAAAATAAAATAACTACTCCAAACATCAAACATCAAAAATTGAATAATTCTCATGTTCAAATAAGTTTATAATATACAACAAATTAATATTAATAATTTAAAAATTATTTTTTCCCAAAAAATCTGAAAATCAATCTATATTCAAGAAAGTTGTAAATACATGAAAATAAGGATTTTTTTGGATGTAAAAGGGTGGGGTTGGGTCCGAAAGAGGGGTGGTTTTAACGTGGGGGTACGAGACTTACATACCTACACCGACCGACCAATACACATCCATCCAGTCACAATCACAGTCAATAATAATAAGTCATACATACAACAATACATACATCGTCAACCGGTGAACCATACGATTATTAACCAAAAAGATTTCTTTTCTTTTCTTTTCTTTTAATTTCAATTCATCTCAAAACCATTCCATATCCGATCCCATGATATCATTCATCTCTTAAATCTTGAAATCAACTATTCTTTCCATTTCATTCCAATGCTCGCTGAAACAAACATACATACATACATAAACATCAATATGGTATCTCCGCCTTACGCCAAATGGCACCTTATCGGCCAAATTCCATGCATGCATGCATACAAACAAACAAACGAACAAACAAATAAACATAAAATAAAAGTAAGAGTAAAAGCAAACTACAAATCCCCTCCTAGTAACTGTGAGACTAACACTATACGCTTGCTTAGTCAAATTTAGCCAACAAATGCCATCCAGAGATATTTTTCCAAAGCGAACCAAAACATGCCATACTCATACTCAAGTGCGCCTGCCATGCTAATAGATATTAAAAAAGATAAACCCAAATCGATAAAAATGACTTTCAAAGTTCCACTTCGGAAGCCTCAGAGAACATAACTGGATTAACCGATTTCGAAGCTGCACTCCCTAATTGAACCGACTTATCACTTGCTTCCCATTCGTATTTCTTTTCCTGTGCGGCTACGCCTGTAGGATCGATTCCTCGCACATATGCCAACATATCGATGCTTTCATCATCATCGTCTTCTTCCGCGTCGTCAACGTCCATAGCATCATCATCTGAAGATACCTGTATATCATTATCTGACATTAGATCTTCGTCTCTCTCTAAAGGCTCATCTCGAAGATGAGCTATGCCTGAGAAGGACGAGGAATCGGAATATTCTCCTGTAGTTTCGGTGCCGGAAAACATGCTATAATAAGATGGCTCTGGTAGTGTTGATGGTTGAAGCATTACTAATTCTTCCAAGATATTTTCCGTCTTGACAGGTAAACTTCCATGCGATTGAGATGGCAAAGGAGTTACGGGCTCATTGGGAAAAGTGCTCAAGCGGTTTAATTTGTCGCGTATGCTGTCCACCTTACCCTGAGGCTCAGGATTATGAAACGACTCTAACGAAGACCTTGGAATGGTATGTACAATCCTCCTCGAAGTTGAGCGTGGTGCAGAAAATTTCGAAACCTTGACGGGGACATGATCATCAATGGTCCATCGTGTATGTACCTTGTAAAGCAAGTGATCGGCTGGTTGTACGCCGCCAAGGCCACTGGCACTAAAGTCAACTGGAGATGAGGGAGATCCGAGGCTACCGCAGGCTAAATCGGTAGTGAACTCGAAGTCCACGTCATCCGAAAGTACACTTGGAGTTTGCGGTCTCGTCTCCGGTGTTTGAAACAAATCTACTCCTTTCGAATAATCCTTGAAAGGCCTGAATGGTAGAAGCGACCCAGACGGAGTCCTATTTTTAAGGAGATGCCCTTTAGGATGTGAGCAACCGACCGCATCGCTAGTATGGCTGCTGTAGCCATCTTTGTCCACACCAGTAATGTGCAGCGGAGTTTCCAGATCGTCGCGGTCGCCAGAAAGATCAGTGAAGAACTTCATTCCGTTGTAGAATATCAGAGGTCCATCGTCGCGTGGACTATTATTGCCAAGAATTTGGTATGGGGAAGCAAATCCAGGAAGATTGTAATGGTTTTGTGATAGGATGCTTTCATCGCCAGATGCCACGGAGGTACGCTGAGGGTAATGAACAAACATTGGCTCATAGTGGAATGCACCTGTCGTGATGGAACTCTTCGTATTGTCGTTTAAAGTTTTTGAGGGCGCTTTTCCGGCAAGAGTGAATTTGTTCGCGTGAACCTTGCGCCTTTTGCGGGAAGCCTCATCACTGCCATCACTATCGAGTGGAGATCGTTGATGTACGCTACTGCCACCACTGTCACTACTTAAATGTGTTCCTTCCGTGCCACCCCTCCACCGCAGTTTCTTGCCATCTGGAGATACTTGAAGCTTTTTGCTTAGTTCCGTGACGGCAGATCTGATAAAGTCAGGTGTAACATTGATTATGTGCAGTTGCGCCATGTTGATAAGAAGATTTAAATAAACCCAACCATCGGCATCCACGGCAGCATCTTGTGATTCTTCGGTTAATAATTGGGGAGCCGAAATTCCAAGGTGGCGAATGTACTCGAAGTTATCAGAACCGACTTGGTCACGGTCTGGGTCCAAATCCAAGGGTCTGGTTGGCCTCTGTTCTGGTGAAGACGATCCGCGAGACTTTTGGGGAGAGGTTGACTGTTCTGTTGGCGATTGGCTAGTCTTCGAATTCTTTTGGGTACTTACCAATCCTTGCCTATCTAGTTCCATATTATGTGGACCAATGTGAGCTTCGCGTACACCTTCTTTAGGCTCAAATTTGCTTTGCGAGACTTGGTCCGCCCGCGCAGCAGACCTGGAAACTTCTTGCTGTTGCAGAGAATGGCTGTGAACACCGATGAGCGACCCTTTCTTTCCTGTAAATAGTTGTTCCAGACGTTGAACAACCATCCTCCTCCGCTGATTCTCCGACATTTCTAGAGAGGTTCTCGGTAGTAACCCCTGAGGAATGTCTTGTAAAAAGTCTCGCATTTTTTTATCTGCCGCGTCCCGCGATGGAGCTGTTGGATGTCCTTCCCCGGCTGAGCTGTAAGAGGGTCCAGATCTTGACATGGAGGCATATGCGGAATCAGTCGGTCGAGAATTAGACCATGATGAAATAGATTTATGCTTGGAGGTTTTACCAGAAAAATTGTAAGGTTTTGACTGCCGATTCGCTGGAGCCTTTATGCTGAGATCCTCTGACGAACTATCAAAACTAGTCGAAAACGAGCGAAGAAGTTCTTCTAGCTCCCTTCGTTTGCGTGCCGATAGGGAATGTATCTTGACCTCGAAGAGCTTTTCATTCTCCAAGTGGGCGATGGATGAGCGTCCATATCTATTTAATCTCTCCTTTAACTTTTTGTTCTCAATCGTCAAATCGTCGATGATGCTACGATATTCTTCCGATGCACTTCCATCTCGAGATCTGGATATGGAGTTTGATGGATGTAGAGTGTATCGTTTAGATCGAGGAGGCAACTCTTTGCTGGAATCGGTGTCATCGTTGGAGCTTTGCTGAAGGAAGTATGGCGGGTCACCTGGATATTTATCAATTCACAAGAACTTGTCAAGGTTCTTAATTAATCACTTACTGCTTTCTCCGGACTCCTCTCGGTTGATGGCAATGGCAGGACGTGTGTTCGAGCGATCAAACCATTCATTCACATTCGTACCAACAGTATCCTCTGAATCGTCTGATGTTTGTTTCCTCAGAGGCGTGGTGGAAGTACCATCTTGGTCTGCGGTGTCCAACTTCGTTAGATCAGCACATGGAGCTGGCTTTTCGTCTTCAACACAAGGTACATCGTGCTTCAAGGATACGGAGAGATGGGCGGGAGGTCTTCTAGGATGAGAACCGGTCGTAACTACAGGTGAACCAGACTCCAAAGTCATAGTCGACGAGACAATATGAATTACTTGAGGTAATATTATTTCAAAGAACCCATTGCAACAGACCGCGTATAGTACCACACACGGCCAATGGTTGAAGATATTATGTGTGAGTATCCAAGCACGATGTTTTTATCTTCCAGCGGACGAGCTGGATGTTAAGTAGAGTTGAGCTCTGCGCTGAGGTGCTTCTCTGAGTAGGTATACTATATATGTATGTGTATATATATGTATAGTTATTCGCAGGTTCCAATGATGGGTAATATATTGAAGACTTCAATAGTCTGGGTATTTTACTACTTAGAAAGAGGGACTTTTTTGATACTTGATTGAATAGAATAGAAAAGGTGTAATTCGTTAAGTGAAGATGTATTGCATGTGTATGCGCAATTTGTGTGGATTTTGAGTAGATACTTATCACCGTTGAGATTTGACGCTTTTTTCTTTTTTTGCTTTCCGAATTTTTGAAATGAAAGAAATAATGGATGATATCCATTCTTCCTCATACCGACCATGTCATTATTGACAATTGCAAATGGCCTCATGTTTTGGTTTTTCTCACTGCACTGATGCTGTAGTAAGTTACGATCTGTCGAGCATCTCTGGAAATTCCTTAAGGTTGTAGCGATCTGAGAATTGAAGGGTGATCTTTGATCAGTAAGATGCGGTTGGTGTGATTGGTCGATGAGGGTACTTAGTAATATCCACCAGTAGCCTGAGATCGCGATTCAACCAATAGAAATGATGCATGCCAAGAATTGAGGGTCAGGGACTCGATACGAAATATGATTGACTCGATGCTTACATCTAGAGTGCCTACCAGTCCACCTATCCTACCGACCCTGCCTACCTGCTTGAAGATATCTCCTCCCTCCTCCCTCCTCCCTCCTCCCTCGACACTCGTGACAATGTCAAAATGAAAATAAAAAGCTACTCCATACATGGGTACCGTACCTAATAGATGACCTCCGACGCTCCGTGGACGGGCACGTGATTCTACGACCTTCGATCCCGATTAACCAGGGGTCTTCTTCGATCCGTCTGTTTTTGTACTACTGCAAGGAAGGTAATGTAATAGCTTCGGAAGTGCCCCGTTCCATAAGCTCTAGAAGATTAGAAGCAGCTAAGAAGGTTATCAGTTGTGTGACTGTGTCATCCCCCATTTTTTCAAGCTCTTTTACCCCCTTCAGTTTATCCGACATCCGGGGCATTGGAATCAAAGTATTTCTTCATCGATGAATGTGAAAACCGTTAATGTACGGTCGGTCTTTGAGGACTTTCTTCGCCGAGAGGTCTTTCATGAAGAAGAGTAAAAAGAGTTCAATGTCACATTTTGCATGAAGTCTAGATTGTCACTAAACTGATGTGCCGTTCGAGGCGGCAATGTCAGGGTCAACATATTATTAAGGTATATTGGTACCAGTCAGCAGTCGCCTCCTGTGTGGTACTACCCACTTCGAAGTTCGTAAGTTAGAACATATCAGCCACATCCTATCTCCTTAGAGCCGATCTGTACATGGGGATCAACGGTGTTACGCCTGTAGATGCTGTAAAACAATACCCTTCTGTCGATCAGAACTTATCCAAATACGAACCTCCGTTCTCTTCATCTGAATTTCGAAACTCAATCACAAAAAGAGCATAATAAGCTTACCTACCTTGGCATAGATTAGAGATATCACGATTGGATAAAAATTTACCATGGGAAATGAGCTCGGTGTTTGCATCATGGTCAATGGTCAAGCTAATTCTGCCTATATTAGCAGTAGGATCGAGGTCCCACACCACAGCATCACTCGATATACTGGCTCTCGAACAATCATTCGTTGTCGTCACATATAGCCCGCTTCTCCAGGTCCTACCATAACAAATTCACCCTGCAGAAGATAGATGTCCAGGAGGAGCATCAGTCTACCATTCACGTCCGTGCCAAGAGCCTGATCATACCAAACTCTTTCCCATCTTCACAATCTCTAATACCAATCCATCATCGAGAGGAGCATCGGATCTGCCTAACGCCTCATAGCCCATTTTCTCATAGAAAGCGACTCCACTCAACGTTGAGCCGATCTCCGCCTTCTTGAATCCCGCCTCTACGGCAGCATTCTCGCAAGCCCGGATAATCATACCAGCGATTCCTCTGCGTGCCCAATCAGGATGAACAAAAAATGCGCGAATTCTGGCACCATCTACTTCAGGATTCAAAAGCTTGGAATCTCGAGTCGCAAATTGATCTCCTCCATATAACGTGGACCTAAAAGATATTCCTCCACTTCCCACGATCAGATGTCCAGAAGTCACTACGAAGTAGTTTCCATCCTTGATGAGTTGGGTGTCAACGCCATATACCGATTTAAGAGCACCGGCTATTTGAGCTGGCGAGTAATGGTCAACTTGAAGACCTCGGACCGAAGCATCGATCAGCGGATGAAGTTGCGGGATGTCATCTACAGTAGCTCGGCGAAGTTTGAGATCCATGGCGAAATTGGAATTGGAATGTGTTCTTCCGGGTAAGTCAAATTTGTAAGTCACTCATTCATCAGCATCAGCATCAGCTCGAAATACTATACATCTGAACATATATTCACCTATTTGCCCACTCTTGCAGCCATTATGGGTTCGGGGGATTATCGGGATGAAAACTGCCGCAGAGATAAATCCGGCTTTAGATAACGTGTTTCCTATCACCATCAGCCATTCATAATTGATAGCACGATGAGGTTGCAGCATATCTAGGCACCAGCCAAATGGTACCGAAACCGCAATTCCTCATGGTTTTATTGTTTTAACTGCGACCCTGCGGCATTTATTGGAACTTTTATCACGAAAAAAGCGGATTTTATGCCGGTGGGTGGTACAATCAACAATAGCCGCATGTTACCAAAATCCCTTTGGGCATGGGAAAAGCATTGGTTACGAGCACATCTTTGGGAAGATTTCATGAAGCTTCGTCTTCCAACCTTATCCGAGATTTAATATATGGAGATTGGGCGGCAATATGCAGGAAAACTCCTCCATAGGATACATTGTTTCTATCTCAAAAGCATATTTTGAGTCTAGATCGGAGGTTTAATGATCCAGACTTGAAGATATACTACGCCATTCTTCAGATACCCAGTCCAATTAAGGATGAGTGATATACGATGCTGGACTTCTCGGATCACTAAAGGGATAACTCATCGATGATGTATCTTTATTCATTCCTAGCTTTAATCCAGGCTAGCAACCAATAATATGGAAATCGCTGGTATATCAAAATGTAAATTCTGTGTTTAAGATGGATTATATCATCTTGCCTTGTCGCCTTTCCACACTTGAAGCTTGAGGTTATTGCGGGGTTAAAGCAACCTTATACGGTGGCCGGGATAATCTTCAGGTTCTACATAATCATTCCTAGACACCTACGGAGCGCTAGTAAATACTTTCTCCTTCATAAATCAACAAATCAACCTCACTATATTTGGCCCATTTATATTCTATTGATCTTCAAGTGCTGAAATATTTAAAGTATACTGTATATGTCTTCATACCCTCATATCTCACTCATATCCTCATGTACAGATCCACTTCGAAGATGTCTACTCCGTAGTATTTTCTCGGTTTCCTTCAGCCCTGGTATGGGTGGAGGAAAACCTCCTGGAACTTTCCGATGATGAGGTAATTGCTATTAATTTTTGCTCAACCTGCCAATATCCATGTTCCTGTTGGCGGGGAAAAACACTTATTATAGCAACAAAAACCAAATATCAACCTCTTTGTATGTGCTCAGATATCACAAATTTTATAAACAAGCCCGCTCCAAATTGCCAGATTGAAATATATTTATTGTCTTCCCGATACCCCCAGAAACTTGAGATGTTTTGAAGTTCATGTAATCGCTATTGAAGACGTTTTACCCTTTTTTGAAGCTAGTTCTACTGTTCCAAGTTTATTTAACCTGGAAAACATTCACTCCAAACACAGTCTGCCAACGAAGAAAGCTACTCACACCCTTTCGACATTTATCCAGTTCACATTTAGCCTTACCGGGAACACCCGCTCATCGCTTCTAAAGCTTCGCTCCATCTTCTTCTTTAAAGCTTCCTCTAAAGAAGATCTATTTCGCCTTCAGAACGAATCTACTCCATCTAGCCCAGTTCTAGCGGTCCCGTTATCCGCAAGTCCAACGTTTCGAATAACTACAACATGCCTTCTTTAGTTGATGAGGAGCCTAAGGCTTCTGGCAGATTACTTCTAGTGTCCAACAGATTACCTATCACGATTAAACGAGCGGATGATGGTCAATATAGTTTCTCTCAGTCTTCGGGTGGTTTGGTAACAGGTTTGAGTGGGCTGGCAAAGACTACTACATTTCAGTGGTATGGTTGGCCAGGTTTGGAAGTGCCAGACGCAGAGGCTAAACCTCTGGTTAAGAGACTGAAGGATGAATATGGTGCTCACCCAGTTTTTGTCGACGATGAATTGGCCGATAAGCATTACAATGGGTTTTCTAGTATGTATTTTCTGCCAGTTATAGCTCGTTGATGTGCAGGTACTAACAATGTCTATAGATTCTATCCTTTGGCCTCTGTTCCATTATCATCCAGGAGAGATTACATTCGACGAATCATCATGGGTTGCATACAAGGATGTCAACAGATTGTTTGCGCAAACGATTGCTAAGGATGTACAAGATGGTGATTTGATCTGGGTTCACGATTATCATCTTATGCTTCTCCCAGAAATGTTACGCGATGAAATCGGCTCGACCAAGAAGAATGTCAAGATTGGCTTCTTCCTTCATACACCTTTCCCTTCCAGTGAGATATACAGAATCCTGCCTGTTAGAGAATCTTTGTTGTTGAGCGTCCTTCATTGTGATTTGATCGGATTTCATACATACGATTATGCTAGACATTTCCTTAGCAGTTGCTCTAGAATTTTGTCAGTACAAATGCTACCCTGCCCGCATGGACTTCCGCTAACAATGTGCAGGGAAACACAAACAACACCTAATGGTGTCGAGTTCCGTGGTAAATATGTCACAGTAGCAGCTTTCCCTATTGGTATCGATCCCGAGAAATTCATTGAAGCTCTTCAAAAGAAATCGGTTGAAGAGCGTATCGCTCAACTAGAGCGCAAATTTGAAGGTGTCAAACTCATTGTCGGAGTCGACAGACTAGATTATATTAAGGGTGTCCCCCAAAAATTACATGCCCTTGAGGTTTTCCTTACCGAACACCCTGAATGGATCGGCAAAGTAGTTCTCGTTCAAGTCGCCGTCCCCTCTCGTCAAGACGTTGAAGAATATCAAAACTTACGCGCTGTCGTCAATGAATTGGTCGGCCGCATCAACGGTCGTTTCGGTACCATCGAATTCATGCCCATTCATTTCCTTCACCAATCCGTCAGTTTTGAAGAACTCACCGCCTTGTACGCCGTCTCCGACGCATGTCTCGTATCCAGTACTCGCGATGGCATGAATCTCGTTTCCTACGAATACATCGCCACACAGCGCAAACGTCACGGAGTAATGATCCTCTCCGAGTTCACCGGCGCAGCACAATCTCTCAATGGTGCTCTTATCGTTAATCCATGGAATACGGAAGAACTCGCCGATGCCATCCATGATGCAGTAACGATGTCTCCTGAACAAAGAGAAATCAATTTCAAGAAATTGGAAAAATACGTCTTTAAATATACGAGCTCATGGTGGGGTGAAAGTTTCGTCACTGAATTGCAGAGGATTAGTGAACATGCTGCGAAAAAAGCAAGTAATAAGGGTGTTGTTGGGAAAGTCCAGGAATTGGTAGATGGTGTCAAACAGTTTAATTTGGGTGAGCAGAGAGAAGATGGGAGATTGGAACCGGGAGAATTTGATGATTAGATTTTGGTGTTGGGCGAGGGGCGAACCATGAATGAAGAAGGGAGAAGGAAGAGGAGAAATAACAAGATAAAATATCTCAAGGGATGGACATGGATGGATTAACACAACTCTCCTTAATATGATAGAAGGATAGATACTATGTCTCATGCATGCATGTATGAAAGGACAATGGAATGGTATGGCTGGATGGCTGGATGGCTGGACGGATGGGTAGGCGTAAATCTTTGTATTGTATCTGCTTTGCTTTTGCTTATGATTATGATTATGCTTATGCTTGATTGACGATAATTGAATCGAATCGAATCAAATCGTATCCACATTGATTGAAAGAAGCTAATAGATAAATGTGTTAACTTAGCCTTCTTTCTTTATATTTGATATTTGATAGAAGATTTATGAGTACCTCCTACCTACCTGGGCATGGAAGGAGAGGGGAGGGCTATAAACGTTTATATTTATATTTCTGTTTATGTTTATTGGATGGATGTAACTAACTTGATGTACTTGATAATTATACTTGATGTATTCGAGAGTGAGTAAGGTTGGTTACAGGGGAAGGAAGAAATAGGTATTATCATAGAGGGTTTTATGAATATATATCTATATACACACATGTGAATTTATTAATGGATTCAAATAATCTTTTATTGATAGAGTATGTATGTTTAAATGCTTCGAATCACTTTGAATCAATCACTTTGAATACATACATACGTACATAATAATTTTACCAACTTCTAATCACCGACTGCCTCATCAAACATTCTCATTTTTGCTATCCTCTTTCCCCCCTCACTTTCCGCATCATCTTTCCCCCTCCAACTTAACATCATCTTCAAGCCTAAAACATTCCCAAAAGATCCTCTGTCGTCTTCTTCCCACCACCCTGCTGTAACTGTGTCTGTGCACTAGGCGGTTGACTAGAACCACTCAAATCCAACCCTGCGAATCCATTCATCATATCATTTCCCATTCCACCCATGCCACCCATTCCGCCTGCAGTAGGAATAGGAGCATCAAATAAACCCATCATATCCGCCATGCTACCACCTGCACTTGCGCCCACGGCTGGACTATCCACTCTTTGAGGTGTGCCTGCCAATCCTTCCAATCCACTTGTGCCCGCACTTGGAGGCGCATCTGCACTTGCTGGAGCCGCACCGTCAAAATCAATATCGAGGAGATTCTCAGCATTATTTTGAGCAGCAGTACCATTTGCGGCTGCGCCAACGGCCGCCGCAATTGGGTTTTCGACGGCATTTTGGCGTTGTTCTTGGATAGCAGCGTTTTGAATGGCGTCTGCGCCGTAACGACCGTGGCCGACGAATGTCTCAGGGGGTTTGTGGTAGACAGAAGCGAGAGTGCTGAGTTCGCCTAAAAGTTGGTCGAGGAGAGCTGGTGGAAGGGATGTCATGGTTGTAGTAATGGGTGGCTTTTCGGAAAGAATGATGTCCTGTAATTATTGTTATTATGGGTTGCCTTAGGGAAGGAAAAGTGATAAATACCTTTGCTATTGAAAGATCACCTGATAATAAACGCCAGTATACATAAGCTCTGTCTCTTATATCAGGGTTATCGTTTTCGGCCGTTGATACTTGTAAGACCTTTTGAACAAGACCTTGATTGTTGTCCGGTTTCTTTAAAAATAACTTGACGACAGCTGTCAGGATTTGCAGTTGAGTTTGGGTAAATTCTTCCATGAACCCTTCAACAAATCCCGCCAGGATTTCATCTGCGTTGCTAATCTTCTCAGCATACTCGCCGACAATCCAAATTAAAGCTCCTCTTGCATTTGGTTCATCTAATTCGTCAATGTATTTGCACAAGGTTGGAATGATTCCTTCGTATCCTGGGTACTTTCTGAAAATATCTTTAATAACCACAATGGCCTCTTGAACCACGTAGTTAACCTTTGTAGCAATCAAATCGAGCAATGTGTTGACACACTTTTCGCTTGCGCTCTCAATTTTTATGGCTGCCTGACCAATAGCCTTGACAGCCCTTCGAACGAAGTCCATATCGACTTCAAGTGCGTATTCTTTGAGCTCAGATAACAATTGATCAACATTCTTGTCATTTGCGATCCGTACCATAATCTCCAATTTTTGAAGTTTAACATATGGGGGATCATTATATTTGCAGAAGAAAACCCTTAGTTCTTTGCTGAGAATGTCTGGCTTCGCTTGCAAGAGAAGGTCGATATTCCTCAAAGCAACATATTGGACTTCTGGAGCTGAAGCAACAAGAGTTACTGGGAAACGATTAGCGCAATTCTTCGCGAACAGGAATATTTCACCTACCAAGTGGTGGAGCCATCTTTTTCAAATACTGCTTTCCTAAGTCTGAGTTGACATTCTTCATGTGAAGGAAAACAACCTTAACAGCAGCCAGAACAACACTTGGGTTGACATGTTGAAACTGAGGAGATACTCTTTCACATATATGTTCCGACTCACTAACATCCAAAGCCTGATAATCTGCCAAAGTGGACAAAATTGTCACTCTACCCCATTCAGTACACTCATTCAAAGCCATGAGCATCTTTTTTAATGTCACAGATGTGATCCGTAAAGCCTTTGTCTCCGGTGCAGTCTCATTAATTTCCACGAGCGCCGTCACGGAATTGGCAACCACCATAGGATTGGGATCTCCAATCAATTCTTGTAGAGTTTCCAGAAAACCGTTCTCGAGACACATTGTAGGATTAAGATCGAATAATTTGGCAACACAAATTGCCGCAGTCTTTCGCACATAGGGCGATTCATCCCTTAACGTTTTCCGTAGCGGTTCCTCCATATAATCTACCATCTTATCGACTCGAATACAACCCATTGTCCGAATCGCAAGAGCTCGTACCAGTGGATTTGGATCCTCGGAGTCTTGTACGAATGTATTGACCGCTAGAATACAAAGGTCTGGATGCGATTTGGCATAATTCCTATAGTAAATATTGAATCAGTACACGATTCTCTTTTAATCCTCATGCACAGTCTTTACATACATTAAATACAGATATACCAGCTTCTTCTGATCTAAATCTGATGTAGCAATGTTCTTTAAAACATCTGGAAACAGCGCAGACACATCTTTACCCAAAGTCATGGACATGATGGTCTTCTGAATTGCTTCTTTGCGCTCGTAGGCATATTGAGATACCAAACCCGCTCTCAACTCATATGTTTCTCCCTTCTTGGGTGGCGCGAAGGCCCCTTTGATCCTATTCACCGCCATCACTCACACAGATGGCGACCTTGAGGGTGCCCCTCATACGCCTATGGCTAAGTTGTTGTTTGACAGTAAGGCCACGGTTAGTGGAAGTGATTGATTATCGTAGATTTGCGATTTCCAGGGTATGTATTTGCAGGTATGCTCTATAAGGAAGGGTGAATCGTAAGATTCGTAGATTATGTTGTAAAGGACTTGGAAGGTATGGGGTTGCTGTAAAAGTGGTGATTGTTGATAGGATAGGTAGCTTCAGCCTGGTACGCTTTGTGGTGGACTCGCTAGATCTTTAAAGAACAGGGGACCCGGCAATCGTACTTTCACGTTGTAATCCCCTGTCATATAAAGTCATATGAAACAAATTGTTGGTGAACTCCTTGAACGTCCAGATTTAATATGGTACCATTAATTCCTCTAATTTTATTGACCTGCGAAACTAATGATGGTTTTCTCCAAGGCAAATTTACCCAACTTACGCAGACTTTTTGTAGAAGCCAGAACGGATGCTGAAGAAAGCACATATTCGAGGAATGCTGTAGGTTTCTGTTATGATCGAATCTTTAAGGTTTCTGACTAACGGATTATAGTTCTACAACATAGTTCTATTCATATCATCTATTGCAGTATTCAGTGTTATTGCACAACGTGTCAGCAAGATTCAGACGTGATCACTGGCAATAGGATGCTCCAGCCTGGGAACGGGAAAGAGACCGGAAACAATCTCCTGCACGAAGCTTGTCATTATTTGACTTTTTTGAAGGCTTGAACATTATGGCTTGGCCTCGTGTGAATGAGTACACGAGAGCTCACCAAATGTATAACCGAAAGACTTAGTGTCGTACGAGTCCAACACACATGCATTGGAAGACGCTGTCCTCGATATCCACAAGATTCAGATTAAGGTGAAGCAGCGCAGTGGTTGAGCACAGAATGCTTCATGTTGCTCTACCACTCCCAATGCCTAGACAACATGTCATTATATGACCTCCTACACAAGGCCCAATCACATATGAGTTTATGCCTTCTCAATGACTCCTTGGTATACCACCCACGTCCCTCCATTATTACCTAGGGACTCATTCCTTCCTATCCATTTACTCCCACCACCCCGGAAGCCATAGTGTAGGTATATTCTGTGCCAGAACTCCGATCCCTTTTGCCCTTCAAGCAGTGGTCCCATCCACAACCTCGCCAGTGGTATTCTTTCCTGGCGCAACCGCCTCCTTACCATCGTCCTTCTGCTTCTGCCATTGTTCTGGCGTGTAGCACTTCGGAGTCCAGGCATGAATGGCCGCAATCTCCGACTTCAAAGCTCCATTTACCAGCCGATGCCTTGCCAATGTAGTCTTCTTCTCGAATTGTGGCGAGACAATGACTGCCGAAAATGCCTGGCCGCAACCACCTGTCGACCAGAATCAATCAGTATGGCGGGGGTATTGCGGGGCAGGAGAAAATATTCGTACCTGACATGTCTTCAATTTCAACATAGCTTGCATTTAGTAAATCTGTAATTTTGACCTTGAGAGCCTCGGCAGATACGCCGGATGCTTCTGACATTATTTTTGTGGTAATAATCAGATATATGTCAAATAATGGTGTAGATTGAACTTTTTCTCATGTCATGCGAAATCGGGGATTGTGATTGTGATGATGCAAAAATGTCGCCGCTTTAATCCGCCTCGTAATATCGAAGAAAGTCATTAACGTGGGGGCTACCAGACAACACAAACTCGATATTGAATGTGATGTTCTCAAGGACAGTTTCTAAGAACATCGTAAGATCAAAAAGAGCCATGTCTACAACTTCTTCGCCATTCACTCAGGCCGTTGTATCGGCTATGAGAAAGTTGTAGGTTACAGTGAATCAACATTCCCGAAAGAAAAGCCCAGTGCTCATGGTACATTGCAGGTACCCGGAGCAACTCGCGGACAGTAGTTTTGATAACACAGGGCGTAGGTTACTTCCTGAGATTTTAGGGTCTGTCCTTCACTGACAATCCTCAAGTTTTGTTGGAGGCACCACATCGCGAAAATCATCTCAAGGATTCAGTTCTTCTAACGGTTGATCTCACCAAGGGGGTTGCAGACGAAGCTATCCGTAGGAAAGATTCAGTCATTGTCACATATCGTAAGTAGACTTGGCATAGAATAGAGAAAAAGTTGATATCATTTGTCTAATTAATATTAAGATCCTATCATCTTCCGTCCTTTGAAGGCAGTCACCCTCGCCAATTCCCAACAAAGTTCTCTGCTCCGTCTTGCCCAAGAAGGAATCAGTGTTTACAGTCCTCATACAGCTGTAGATGCTGCACCAGAAGGCCTCAATGACTGGCTCGCCGATATAGTCACCAATCGACGCTTAAGAAAGGATCGATCGTATGTTCCTTTTTCATGCTCATTTAACTCGTGAAATGAGATACTGATATGCAATAGTATCGATACCGAGTCAATCGACCACAAACGCTTAATTATCAATCCCGTCAAGGATATACCCGATGGGTTCGAAGGTGCCGGATATGGCCGAATCGTCCGATTCAAGCAACCTCAAAAGCTAGGAGACCTTGTTGCACGGATACAATCCTCACTCCAAATTGGAGGCCGTCTCTCCGGACTTTCCATAGCGGTTCCACAATCCATACCTAGAGGGCAAAAATCTTCTATTGAAATTTCTTCCATTGGAATTTGTGCCGGATCTGGGGGGTCCATGCTTAATGGCTTGGACGTTGACTTGTTGTTTACTGGCGAATTGAGCCATCATGAAGCCTTGGCGGCCGTTGAGCAGGGCAAATGTGTCGTTACTGCATTCCACAGCAACACTGAAAGAGCCTTTTTAATGGACCGAATGCAGACTGCTTTGACAGAGGCATTGGGGGGTAAAGCGGAAATTGCAGTAAGCGAGGTCGATAGGGATCCCTTTGATATCATCCACAAGGATGAGGTGGATTGGTAGAATAGTGGCAACCCGGTGAGCCTACCAGGTTACACGAATATTGATTTGCTAGAGCTTCCGGGTGAAATAAGTGATTTAGATGTTGCTGTCGTTGCGTCATGATGTTCCTTTTGCCTTTATGTTAATCCAACTCTTCTCATTTGGAGGCTCGCCCCTCAAAGCTGCCTCTCCGTCTTCTATACAGGCTTGCACATCATCTCCCCCAACACCCCTCTCTTTCCATCTTCTTAATAGCGCCAAAGTTTTCTCCCATTCTGATTTGGCTTCCTCTTCATTACCCTCCGCTATTAAAGTTCTCAATTTCTCGGGTGTTTCCAAAACGCGCAGCACAAGCTTCTTTATGTTCTGTTTCTTCTGAAATGCCGCTCTTTCCTCTGCGCCCATCTCCATAAGTTTTCTCTGTGATTCCGGGATACCTTCCTTCAACTCGCCCTTGATCTTCTCAGCCCTCTCATAGATACTCGCAATTGCCGGGTCCAGCGTACTAGCCATTGGATTTAACGGGTCCATGTTCGTCCTCATCTTTCTGATTGTCTCTGTTGCCGTGATCAACTTGCTGTAATTATCATAAACCAGTGCCTTCTTCTCCGCATCGAGAGCCCTTATATCGGTCAAAACTCCGTTATAAGTCCGCAGCAATTCTCCAAGTGTTTGCTTTTCCAGAACGTCTTTCACGTATTTCTTGCCGTCAAATCTATCCTTGTCCATTTCGCTTTCTTGTACTTCACTATCAAAGTGTATCGAGGAGGCTTCAGATGCGGCATCGTCAGTAGTCGCATCTTGTCCCTTCTTGAGGTTATAATATTCTCGTAGAGCGGCACGATTACGCCGAGGTATCGCAATTGAAGGTCCTCGATTGGGGGATGGTTCAGTTGAACGGGAATGGTCTAAACTCGGTCGTGTTGAGGAGGTAGGTGTTGTGAGTAAAGGCACACGACGCCCATTGACGGAGCTTTCTCGAGGCTGGGCGATTGTAGACATGATCTGCGAGGTTCAAATTTTACATCGGCGAGTTGTGTACTGGGTAATGTTTCTTGATAGCTGGTATCAATTAGGAAATGGGGAATGAAGGTTGTGGCTCGAGCGTAAGGCTGATCAAACTACGGAAGGTGTAGTTGAGCCATACCGTACCCTCTACCTACCTCGGTAGGTACTACTCTTCTCAAACAACCTTCAAATAGTCACGGCTCTAGTAAAAAGTCACAACGGCTGAAAATGAATGGATTCATTCCAGGCCAGGCCTTGAGACAAGTACGGAGTATGGCAATCAATATTAGCAAGCTTGATGTCAAGTCCACAACTTCAACATGTTTGCATGCCGTTATTTCCGAGAATGTTCGTACTCCGTATTTTATTCTACGCATGGGCCAAACATCCACATTTGTTCATCTGAAAGGGAAGGTCGAAACACTTTCAGCGGCCTTTAACTACGAATATCCAGGTTTTCGGCGTTGCAGAAAGCCATATTCCGTACATGGTGTTATACATCAAATATCGGCTATATTAAGGCATTGTCCCTGGGCTAGTGTCTCTGAATCCTTGTAAATGAATTTACCTCCTCTAAAGGGTTTGTTCACCGATGGATTCTTGAATATGAGTGGTTAGAAGAATTCCCTCCTCTCTCTAGTGGCCATTAGATCTCGTCCCTTCTTTTCGTTCTACGGATATGCAGTAGAATACTGGCATCTAGTTTGACCGCTGTTGCTAATGCACAGACAAGCTACTCATTTCCGAATATCGACTTGTTGACAAACGTCAGCAATTTGTGCAAATAAGATATTTTCTTTTGGCGCCAAACAAGTGTTATGTGACAAGCCACCGAGGTAGGTAAAGCAGATGCACTGTTGCACGCTTACTTAACCATGTCGTATATGAACTGGACTCCCTTTTGCCATGTTTTTGCTCCGTTGTAAATTGCTTCTTTTCTCAAAATACCAAAATGATTGCAATCAAGGCCATTGCGATTGTTGCATATGCAACTCGAGTAGCCTATGCTTTGCCCACCAACGCGTCCTTGCCCGTCGTTGATCTTGAGTACACGCTTCATAGGGCTACAATAAATGTATGTAAACATCAGTCAATCAAGTTCCGGGTTGAGAGCTAAAAAATATCACAGGAGACAGGACAGTACTACAATTTCTCAAACATTCGATATGCCGCTCCTCCGATAGGAAACCTCCGATTTGCAGCTCCAGTAGAACCTGAAGTAAATCGTACCATTAACGACGGCCAGCAAGGGGCCATTTGTGCCCAAGGAACACCATATTGGGAAGAGGTTGCTTCGTACTACTTCGGCGGTGCTAACGCAACTGTCTTGGAGTTTGTCGAGGCAGAGGTAGAAGCAGTCGAAAAGAATCTCACTATCTCAGGACTTCCCGCACCAGCACCATTGACTTCGGAGGACTGCTTGTTCCTTGATGTCATTGTACCAAAGTCCATCTACGATTCTTGCGGCGAAAGTACAGCGCCGGTTGTGGTCTGGATATACGGAGGTGGCTACGTTGCTGGATCGAAATTTGGTTCGGGAAACCCCGCCACCTTGATTTCGAGAAGCCAAGAGAATGGAGATGAAGGTGTGATTTACGTTGCCCTCAACTATAGACTTGGCCTCTTTGTAAGTTCACCCTCAACTATTTCGAGGAAAGTAACTGATTAAATCTAGGGATGGCTTTCCGGTCCCACATTTCAGGAAAGTGGAGCGGCAAATGCAGCCCTTCTTGATCAGAGACTGGCTTTAGAATGGTAAGTCTTTTTCACTCTTCTTGGCGAGTCTAGCTACAAGTTTGTTGACTTTATAAAAATTTTAGGGTACAAAAGTATATCTACCTTTTTGGTGGAGATTCAGATCGAGTAACGGTCATCGGCGAATCTGCCGGAGCTGGGTCAATCATGCATCAGATTACAGCATATGGTGGCAGCAACGGCAGTGCACCTTTCTCCCAGGCTATTTTACAGAGTCCTGGCTTTCCTCCCGTCTATTCTTCTATTCAATCAGAGGAAACATTTCAAAATGTCATCACACAAGCACAGGAACTCATTGGCCCCAACATCACCTCAGTATCGGATTTGAGAAGCCTCGACTTCACTACTCTGGCTGGACTTAATACTATCGTTATTGCACGAACAGCTGCTTATGGTACTTTTACCTTCGGGCCTGCAGTTGACGGCACATTTGTACCTGAACTTTCAGCCAAACTTCTTCTTGAAGGCAAATTCGATACAAACGTCAAGGTCATGACTGGACACAATTCTGATGAAGGTGCATTCTTCACGTCTCCTTTTTTCTCCACAGAAGCAGACATCATCAATGATCTTGTCACAGCTCTACCCACCATATCTAATTCCACCCTTGCCTACATCACTAGGACCTTATACCCTCCAGTCTATAATGGTTCCTATCCGTACAAAAATATCTGGGAACGGGCATCTCTGATTACAGCTGAATTTGCTTTCACATGCAACACTCGCTTCCTCAATACCGCGTTCCTTAACGAAACCCACTCCTACTTCTTCACAGTTCCACCAGGACTTCACGGTGAAGATATCGCTTACACCTTCTTCAATGGCGACACCACAACTTCTGATGATGGAATGCCTGTAAATGCTACTGTAGCAGCCGTTTTACAAAGGTACATCATGAATTTTGCCGTGACAGGCAATCCTAATGGAAAAGAGGTTCCTTTCTTCCCAGAGTACCAAAGTAACTCCACGACAGTGGTTCTCGGAACTACTGGTCTGGGAAGTGTGCAGACTGATACCACTGCCAATAACAGATGTGACTGGTGGCAAAAAGCGTTATATGAATAGGTGGGATGCAGATATGGTGTATTGATGTTCTTAAATAAGATGAAAAGTTTTAGTTTTAATGTTCATATACTTGCGTAGCACATATATTTTAATCGCCTTTGCTCACTATGATAATCCCAGAACAATATATTACCTCGATATAATGGGACCATGATGCATTTTATCTCGTGTTGAATATATATGTTGGTATGATTTCATGAAGTATTTTTTCTCAAGGATCGCGCCTCGTGATTTCAAGTGAATAATCTGAGGTTTTGAAGTTCCTCCCCTCTATCGCGGCCCTTCAACATACATACTTCATACCTCCTCTGTAAGGAAAACAAGTATTATATATGACTATAAACTGTAGGATGACACACTATCTCTCTAATCTACGCTATGCACATATATTGATGCTATCCCGAGATCGAAATTTAGCTAGAGCGATTTCTGCACCTGCATTTGCACAGACATTCGAGGGGTGCATAAAATTTCATGCGAGGAACAATTAGTGGGGCGGCATCAGGCGGATTAACTTAATGCCGCATGAGTGCAGCGACCAAAAAAATATATTCGCAGTTCTTCAATACCCTCACTTTTCACAACATATCACCAAACAGCCACGATGGTTATGCAATTTTGTGACGCCTGTGGCAATCTCCTGGATGTCTCTTTAGACAAATTTGTAAGATGTGACTGTTGTGGAGATTCCGTTCTGAGTACATACTCTCGTCTTCCACTGTGTACACAAAAGCTAACAATGTGGTAGATTCAATGGTGAGCGAAGGACAATCAGCTGTATCTATGGCCAGATCCGACAACTTTCCTTCCCTCCTTCGGACGAAACGTTCAAATGTCCAACAAGTATCTGCCGATGATCGAAAGTCCACCGAAAAAGTTAAACGCAGCTGTGAAAATCCAAATATAGACTGTCCGGCGGAGGAAATGACTTTCCGTAATGTGCAGATGAGAGGTGCCGATGAAGGTTCAACAATTATTTACACATGCCCAGAATGTGGATATGGGTTAGTGACACTATATCATCTTACTTATTTGCTATGAATATGGCTAATAATTGAATAGATTCCAAGAGGGAAACTAATGTGGGAAAATAATCGCGTTGATATTGCGGGCTGCGGATGTATTTGAGAGCAGCTAAAATAAGTTTTGCAAAGCAACAATACTATAATCTGACCTGCGGGTCATAATTCTATCCCCTATCATCAGTCCAAACAGACATGTCGAAGGTGCCATCATTCCGCGCTGTGGCCCTTCCTCGGTGGACCACAATCAGCCATCGACAGCCTTCTTCACTTCCCGAAAATCCGCATCAAGCTTGAACTTGACACTCACTGCAAGGGCCGGGATAGCCTCCAACAGCATCTTGCCCCTGCGTAGGGCAGGCACTGTCATGACAAGATTTCCAGCCGTTTCTAGTTGTAACGCTGTGCCTGCAGGCGCATTCCCAAATCTCGATATGGCACATGGATCTATAAGTGTTAGTTGGCACCAGGATTAGAAAGGATGTATTAAGACATACAATTCTTCAAGGTCGAGAATTGGTCTTTCGGTTATCTCGCTTTTTTGCTGGTAGTGGTGCCGGTGATGATAGAGGTAGAATCTTATCTTCATCAAATTAGTATTAGAACGGAAAGCTATAAAATGATTAGATTTGCCTTTTATCTCAACTTCTTGTAATATGGTGCCTGTGTAGTTTTTAAATTTGGCAACCGGGGACGGTGAGCATTATACTCTGTTAATATGCAATATGCATAGGCAACTCCAAGGTGAGAACGCCCGTCTTTGCCCTGTGTCTATACCCTGTGTCTATGCCCTGTGTCTATGCCTTATACCTTCGTCTCATACATCTTTGCCCTATATCCCGCCCTATACCTTCGCCCTCCATCACCACCCTCCACCACTACCTCATCTCTACCCTTCCACATCACTCTCCATCCCCGCAAATCCCGAACCTCAAGCCAAACTAGCCCATATCCCTATAAGTCCCCTTTGATACAAGTAAATCAGAAACAACAAAAATCTCATCTCTTCTTGTATATTTAGATACAATTAATTATCTAGGTATCGAGATATATCTAAATAGGTTTAATCCAATCAAATCAAATCAAATCCAACCGATCAATCTCTTAGACTAGATAGTTCTATATTGAAAATTGAAATGTTTGTTTATTTGTATTAAGTATTTTATAACTAGATGTGAGATTGTGTTATAGTTTTATATATCTAGTATGTTCATTGATTTTTTGTAATTTTTATAAATGATAAAAGAATATTATTAATTATACTTATAAATAGATTATAGATTATATTAATCATAAGCAATCTATAAAAAAGAAACAAAAAAACCAAAAAATTACTTTAAATAAACATCTAGATAAATATTCTATTAATATAATTCTATAATATAACTTACTCTTATAACTCATTTATATAAAATACAACAAAGATTTCCTACCCAACCCAACTAAAGGAAGTAAGAAAAAAGATAAAAGGAAAGAAAATCAAAACCCCCTTCCTCTTCTTCCTTCTTCCTCCTTCCATTCCTGAAACCCTTTAATCCTCTCTTCCCTCCCCACCCCTTCTTTTCCCTTCCTTCCCCTCGTCCTCCTCCTTCCTAATCTCCGATCGTTCCATCACCCCACAAAACCCTCTCCTAATAACCAACTCCATCCCACCCAGGTGACCCCTAATCCTCCCCCTCACCTCCTCCCTCTCCCTCAACCAAACCTTAACCTTCTTAACGCTCTTCCTCACACTCTTCCCCGCATTCCTCCGCACACCCCGGACACCTTTTCCCTTTCCCTTTCCCCGCTCCTCCCCAGCAACCACCTCCGCATCACCCGGCGAAGGCTGCAGTGTAGTATATGCAGAACATGTACTAATCGAGACGTGTTTTTCCTGATAATGATTGGCGGCTTGATCGTGGAAGTACCAGTGAGCCATATGTTGGGGTTCGGAGGAGGGGGTTGCGGGTTCGATGGTTATTTGTAGCGGCTGGGGTTGAGTTATGCTTTTATTGTTACCTTGAATGTTACCTTGGACATTACCTTGAGATTGAACCTGGATCTCGGGAGTGAGAGGAGAAACAGGAGATACTATACCCGGAAATCGAGGTTCTGTCTCCGGTGATACGGTGTACATAGGAGTAGGGGGGTGGGTAAAAGAATAGGTTTCTTCGACTGTTTGTATACTTACCCGTGGTCTTTGTGCTTGTGCTTGTACTTGTACTTGTGCCTGTCTTTGTCTGCGAGCTAGAGTGGGTTCGCGGAATAATGCTCTACTTAGCATTTCTGGGATATGTGGTTCTGCCCATGGACGTTCTTGGAGGGGTTGACCTGGAAGACGAGAGGTGTGTTTTGGCATGTTTGGTTTGGGTTTGGTTTTTGGTTGGGTGGATAAGGATTTTTATTTTGGTTTGTGAAAGTATGTGTATGCGTATGCATGTATATGTTTTGGTAGATAGTATATAGTATGCATGTAGTATGCAAAAGTAAGCAAAAATCAACAATAAAACAGATAAATCAAATTCGTATCATAGAGAAGTTATACATTTAATCAGAATCATCTGCCAGGAGAACCATAAGACCCCTTATAAGTAAAGAAAGACATTGTTCCCACGACTCCATTGTACTTCATAACTCTTTATTCGCAAATTCAGAGAACCATCCATTCCATTATCATCACATAATAGCACTGAAATAAGTGAAAGAATCGAACGAAGTGCTTTGTTCTATTTGTATCTTTTCACTTTTTATAGGTAGGAGTATGTGGTACGATAGTTCACTAGTATGACTTTGACCGCTTGGTGATGCTTAGATTACCCATCTATTCATCAGCCGTAACTCGAAACTCAAAGCCATGCCTGAAAAAATATCCGGTGTGAAGATCTCTAGAAGAAAGTGGAAGCGCGAGGAATACCTTATGATTTATAACTCTATGCGACAGCTAGTCAATCCACTTGTCAGAATAGCCGAGGATATAAATTTCAGATGCAGAGACAAGAAATGCAAATGGAATCGAGCCGTAGTTAGTTCACTCCGAGAAAAATGGATCCAGAAACTTAATATGTGCATACAAGCAACGAAATGAAGAAACCATTCGCTCTCAATACATTGCTTTCTCTAATCCTCAGTATCTGCTATCTGTATCGGATCTCGCCTGACGGTCACCATCCCATTATCATCTCGTTAACAATCGGGCACAGCTAAAATTGAAACTGAATCGATCATTCTACTATGTCATTTCATTCTCATCCATTTTTGCTATTTATTTTCCCCAATCCAAACGCCATCTAGCCTACAGCCATGCAGACCAGATCAGATAGTAGCATACCGACCATATACATCGTTCAGTATGCGTGATTCCATCTAACCCATTATCAGAGACCCAGATAACAGCTTCCACACACGTTCTTCTTAACTTCCCCCTAATCCCTTGGAGTGAGAGTAGATTCTCCTTACTTCGCAACAGCAGCACTCAGAACTTGTGTTCTGAAAAATCCTCCCTTTGTCCGCTCAATTACTTGTTGGTATATGCTGCTTGGTGGGTGGTTCATAACAACTGTTCCTTCCTTATAATCAATCTTGGCGTCAACTCTGGTATCTCTGATGAGGTTGACAATCCATTTTTCACCCTCATCTTGGTTCAAGCCTAATCTTGCACTCAAATCCTTGATATCAATTCTTTGATGAATCTTGCAGTAGCTCTCACTAATCAAATGTCTTGCGGCCTCAACAAAGTTTTCAGAGGCTGCAACAAGGAAGAAATCGGAACGGAGAACTTCTTCGGCTTCGGAGAGCTTCTTTTGGGCTTCTTCGAAATCAAAGTCGAGGTATAAGGCCTTGATAAAATCGGTAACTGGGTCTGAGTATTCGTAGTTTTCTTGCTTGACAATACGGATAATATCTTTAAGTTGCTTTTGATATTGACCAGTGTTGCGTGTACGGTTGCGGTTGGTAATGACTGCAGCAGTCAAATATCTGAGGATCCATGGGCAGGCGGTTTGAATGGTGTTGATGAATGCTGGGGAGAAGAAGAGGTCGCAGATAACATCACGAGCGGGTTCGTGGTTGAAGAATGGGAACAAAGCCCAGTGAATGAGCCAGGTCCGGTGGTTAAGTTGTGCAACAGGCTTGTTGAAGAGCTTGGTCTCGATCAATTCCTTCACCTTTTGGACTTCCTCCATAGCGGACTCCCAGTTTCCAGTCAAGATCTCACAAGCCAATTTACCCCATGTTGCTGCAGTAACTTTATCGTCATCGGTAGAGAGGACTCTGAATTGGTAAAGGAGTTCGGCAGCTGCTCCGTAATTTCCACAACTGTATTGGAAGTTTCCGAAGTCATACAAGACGTTAACCATATCAATTGTGACCTATTTCTCTGTTAGATTGAATTTTCAGTTGAAAAGGTTCCAAACACGTACATCATGCTCCTTCTTCAAGAATTCCAAGTTAGCAACTTTATCACTTCTCAGTCCAGTAACGACATCCTCTCGGCCTAACAAATCTGTGATCTTCTCGCTCTCTTGTCCGAAAATTTCTAATCGTTGAAGAATTTCTTGTCTCTTGGTCGCGTATTCCTTTGGTGGTTCCTCAACCCCTTCAATTTCGCAATATAAACTTGCCACATAATCCGTCATGTTGGTCTTCCTCAACAACTCGAATTTTGCCTTTGTGATTTCTGGCGATGGCTCCTCATCTTGATCTGCGACAAACTGTAGCAAAGGGAAGATTAAATGCCTGTCGAGGTGGGTAATGAGTTTAGGAAGGAGATCGTTCTCTTTGGCGATTTCCTCGGGGCTTTTAGCTACTTGAGCAGCACCGTTGAGAAGGTCATTCGCAGTCGTGGGAGTATTGTCCGCCATGATTGCGATCCTATTGTGCTGTCGTGAGTTGGAAATAGTGGTGGGGTTCACACTTTCGCTGGATAAAGATGTCGGAATTTGCTGGATTGTGTGCGCCCGCCTACAAAATTTCGCGCTAGTGGAGGGTAGCTTAAATCATTAGCGTCCTTTTTGTCTCTGAGAAGTTCGCGATTCCGTACGAAGTTTTGAGTTAATTTAGAAATTAAATATTTTTCACAACCACATAGCCTCTACGATGCCACTCCAGTTCCTTAGACCAATGGGCCTACCCAGATCAACCACTTTACGATATTTCCTCGGTGTCGCTAGGCTATCTACAAACTCCACCTCTGCCACCTCTGCCACCTCTGCCTCCTCAAGTTCAACCTCGACCTCAACATCTACTCCTCCACAAATTACGTCTGCGGAAGCCCCAAATCAACCGTACCATGTATCTCGAACACATTCAAAAAATTTGCCAGTATATGGACGTGCCAAAGCGGGTGGTAACTTGAAGCAGACAATAATTAGAAAGATAGAAGGGGATATTATGAAGTTGAAGGAGCAATTAGAAGGGGCACTCTTTAATAAGGAGGTCCGCGTTAACCATTTGACGAAGCAAATTATAATCAAGGTACGCATGCGGAACAGCCTTTGACGAGTTTATTCCATCAGTATTCTGACTATATCACAGGGATCTTGCCAATTGGAAGTGAGGCAATTCCTGGAGGAGCGACATTTTTAATGGAATACTTGCAGCACGCTATGTGGACGACTAAGAATTTATGCTGGCTTCGTTGTGTTTCCAAAGCAATGTTTTGCCTTGACTATCATTCTACAGAATCATGCTTATATGTACAATACACTCTTGCTTTTCAAGAGAACCATCATCCCTTGTACACAAAAAACAAATACCAACCATACCACAAGAATCACGCACGTCAAGCAAATGCCACGCTGAGTAGGCAGATATATCAAATTACAAACGCCGACTCCATACGCTATTGATTCATGCGTCTATAAACCTTAGTACATTTATGAAAACCCAATCGCTCATTAGCCAAGACTTGTAAAAGTGCACAATTGTCGCAATGCCTCCTTCAGCCTAGGCTGCTTGCGTTCATGTAGTTTTATTATTCGTTCCGTCGTTGGCATTCCAGGTATGGGTATCATAGAGGTCAGGTCTTCAGGGTCTCGTGACTTCTCAGCCAGTCGACGTAATATTCCAATGCCACCAAGAATGATATGTAATATTGCCTCTTCCTCGGCCGTTTTGGGCACGGCAGAAACTCTGCCGTGCGAAGGACCCTGTGGAACTTCGTGGCATAATGTTAATACAAGGTGCGAAAGGTTCTTTGCAAATCCATCCTCTGAAGTCAACCAGGCTTTCGCAATGCCACTATCATATCCTGGTGCAAGATTTGCCAGCAGTTCTGCGGCTAGTATGCCTTGCATCAACATCGGCTTTCGTGCTTCCACCAAAGGTAAAAATGTTCCCCGTTTAGGATCCTTCTGCTGGTCAGGTATCACCGAAATAGACAGAGCGAATGTTCTTGTCAGAAGGTCGAAAGGTGGGGAGGAAGACACGTCAGAGGCAAAAATCGTTTTGTAATGCGTTCGGTTTGGTTCATCCCGCGCAAGAAGCTTAGCAAGACTATCAATAGCGGGATAGATATAATAATGGATAGTTGGCTCGTACTGCGAGAAGGTGATTTTATCAGATCCTATTGTGTTTGGAGGCGGGCAGGGGGCGAATGCTAAAAGGAAATGCAATAAACATAATGCCTGTTCGCGACCAGGTAGCTTGATCTCATGTGCGATATTTGATAGTAAAACAACGCCATCCTTCATAAATTCTAGCGTGTTTTGATTCGTCCTGAGGAGCATATTTCGAGTTCCCAGATATCTTATTACTACGCAGAAGAATTTGATAACAAACTCCTCTGCAAGGAACAAAAGATTCGGTTCATGAAATGAAAGGTTTCGCATAATGCTGGTTATGCAAATTAACTTCTCGACAGCTCGGTCCACCTGGTACTCTTCTGATCCAAACGGTGGAATATCTTGTAGGCTTTCCTTCTCAGCCTGACAGGCGCGGACAACATCTTCGTATGAATTTATGAGCATCATATCCGAAACCTCTGCTGCGTTCTCGGCCAATAATTCGACTTGCTCCTCGGCGCAATCAACAAGTGTCTCGACTAGATCGTCACAATACCTCAATTCTATAGGTAGGCGCTGTTCCGAGGACACAAGCGCCAGAGTATCTAAAGCCAGACGAACTTCGGCATGCAGTGCCGATTGAAGACTCATGGTTAAGGCATGGACGTCAATGGTACCAATTTCAGTCAATGGCGGAAAATCCGGCTTCAATTTCAGCAATTGAGTTCCGGTTTCACGAAGAGTCGATAGGCCAAGGTAACCGCCGTTGTCATCAGGAACCCGCGAAAATACCTTTAGTTTCTCTGGGAGGGCAACATTCATTAGTTCATCTTGAATTTGGTCATCTAATGGTACCATGTTGGGATGAGGTGATGCCAATGATATACTACCAGATTTTGGCACCGAGGCTGGAGACGGTATCGGGTAGACGCCATTGTTTTGCGGCGGCGTAGCCTCAACACTCCTCGAGAGACTATCTCGAGCATGACTCTGAGACCCTAGCGGATGTGCTTGTGGGGCTTGTGGTGTTGAGAAACCATTCATGACAGGTTGTTGACCATGATGTAGAGGCGTCATTTGCTTCATAGGAGTAGTCTGTTGCTGCTGAAGATGTTGCTGCTGGGCCATTTGCTGTTGCATATAGTGTGACGCTTGCAAAGAGTTCGCTGGAGGCATTTGTTTAGTGGGCGACATCTGGGCCACCCCCATGCCAGCGCCCTGTTTCATTGCAGCTGCTCTCTGTCGTTGCATATTTGTGTTGATAGCCTCCTCGAACGCAAGGAGATTTCTCTCATATAAAGCTTTAAGTTGCGGAGGCACATTTGGGTACCTCAAAGGATGTATTTGAATGGCTTGCGCGATTTGCCCCCATGCATTTTGTGTTGTGACATTCCTGTAGCCTCCGTATTTGGTAACTGCCATATACAACACAAAAATATTGATATGCCGATCACCTACGAATGGATTCGTCTCTAAAGGAAGACCTTTTGACTGCATGAATGTAGCCAAGCTTTTGAGGAAGTTGTTCTGGTTTTGATTTTGGGCCAATGAAGGCTGCTGAGGTCGCATGCCAGTAAATTGGCCATTTGGTGCTTGCATCATTTGCCCTTGAGATAATGGATTCACACTGGGTGACATATTTTGTCGTTGCGCAGCATGTAAATTGCTCTGTTGCTGTTGTTGCTGGAGTGACTGTTGTAGTCGCATCTGGTACATTTGCCTAGTCTGATCCAGAGATGTCTTCTGTTGCGACTGATGGTTCGGTGGTGGGACCTGTTGATTATACATCTGAGGTTGTGACATTGTAGCTGGCATCTGTGGTGTTGACATCACGCCTTGTGGTGGTGCCGAAGTTCGTCCAGGTGGGGGGGTAAAATTTTGACTATATGCAGGTGCATATGGAGTGTTCTGAGCGAATGTACTACTTTGTGGTGTATCGACTCTGCTGCCATGGTCGGATTGTGAAGGTGAGAATGGATGAGGTGAAGCTGTAGAGACTCGTTGTGGTACACCGCCAGGACGTAGCTGGTTAGCCATGATAGGAGACGGACTGGCGTTGCTTGATCCATTTTGTAGATGTGAATATGGATTCTGTTGAGGCGCATGTTGTGGAAGGACATTATTAGGTTGAAACCCGGGATAAGCAGCTTGTTGTGGAGTGTGTGAGCGAGAGTTCGGTAACATGCCAGAAGCTTGCCTCGGTGAAGTACCTAAACTATCTTCCCTTGGCCTTGGTCTCTTTGATGGAATCACAGGATTGGTCTGATACACAGGGTTATTGAAAGCTGGCGATCCATTGCGCATTCCACCATTTTGCATTCTTTGTTGTAATTGTTGATTCTGGAATTGATTGGGATCAAAGGATGATGAAGTGGACATAAAACCCGATGGGTCCATCATATTTCCTCCAGGATTCGATTCATTAATGTGATTAAAGCCTGCGCCATTATGATTTTGGACGGCAGCGTCGTTCATCCAGGAGCTCATGTCTGTGGATGATAGTAGTGGCAACCCATCTGCGAATGCGCACAAGTGTCAGCGATCATCAAAGTTAAGTTAGGATCCATTGAAATCCATTAAGATGAAGATAGAGATGCAAAAATAAAAGATAGAGACTGGCGCGATGATGTCGCGACGCGCTGATGGGTCAAATGAAGCAAAGGGGGAAAGGGATTGCTTCATCAACTTATGATCAACAGCATCAACAATTCTCAATCAATGTGCGCATCAATAATTATAATATGTCTCGTGACATCTTTATAACATAAGGAAGGATAGGAATGAAAGGTAAGGTCTTACCTATCGACGCGCGCTGTTGATGTCCCAAATTGTTTTGACAAGTCTCGGAGTCTCTCTTCACCTGAATTGTGCGCTAATGTAAGATTAGGATTAGTGACTAAAAAAGTAACGCCCTAAAAATACCTCGCCTCGTTCAATCAGAAGGCCGGAACGGAGCGTCAAAGGGTCAAAAAGGGAGATAGATGGTGAATTTGAAAGAAATTCACATTTTAACCTACCTATAATGAAAATAATAGAATTATTAAAAATAGTTGTCACAAATAATGTTTTCTAAAACAGAATATGTTGTGTTAGTCAATTATCCATGGCAATTGGAAGATCCAGAATGATCGAATTGTGGGTGTGGGTGTGGGTAGATAGTAGTAGGTACGTATTTGTGTTGATTTGATTGATGCTTGACGATTGACGATTGATGAATGCTGTTCCAAGTGAATGTAAATGGTAACATTGGAGAGGCTGGAGCGTGGAGCATGGAGCATGGAGCGTGACCAAACGTGACTAAAAATTACCTATTGTTGCAAAGGATTATTTATAAAGGTCACGTTTGGTTCGACTCCAAGTAGTGAGGGATGGGTCAATCGAGTGACTTTGAGGGTGAATTTGCGGTAGTTCCGAGGTAAGGCAGCGACGAAGCGGTAAGCTGGGCGTGGTGCGTGTTGATTTGAATAGCAAGCCAGTCCGTACAACTTCCCGGAATTTGTACGGATAAGATGCATGGGGAAATGAAAAGAGAATTGGAAGATCGGAACATACCCCTTTGAATACACGGCTCCAAAAATAAGGTCGAATTAGGAACGGTACGGACAGAGAATGGGGGATTTGGCCCGATGGTTGGCGAAATAATGCTGTATAATGCTGTATCGTAAAATCAATGTGAGAATGCTTGCTGTATGTAACACGTTGGTTGAATCGGCTGGTGGACCGAATAAGCAACCAAATTTTGTGAAATAGATAGCTTGAGATGATACCAAGAAGGATCTGAACTAATGAGAACTTTCCGGGGGGTGTCCTATTGAGCAAGGAGATTGTCGGATGAATGTCGCGGCCTTCACCTCTTTAATTTTTATTTTCTTGCTTAGGAGCTGAGCGATGCTGTTGTGCTGGGGAATTCGTTTTCCTTTCCTTGGTAGAAAAAAGGCTAACTTCGATTGATAAGCCAATCGCATCATATCATTGGCCAAACTCAATCTGTCCTCTTCCATGCGGAAAGATCATTTCATTCTTCTTGAATTCGAATTAAATCGGTACAGAAGAAGAATCAAATGTTCCTTACTCGCTATTCTATAGTTAACAGCTTCAAATACCCTAAAATCCTTTGGTTAGTAGTAGGAGTGAGTGAGGTATAGTAAATGAGAGAGATAGTAGTGTGTTGGATCAGCATGATTGGTTCCCGGCCGTGCCTGTTCCTGATGCGGTGTGAAATTTGTGGTCGCTTTAACCCGTGGACATGAGTGTTTTTTGTACCATGAAGAATCGGCGACATAAAGGAAAAAACTTGTCGCTCCAAAAATTTAGGTAAAGAGAAAGACGATGAAATGAAGAACAATTTTTCAAGATATGAAGAAGTTTCCACCATCATTTGACATTGTGAATCCATCATTTCCAATTTGCAGTATTTGAAAAAAAGGAAGGCCGCCCTGTCTTTCTCGACAAGGTTTGTGATGGTGGCAGGTAGGAAAGAGGATACAAGAGGAACGGAGAATTTGAATGAATTCAAAATGACTGGAAAACAAAAAGAAAATGAAGAATTAAAGAGAAATGGAAAAGAGACGAATATGATCATCAGGAAGAAAGATAGGATGAGAGAAGAAAAAAACAGGAACAGAGAAAAAAAAGAGGGGGAATGGAGTTTTATTTAATTGTTCAAAGGTGCAGGGCCAAATTGGAAATCACGTTTCCCGCCAGGATATAAGCTTTTGGCGTATAAATCATTGCCTTACAGAAAAGATCAGATTGATAGGTTACAAATGCTGTCTGTCTATGAAAGGTACCTACCTATGCCGGTATGCTGATATGCTGGTACGCTGGTATGCTGGTATGCTGGTATGGTATGGTATGGTATTTCGTTCCTGTTTTTAGTTCTCTAGACCCATTTCAATTTCTCCTCACTTCATAGAGATACCGCACACAGACCAATAATACCGCTACCGTTACAGACCATACATACCTTCTGAAGCTGCGGATGGGATGACTGAGACGGGATATCGATGAGATATCGATGGGATGATGGATGGTTATACCAAGTTTATGACATTGAGTCTTTCTCCGTGAGGTTCTCGTACCAATATCACCTTGGGACCTCGTAACTTATTTCCCGGGGAATTCGTTTGACAATTCCTGCATGTTTCTTTATGATACCGGTACGTTTGTGGTATGTGGGTGGCTTCGATTGACATCCACTAAGTGAAAGGATCTGAAAGATAGACGGGAAAATCTATACTAAGGTTGATCAACGAATGCATCTAGGGCTTCTTTTTTATTACTATCTAGATGACTTTGCTACCATTACCTGCTTACTTCCACCATTGGCAGCTGGCGATCCTTGATCCTCTATTATTGGTTAAAGCCATACTGATTTATCGAAATTAATGATAGCTATGAAATGCTGAGCGTGTGCTTTGTGATCATTACCACGTATCATGATTCCTGCATTTGAGACTATTCATCCTGCAAGCAATGTGCCGTAAGATTACGACTTCTCGCGTTTTCTTCCCTCTTACTCATAAGATGCCTTGGGTCCGGCTATCCGAATCGGTCGTTGGTGATTGTGGAGACCAGAATATCTTGTTGGAGGTGGCTCCGTGGGAGCACGAGAGTTTGTGGAAGGATCAGTAGTTGAATGTATGATTTTGACGGAATGGCGTTCATGTTGCAAGGAACTTTCTTGGGAGGAGCACCTTAATGGTCTGTCTATCAAGCATGCATAAGATCGGGTCCAATAGGTAGATTTCAAAAAGCCCAGAACAGTAGTATGGATGGATTGACATACATTAAATCACAAATGAAGAACGAGGAACGAGGAACGAGGAACGAAGAAAAATGACTGATGGTTATAGGGATAAAAAGAAAAGCTGTCTCTGTCTCCTATTTTGGAGTTGGAGTCGATTTCAATGCATCCATCCTCAAACTTGCTTAAAAGATTCGTCCTATGATCTAATGAGTAATATTGTTTATATACCGATTATACCTATTTTGAAGTTGCAGGGCTCTTTGGTAGGTGATATGAAAAGGGAGGAGTGCAGATGGTGTAACTGGGGCACAACAGATCAATATGGTTAGCTCTGGTGGCTTTTGCTTTTTAGTTTCGGCAGGCACGAGGCTTCTTGGTCGTCATTTCTTTCGCTTAATGAAGTTTGGGAAAACGCCGAGAAGGTTTAATCCCTGTTTGGTCCATCATAATCTACGGGTTGTGTTAAAGCTTTGGAGATGCCCAGTAAATGCACGAATCATTTGTTAGCTTATCTACGGAGAACTGTACGTTTGCACTAGGAGTGGTGGACTCTTTCCCATTGCATAAACATTCGGGGTTCCAACACAGCTCCATTGTTTACGTTGACTACCTGGTATTTATTAGCAGCATAGACAATCAATACTCCGTACATAAATAAAGACACCATACCAACAAGATGGTCAAAAGAAAAGCCAAAGAAATTGGAGATGAAGTTCCTGTACATGTAGAACCTCGAAGATCCAGTCGACAGAAAACAAACAACAACAACAACAACAACAATAACAATAACAAGAGCTTGAAGGAAGAGACTACATCATCAGCTTCTCAAGCGTCAAACCGGAATAAGGAGAACAAGAAGAAGTCGACAAATGGGAAATCCACAAAAGGTGCTGAGGTCAACGGCGAGGTTACTGCGCCAAAATCAAATACTGTAGGTCCATACTTCCCGTCATTCTCAACCCTTCTCATATTGTAGGGTCCTGCCGTCTATCTATCCACCGATCTATCTACCCACTGTAATTAAGTCTTACATCTTGATTTTGTCTCGTATTTTTATCCACCAGGAGTTTTCTTGGGCGGGCAAGTGCTCTTCACAAATTTGGTTACATATTCATTTCATTCATACTCTTCACGTTTTTCTCAATTCGATTTCTATCTTTGCATCTTTGAAATTTAATCAGCGGATCATCTTTAGAATTCTATCAAATCTACCCAGTCATCTCTACTAAATGGCACCAAACCTACATCAACGGCCGTCTCATCAGCGGAGTCCTCATCAACTCGTCAATATTGGCTTATGAAGGCTGAACCAGAATCACGTATTGAAAAAGGCCATGACATTAAATTCTCCATCGATGATTTGGCAGCGAAGACTGAACCAGAGCCTTGGGATGGTGTGTTATTCCTTACATATGTATTACTATGTCAGCATTAATACTAACATTTTCAAAGGAATACGAGCATATCCAGGTGTGTCATTTTGCAATGCAATTGTACTATTAAATCACTTACACATACTTTAGCACGCAACAATCTTCGTGCGATGAAGAAAGGGGATCTAGCTTTCTTTTACCATTCATCCTGCAAAACCCCTGCAATCGTTGGAATCATGGAAATCGTTCAAGAACATTCCCCCGATCGTAAAAATCTCCACGATTCTATTCTTCCTATATCCAAACTAACTAGAACTTTAGTCTCAGCACATGATCCCACCGCCCCATATTATGACTCTAAATCCTCACCGGATGATCCCAAGTGGAGTGTAGTACACGTTGAATTCCGCCAGAAACTCAAAACTCCTATCACGCTTAAGGAAATCAAAGCCTGGTTCGAAGAAAAGGGAAATGCTCTGAATAACATGCAAATGTTGAAACTGGCACGATTGAGTGTGAGTAAAGTAAGTAGCGATGAGTGGAGATTTTTGGTAGGTGAAATGGAGAAGAATGGAGATGTGGTCAAGGAGTAGAAATTTTGAGATACGACGGAGAAATAATGCTTAAAGGATGCCCATGGGTATGCATTATATGGATAGATTCCTTGATCATAGGATATTAATGTACAATACCAGGTTATACGATAATTTTCGAGTGATCAATTGAGGGGAATGATGCGGTTCTAGAAGTTTTACTCTTCTTCCCCTCCCCTCCAACATACAATCATATAAGGAGTTACATATCCGCACACACAAACGCATTTCTTTTCCTCCATCTTTGTATATTTACCACTGGGTAGTCAATAATTCATTCAACTCCATATATCCACATCCTCGTACTTCTCCTTCTCCTTCTCCTTCTACTCATTATATCATATACTCCAAACCTGTATATCCTTAAACTTTTATATTCAATCACTTATCCTAGCTATCGCAACCTCATTTCATCCCATCATATCAGCAAAATAAATATAAAATATAAAATAAAATGAAAAATGAAAAATGAAAAAGAGCCCCCTTGTTCACTTGCTCGCTTGCTTGAGCTATTCTTCTCTTTTTTATAATCTATCTATATCTTCATATCTCTGTCTTTTTGTGTACGATTTCTTTACTCTTTCGAGAGGATAGAAGATGTCGTGGTTGGAGTCCGAGGAGATGAGATTGGAGGGTAGATGGGTAGATGGGTAGATGGATGAGTAATTAAATAAGGTATTATGGACGGATAAATAGATACTAGGGATTGCTGAATAGGTATTATATATAAATATATAAATAGATAGATAGATACCAAAGGGGTTTAGGGTATTTTCTTTGTGTGTATATTAGTTTGAGGAAGAGGAACTGAATTGATAGGGAAATAGCAACTGAGGAAAAAAGACTAAGAATAAAGTTTTGATGATTTGTGGTCTATGTAGTACCATATGTATGTATGTATGAAAATGAAATATAAAATCTTCTTCTTCTTGTTTTCAAGGCGCGAAATAAGGGATGAGGAGTGAAGAGTGATATTTTTCCTGTTGTATTTTATTTTTGGAATCGTAGTGTATCATATCTTGTATCTACTTTTTTTTTTTTGAAAAACTTGGGGATTTCTACCGCCGGACTGACGAACTCGACAGAGGAATAAATATAAGGATGATAATGTACATGGAGTATGAGGGTAAGGTGAAGAGAGTTAAGAGAGAGGAGTTTGAGTTGGTGTATATATTTACTAGTGTATAATGAGCGAGTGAATATTCCTATTCTTATTCTTTCACTTAGTAGGGTTTGTATTGGTATTCGATAAATTTTTATGCATGTTAGTTATTATTGGTTTTGTTACTTCTGGAGGACTACTCAATTTTGGAATTCCCAACTAATTAGTAAATGCTCACCAATTACACAAGCTAACTAGTCAACCACACAGAGTATTTAGAATACATCAAACTAAACCAGACCAGACAAGGAAGTCACAAAAGCCAATAAATCCAACATATATATGATATGAAGATAAGTGAACAACATTCAAAAAAGGAATCATGTAGGCGCAGAGGAAGTGATGCGTGACTTGAATCCTGATGGACTGGGTTAAGCATGTAGGATATATTGGTAGCTTTGAAGGGAAGAAGTCAAAGAGGAATGATGGGGTAGTTTTTACGTGTTTGATGATTTGAGGTTATATGGCTGTGGTTTTAGAAGGTAAGGTATAGAGAGGTTATTATGTGAATTTATAACTCTGGGAAAAGAGGTCTCTCTTTATACAAATTAAAGGTTGTTTGATGTAAGATTATTATGATGAGATTTCTGTTTTTGATCTGTAATTAATAGAATAAAATCTAGGCGTCGGTGACGTAATGAGTTTTCTACTCCTTTCACTTTCCAGTCCTCATCTCAATATACAGCTAGACAAATGAAGTCATTCTCTTCAATAATAATACCAAACAAATAAAAAGGAAACATAGTTCAGTGGTAGAATACTCACCTCTTGGTGTGAGGTTGAAACGAGTGTTGGGGGCCGACGGGTCGCATTTAACTGGGCGTTTCAACTCACCAGGGGCTGTGGGAGATGAGGCTTCGAATCTCTCTGTTTCTAATTTTTCTTTTCTGTTTTGGTGGGGAATCTTGATTGGGGTAAGGCTTGGGGGGGTGGTGGAAAGAAAGATTATGAGTGTGGAGGTGATGCCGCGATTGAGCATCATGATGAGTTTGATTTATTAAAAGGGGTTGGTAGGATTGGATATTCAAAAGTGATTTGTAAAAGTATGGTTTCATTTTTCGACAGTAATTTTTGACTTGCCAACGGCCAGATTGCAAATGGGAATAAATATAACTCAAAGCGGAAGAATGTATTACTTGAGGTAGGTAGGAATCAAGAGAATTTATTACTGTGTGAGCCTTGAGAAAACCATGTATGTTTGCTGCATTATTTGTGTGCTACGCAAACTAGTGTTTGATGACCCCAATACTTCTCTCTAAACAATCTGACAAATAGACTGAGATTAACTTGCAAAAGAAGATATCTTCCACGCTGAAGAATGAATTATACTATACCGGTTTGAATACCGGTCATAGTATGTCAATTTACTGGGAATGGAAGCAAGTGACATGTACTTGCCGCACGTGGCGGTTAGAGGACCTGCAACAAACAGCTGAAGAAAGCCAATCCAGAGATAGCCGAATACGATTGGATGCTCAATGAAGGATATGATATCGGTTAGAAATGTAGGGTGTTTGACAAATGACCAGAACGGCAAAATGGGGAATTAGCAGAAAGGGCACTACCGAAGAAGAACAAGTGAACGGAGCGCTGGAGGTGTAGAAATACCTAAAGGAAGTAAAGTGGATCCAGAGTTAAGTCTTAAACGCAAGAAAATTTCCAACAAGACTTCTATCCAGAATCTGGCGAACTAGTAGGCCAGATATATAGATCATATAGTCGTATAACCTTACATACAAGAAGCTTGAGTTGACAGTATGATTGACAATGATAAAACAATAATATTTACGGATACAAAGGACTTCCAATGTATCTTCTTGTCTACTGTCAAGTTTTATATGAGCATTCCACCACATTTCATCAAATCAATGCCTTTAGCCTTTTGTACCACTGGTCTGGATAGTGGAATTGACGTTAAAAATTCACCCCGGATCGGAGATTTGCTAATTGATGCATTAGCAATTTAACCGAATTATATTGATTATGTAAGTGCAGATGATCTGGGTGGGTCCGCAAGGCTGTCGTGCCGTTGAAAACTAAGGAAGAAGGCTACAGCTACATTTGGATTCACTGTACAGTGTTTGCTTGAATTTATCTTAGATCTCCAGCATCCAGTCCTCTTCTTTTACTGTACAATATTCCCGAGTGAACTCAGCACACAAGGATTCCATTCGATACCAACATCCTGTACCTTCTTTAATTACGCTGACATAAAACTCTTACTTCTTTTGTAATTTCATATACTTCATTCAAGCGTTTTTGAGCTGTTTCGATAAAGCTCTTTGGACATCTAACCCGTACATAAAGTTAGATCAGGTCATATAATTCGAAACTTCTTCTTAGAAAGACGGTGTCTTTGGTTGATAAAGCTTAAGGATCTGCAAGAAATTCTTGATCTTCTCATCATACATTAAAAGGTCACCATGAACGACTCTACTAATGGGCATAGCACAACTACCAACGACGTATCAGCTGCACAAACAAATGGAAGCACGGCATTATTATCACAAATCCATGAAGCCCTAGAACTTGTCCATAATCCGTATTCCTCCAATCAGTCTCGTCAACAAGCCTCAAGCTTCCTAGAGAATATCAAAGCCGAAGACGAAGCTCCTTATCATGGTTTTACCTTAGCATCCGATAAATCTCAACAGCCAGTTGTACGCCACTATGCACTTTCTCTCCTGGAGCATGCGATAAAACATAAATGGGCAGCATATTCGGAAGGGCAAGCAAGTGCATTGCGACAATGGGTTATTCAACTCTCCGAGAATCTAGTCCAAGAGGACCCCTTATATCTGCGAAATAAGACAGCGCAACTTTGGGTGGAAATTGCGAAAAGAAGCTGGGGATCAGAGTGGACTGATATGGATAAACTTCTTGTGGGATTATGGGAGCTTCCGGGCACTGTAGTTCACAAAGAGTTTGTTCTGTTTGTTCTCGAGACCCTCTCCGATGAGGTCTTTAATGGCGAAGATGCTGTAACCGTTTTACGTGAGGGTGCTCTGAGCAGAGCTTGTGTTGAAATCTTTACACCGGCGGTTGTGCTATCGGAAGCATTCCCAAATCGACAGCTAGGTACCGTTTTGAGACATGGAGATGAAGGTTGGCTAGTAAGAATTGGTGAATTGCTTGGCCAGTGCCTTCAACTAGACATTTCGGGTCCTCAGTACCAGAGTTGTGCAGTTAAGATATTAGCTGTTTACAGGTCTGTGGTGCCCTGGACCGTACCCAAAGCCATATCCAGTGCCCAATGCGTTCAATACATGTGTAAATGTCTCGCTGCGTCTAGTACGCCAGTGCAACTGGTAAGTTTTCAAAAAGTACTCGTGAGGCGAGCCTACAGCACTGATACCTCCTAGGCATCTGTCCAAGCTCTATTTGCACTTTATACTCGCGTGCATTTTTCGGATGAAGAATTTATAGAGCTCGTATGTCCGATGTATACCAGTGAAGTGGTTGGTTTACTACGAAATCTATTCCAGTGGTCCGTAGTAGACGCCAATGATATTGATGATGAAAAATATCTATTTGCCAAAAAGTTTTCTGAGGTTTGATACATTTTCGAGAATCTCGTATTCATACTGACTTCATGTAGATGATGTCAAATCTTGGAGTATTCGTAGAGTCAAGAATCTTAGCTATACCCGAATCTTCCGATCTTTCCAATCTTTTGAACCTTTTCCTTGCCATTGCTCAAAGTCAAAGTCTTGTCGTTTCGATACCCGTTATTCTTACCTGGACAAAATTACTCCGCTCACCAATGATCGGAGGGTCTCCTCTCATGACCCCTTTGATCGCACCTCTTTTAGAACTTTGTACTTCACGCCTAATTCGATATGAGAACATGCCAGATGACTGCGAAGATCCAGAATACCTATTTCTGAAAGAAGACATTGATACGCAGCCGGAGAGACACGCATTTCTTGGAAATTATCGTCGATATTGCTCTCAAGTCATAGAGCTCGTTGTTCGACAAAAGCAATCCGAGGCTCTATATCATATATTGGGTCAAGTGAATAACTCTTTGCAGCATCTTTATGATGGATGTCCAGCTTTTACTGGTAATTGGCCCCGTAGATTTTAAATCACAAATGATTGACCTAGATTTAGTGGAAAACTATTCCAAAACTTCAATACCAATACTACGAGTCGATAAAAATTTTACTGTAGTAGAAGCTGCACTAAAGGGATATATGAAATGGCGCGCGGGTCATGGCGCCAATCCTCAACGAGATGTAAGCAGAAGCAGGATGGATTTAACACATGTAACTGATTATCACTAGGAGCAAGAGCGCACAAGCATAGAGGGTAATTTAGAAACTTGGTGTGAACGATTCTTAGAGCTTAGATTCGAGGTATGTTGTGGTCATGCCATTCTTAGTCTAGTCTGACCTCTTCACTAGGATCCAATAATTCAAAAGAGAATTATACAACTTGCGGTTGCTCTTTCGACGACCGCTCTAGATAAGAAAGTAGGCTTCATGTTGAAAGTACTAGAGCATATCTTGATGACACAACCAATCGAATATCCAAACGCCCCTGCTTATAACGAAGCTGTGAAAGAGCTACAGACAGAGTCCGCTTATGAGCTGCAACGACTAGCCGCGAAAATGCCTGATCAATTATTGGCAAGTTAGTTCAATGTCTTCAGGAAATGCTACTAATTTAAGCTCGCAGGACGTCTATGATCAGCTCGAAGCAAAGGTCAATGAAATCATTTCTACCAGAAATCTTGATAAAAAGCGCCAGACGTCTTATCAAACTTTCTTATTCACGATCATGTATGGTTCTGTCTTCCAGTAATCTTTCAGGTACAATGCTAATTCTAGCAGCCATCGGAACTCAAAAATTGACCCGGAAACTCGCCTCCAGAAACTGAAAAGGTTTCTGACACCTGTACAAACAAGCTGGCAGGATCCAGAAATGAATAAGGCGATTGAAGGTTTCACTGGGTTCTGTGACTTACTAGGATTGAACCGCGTAAGAGACTTTCTTGTCACAAGGCGAGTTCATGAGATTCAGGATTGGTCGACATATCAGCTAGACTCTGAAGCGCAATCAATACAGAAAGATATGGAAGAGAGATTAAAGGTATGTCGAATGTTTGATATGTGAAATTGTTACTGACCTAGATCCAGGCATTACCGTTGAGAACTACAAAATCATACCTAGGTTGCTCAACAGAGAAATTGGACAAAGAAGACCCCGCGTATAAAATTTCCTGCAATTTATGGCGAAATGCATTGCCTATCATACTACCGAATCTTCTCAAGTACCTAAGGTAGTACAAATTTTCTCTTCATTAAATCTTCTTGCTAACCCTTTAAGTCATGCTCATGCTTTCCATAATCCCGCGAATTGGAACGAACTTCCCCCGGAAATGTCACCTATTGTTAGTCGCATTTTGACAGACCGCTTCTGGCAAGCTGGAATATCTGTTGGAAGTAAAGACGACTTCTACGCTAGGGTGACTGGTACCAAATCTACCATGGAAGGTCTTGCATCATCCATACGAGGCTCAATCCGTACCGTGAGAGAGTCTTGCTATTCAATTCTTTATTGCATGAGTCGTTTGGACGTCGACTTTTATGGATTCAACGAGCTTCCTGGACCTCTTGCACATGCTCTATTTGCGGATGCGCATTGTCTGTCTTCGCATCAACTCATTGCGTTGTTGAATGTTGTGCGACTTATGGTGGACGATTGTCCCGTTGAAGTTCGATCTCATTTCGTACCTCCAATTTTGGCGTCTTGCTTCACTCAAATGGATGCCAAATGTAGTTCCGAATGGGAAAGGCTTTCCCATAAAGAGGTAGTTCCTGCAGATGAAGATACTTTGACTGAGGAGATGAAGGAAGAGAGCATATTGCGACAATTGACATATACATCCGTCATGATGATTGCTGCATTTTTAGATCCAGCACGACCAAGTGAATTATCAAGGACCTTCATGATATTGCCAGAGCTAACACTTTACCAGACATCGGAAGCGCTCCTGCGCCAAGGTCAGCCAAAGAGGCTTCGACCTTTGTTCAAGCTCAAGCGAACGCATATTCAAGCATGAGAACGTTTTGCCTCACATCATCAGCCATTCTAGAATCTCTTCTACTTTTCCTTACTCACGCAGTCCGAATGCGAGATACCCGTTGCTGTAGTGTTGTCCTCCGCGTGTTCCGATCAACCATCCCTGACTTTGATTCGGATAACGAATCGCCCCTCGCGTCCTCCATTCGAGAATTCATCAGCACCGAAGTTCTTAAAGCTGTCATCTCATCCCTAAATGAACCATACTTCGTAGACCTACAAAAGGAACTTGCTCATGTAATTGCATCGATTTTAGTTTCTTACGGACCGGTTACAGGAACTCCGAAACAAATCCTCCTCAGTTTACCTGGTATTCAAGGAAAAGCAGTAGATAAATGTATCGAAACATTGGGAAGACAAGGAAGTCAACAGAGAACCCAAAGAGCGCTAGTATTGGATTTGTTGAAGGATTTGAAGGGCGTTAGTATTAGTGAACAGGGGAGGATCTCAAAGAGTGCGAGTGTAGTGAGGAAGGAGAGGAGTAAGATGCAAGAGGCTTTTATGAGGGGTCCGGTTGATGCTGATAAGAAGATTAAGAGTGAGATTGATGATTTGGAGGGCGTGGCGGAGCTTTTTGATAATTGATGTGGGGGAAGGGGAATGGTGGGGTGGTGAGAATAGAGTGGGAGGACCGAGAAGGTGAAGGATATGCTTATTGATGGGGAAATAGATAGAGGGGTTTTGGTTGATGGTGAATTGGAAGTGGGCTAGACGTTGTAAAGGAAAGGAGAGCAAAGGAAAGGAAAGTAAGGTGTGTTCAAGTGGTTAATACAGCGCCCTGGCTGGTTTATGATGGGTTGATGATTATGTTGTTGGTTATTTATCTATATTATTTAGATAATCTAGATAATGAATACTTGTGCTTATGCTTATACGGGTTTATACACTTATAATGGGTGATATACGTAGGTAGTACATACTTTTGAATATACCTGTATATCGAAAATGATAGTGATAAGGAGGAGTTAGCGCGTTTTTCTGCGACTTGATGTTATTAACCTCATACCATGCATCTTTCGTCAAAGTCCCAAGAAACGTCTACAGGCCCGAAAGGAGAGAAGCATCCCGTCCATGTCACTGATATGCTATCAGTGACATGAACCATATAAAAGGACAATTCTCATGTAACAAATCGATACAAATTTCCAAACTCATGGTTTACCATATATTCATTCCAATCCATCTTCCACCACGAGCCCCATCACACTACTATCCTACCAACCTCGACTTGCCAATAAGCCGGTAAGTCCTCCGGGTCCGTGACAAAAGTTCATCCTTCACGATAGGTGCCGGAGTAAGCAGGTCTCAGGGGACTTCATCCGCGAAATATCATCCAATCATATCATCTCAATCATATCATCTCAATCAAATCTAGAAACATTAAGCGATGATATTGAAACCCCAGTCGTTCACTCTACTTCTTCTTCATCCCTGATTGGAATTTTTTACGCTTGAATCGCTTCATGGATGTGGTAAGTGATTTCATGATACAGTGTGGATGAGTGTTTGTGCTTTTTTTGGGTGGCAACGGGCTGATTGGGAAATGAAATGTGATTTGAAGATGACGCGTTGATGGAAGAAACCCTGCTGCTGAGAGATCTTGGAGATAGAGGAAATTCACGGCCGGATGATATAGTTTAGGGAAGGATATAACGGCTCGGTATCTGCAGAGTAGGATCGAAGTCTGAGATGGTCTGATGGGTTAAGGCTGGAGGGTGTCTTGCATTAAAGGTTGCATTGTATTTGTATTGGAGCTGTGAGATCTTAATTGATGATAATGTGGTAAGAAGTAAGGAAAGAAATGGAAATATTATAACGTAACTTAGAATCTCCATCTTGTTGGAGCACAATTCATACCTAGACACCTAGTTGACAAGGGCTCATTATTAGAGAGTGGATTTGATTTTGACGGATTCATTTTGTTAGACCCGGTGGAACCTTCTGCACGGGATCAGATTCAGTCCCGACCGATAACCTAGAATAACGGGACCAACCTAAAAAGACTTGAGGGCGAAAAAGGAAAAGGGCAAAGGGCAAAGCAACAGAGCAACAGAGCAACAGAGCAACAGAGCAACAGAGCAACAAAGCTAACTCCATAAATTATTCCCATTACCGTTAAATATCAAACTATCAAACGTCAATTGACTCAGATTCATTTTGATTTTATAGGTGGGGGGAAGCTTATTGAATGATTCAACAGTACGGGTAGTCGAGCAATATTGTCAAATATACCTCTATGTAGAGAAGTACTCGAGTAGATACTAGGTAGGTAGTTAGGAATGAATTGGATATATGCATGCTGCATGTAGAAAGATATACACATCCCTCTGTGATATAACTCCCAATCAATCCAATTCCTGCGGCAAACTTACGACGGATTCGTACCCTTCCCGAGATCTACCAACAATTGAAAGGTAGATCTTTTCGCGGCAATATTACTTGATCTATGATCTACCCCCATTTGCGGACATAGCCATGTAAGAGGTCTTAGTAATTCGATCCATATCTGGCACATACGGCACATATAATCATACTGTGTGCGCATTTTCACTTGCATCAATTGTCCGAGCGAGCACGGCACCGAGCACTGCATGAGAGCCACAGCTACAGTCAGTTCTGACCGTTGGCACTTGTTTACTTTGTTTATTTGGTCATTGAGTTTAAGAGCTCGAGGGTCGATTCTCAAAGCTAGCGGGAATGTCTTGGATTCTATATAACCAATTCAACCAACGGTCGCACGATAAGATAGAATGAGGATATTGAATCTAATTGAACACACACACGCATACTCCGGACACACACCCCAGTGAACTCTAGCTTACGATTCTATCAAAAGACCCACTCCCCCCTATGCTAACATCTCAAATAGGGATGTCGTGTTTGACACAGTTCTCCTTGGAATTTCCTTAATTCCCGTACGGCAATTCGATGTAGAAATCCTCTTCTCTTCTCTTCTCTTCTCTTCTCAATGCTGAGATCAGATGACCGGATTCTATTTAAGGATAATCACATCCTTTTGAAATGTCTTGCATCCAATTTTGCAGTCCAGTTCCCATTTTCCATTTTCCACTTTATAATCCAGTGTCAAGTTTGAATGTAGGATCTTAAATTGTTTGGTCTGTGCTTCCCCTCTCCCCCTGGTATCAAAACCCATCAAAACCCATCAAAATAGCTCCAAGAGGGGTTTGGAATGATCGCCCAGAGGTCTAGCTTTCAGGGGGTTCCTTGACGTAAAGGATACATTTTGCATCAAACTATTCCTTCAAACTACTCCTTCTATCGCCGACCAGCTGCACCATTGACTCAAACTTGTTGCTTCCCTTTCTTTTCACCTCCTTCCCCCAGCTTTACTTGATCTTCTTTGATCTTCGAAACCATCTATTCCGTACCTAGTAGTTTGGCTCAAATACTACCCTACTAAAGTCACTTTGGGGGCCACATTACAAACAATACTCCTAGCTACTTACCACCGGTGCTTTCATCAGCTCCGAGCCTTAAACTCATGACTATCAATATCCTGACTCACTTATCTCACTTCATCTTGTCTCTTCTCTCATCTAAACCATATACCTTGAATAGTTTCCTCTACCAATTGCTATCAAGTCATTTATTATAATTCCCGTTTTACATACTTGCTCTGCATACTTATTCCATACTTATTCCCAGCCGTTTATCCTTCATTAACTTCCTAGTACTGATTCTGGCCGAGGCAATCGGAAGAATAAAGCTTGTTCTAGCTTGTCTCAGCGGGCTCTTACCGAGCTGTAACTTGATGTGTTAGTTTCAGATTTAAGCACAGCCATTTGTCAATATCGCATGGGCTTTAGACCATACAGTTACTGGACAATCGCTGTAACTTATTCATTTCTTCGAATTCTATTCTGGAAACCTGATTGAGAAATTGGTTCAATCGATTGTGAGCATAAAGGAAAAGAAGTATTGAAACAAACTTGTTGTTATATTAAGGGTTCATCTTGTCAAAGTATAGACAAGGAAGTGAAGCTATATCAAGATGGTATACTGTGGCAAGCCTTCCCGGGGCTGCCAGATGTGCAGAACTCGAAGGATAAAGGTGTGGTATCTTCATTGTATTTCTTAGAGAACCTTTGGAATGCTAATATCATACCGATAGTGTGATGAAACCAAGCCGACTTGCCTCCAGTGTCAAAAATCAAGACGACAATGCCCGGGATATAAGGATGACTTTGATCTCGTCTTTCGTAATGAGACGAAGGCTACAGAAAGACGAGCACGACGATCACTAAAGAATAAGAAAGGTAACCATAATAATACCCAAACTGGATCCGGGAATCGACGTGATGGGGATCGCAAATTCTCAATTGTGTCTAGCGCAGGTGCCGATGCCGAAATGATGTATTCAACGGCTGGAATGGACCTCGCCAAGATTGAATCCAGCGGCAATGATCCTACCTCATCAGATGCATCGGGATTACAGGTGGGCTTCACTAGTTCCATCGAACAACAAGCACCATGTTATTTCATGTCAAATTTCGTCATAATACCACAAAGTGGACAGATGCGAGGCTCTTTTGACTGGGTGTTACCATTAATCAAGACGGAACCTTCTGACTCGGCTTTATCACTTTCATTCCAAGCTGTAGCGATGGCTTCTCTGGCGAATAGACCAAGCGCAAGAGGAAGCAAATTGATGTATTCTGCTATTGACCAATATGCAAAGGCCTTGAAGGTGGTTAATTTGGCGTTACAAAATCCAGTACAACAAAAAACCGATCAGACATTAGCATCGATTCTTTTACTAGGATTTTTTGAAACCGTCACACAAGAGAAAACGAGTATCACGGCTTGGGGATCACATATCGATGGAGCTGTACAGATAGTGAAGATGAGAGGCAAGAAACAGTTAAGGACGAAAGTTGGCGTTGCGCTATTTCAAAGTGTTCGAGGACAAATGGTAAGCTCATTGTCTCTCTATTAGGGGCGTTAATACTGATATGAAAATAGCTTATCAATTGTCTTTCTTCATCTAAAACTCCCGCATTAGGAACCGAATGGTGGTGTGCCGATGCTCAAAAAGATGAAGGGGCCGCTTTCGTCAATAGACTCAATCTTGAAGTCGCCGAACTTCGTGGCGATATAAATAGAATACTAATGACACATTCACGATCACCGGAAACCAGCGAATTAATCAGTGAGATTATGCATCGTGCTATTGAACTAGAACTAGAGTATCAGAGATGGGAAGAAACGCAAACGAAGCAAACAGTAGCTTGGGTGGATAACATTCCCGGAGGTGATATCACAAAAGCTGATGTATGTCCCGGACGAGTCGATCTCTATTCCGATGTTTTTTCCTGCTCTTCATGGAATTTTTCCCGCGTATCGAGGATTTTCATCGCGGGTATTGTTATTCGCTGTGCAGCATGGATTTGCTATCCTGTGGATTATCGCACCACACCTGAATACGCGCAAATGTCGAGGATGGGTCAGGAAATGATTTGTGATATTATTGCCTCTGTTCCATTTATGTTTGGATGGCATTTGGATAGTGAGGGACGATTGAAACCGGGAGATATCATGGGTGGTGGGGAGGATGTTATGGGTGTTAAGGCTCTTGGGGCAGTGCATACGATTTGGCCGTTGTTGACGGTTAGTTGCAGTGATTTTACGACGGATTCGCAACGGTTGTGGATTAAAGGACGGTTTAAATTTATTTCTGATGTTATTGGTTTGAATCAGGCGAAGGTGGTTGGTTGTGTACGTGTTTTTTCTCTTTTTTTCCTCCTTCTTCCCACTTTCCTACTTTCCTACTCATCTACCTTTTTTCTTAACAAACCGCTAACAAAAAGCTACAACTCCGACTCCCCTCCATGATCGTCCGTCGAGATAACATGGGCTACGCATCTCTCACAGGACCAAATTCTATTCGTCCCCTTGGAAAACCAGCTATTATGCCTGCACTACCTTCTTCAATCTCGTCACTTACGTTTCAACAGCGAGAAGCGATAAAGAGGGAAATGTGGGAACGGGAACGTAAAGCTGCGATGGAGAAGGAGAAGGTTAGGGAAGTTGGGAGGGTGGTGGGAGTTGGTGGGAATTCGAGGAGGGGGAGTGCGAATGGGAATGCGTTGGGTGGTAGTGTTTTGCTGCAGTATCAGCAGAGTAAATATGGGTTGGGTAGTAATGGGGGAGGTGGAGGTGGATCTGGAGTTGTAGGGTTTGCAAATGGAAATGCAAGTGGAAATGGGAATACAAGTGGGAACATGCAAAAAACAGGAGAACTAAGCTGGAAAGTTAGTAATGAGCAAGGAAATAAGAGGGTTAGGATGGTGGGAAACTACTGTTTAATTTGGAAGAAAGTGGGGGAAGAGATGAAGAGCGTGGGTGGGTGAGTGGGAGCGAGGGGCCGGTGGAGAAGGGTTAAGGTAAAGAGACTCGGGAGAGAATATATGGATGTAGGGAGGAGTTGAACTTTGTTTGTTTATTGAATTTGGGAAGGGATGAGGATTGGGAAGGGACGGGGATTGGGAATGGGAATTGGGATGGGGATATCAAGTGTATATTGGGATGGAGATTGGAGTCAGGGAATGATTGGAGTTGCGGGGATTGGAATTGCTGGGAAAGGAATAAAGTGATAGAGTTGGAAATATGTATGGAACTTGATATAAAGGGATAGGAAAGGATATCTGGATATATAGGGTTTTATCTAAGTGTTTTATATTTATTTATATCTGTAAATATATATATATATCTTTATTTATATCTCTATTATTATTTTTATTTATAAAAATAAATAGAGTTTATTAAATCTTTTTTGGTTTGATTTGATTTGATTTGATTTTATATTAATATTTTAATAAAAATAAATAAATAAATATAAAATCATTTATTTATTTATTTACTTAGATATCTATTTAATTAACAATATATCAAGACTTATAAGAAAAGAAAGGAGTTAGAATTAGAATTAGAATAGATATATAATACTTTTTTCAGAAATTTGTAAGGTTGAGGTTGGGATGGAGGTAGCTCCTATGGAAATTATAAAGTAAGACTTATGTCATCTGTTTGTATTTATATATTTGAAAGAGTCCCGCATGAGATATATGTATAAAAATCGTAGTATAAAAGGTTTCACATTGCCATATATTCGTAAGTCTATATGAGAATTCATTCATGAAACTACATAAGCTAGAGAAGAAAAGAAGAAGCCTAGTCCTCACAGAAGACTTATGAGGCTTTATACCCAATATCATAGGCTGATGGAAGTACTTGGAGATGATAAAATATACCAACAAGTGGGTATATGAAAATGAAATGAAAATGAAAATTCTTTGATCAATAAACGTTTCATCCATCTGCGTAATCCCACTCCCCTAGATCCAATGTCCTGCGCAGATAAAAGTATCTTTTCCTGTAGTCGTAATTCAGGTGATTATCCCTTTTAGTCTAAAAACCAGAACTCAAAGGTACTGTAATACAAAATATCGATGAACGCCCCTCCATCATTCCTCGAATCCCATATTCTGCGCAACTAAGCGATTTTGGCTGTAGCTTCAAATGATACTCTCTGGTTTGGTTCCAGAGAAGATCTGTTAATGAAGACTTGAAAACGAGTACGGTAATACAAATGTGAAGAAATAGATTGGTGTATCAGCGAAATTTGTGCGCAGTTGACTTGATTTTATCTGCTGGAAGAGGAGCGCGAATATCTGAATCGGAAAAGCGGATGTTAGTGGCTTTTTGAAGGAATGCTGTGCTTGGCGCATTTTGTTGAATGGTAAGAGTGAGATTGGGGGTAAGATTGAGATTGAGGAGATTTGCCATAATCTGACCAAAACCCCCTTCAATCCATCGCGGCGCATCAAAAGAAAAAGACGAAACTCACGGTTTTCTAGCTTCAACTTTCGGACTGTTCTCATTATCCTTAGGACTATTCCAGCCCAACCTTGATTGGTATGATGGCCATGTACTTAAATTCCAAGCCTTAACCAAGAGTCCTTGAGTTCTATCCACGTAACTTTCATTTTTCATCTCTTTAACTCCGACTGTGACACCATCTTTTGAGAAAGAAACATTCTTGGAAGCCATTCTGTCAGAAGCAGATTTGGAGACTTGCTGAGTGACGAGGTAGATGTGATAGCCAATAAAGGCAAATGCGCCCAGGACAATGAGGAAGATTAGGAGAGGGAGGATCTTGCTGTTGTCCGAGAACATGATTAGTTTTTGGTTTTTGAGGTACTACATAATTGTTTTTTTGAGATGGCAGAGGAAGAGAGAGAAGACGTAAGGAAAAGGGTAGATTGCTTGGTTGACAAGTGATGATATGAAGACAAAGAAACACACAACTTTACGTACCTTAGAGAAGAGCGGGGTGGAGGGGGCTTTGATGGAGATCCCCAAGCCATTGTTCGTTGTTTGAATATGAAATGGAGAAATGGGTTTGTTATGAGTATAAAAAAGATAAGTCTTTGTCTTTCACTCACACATGCACAGAAATTGTACTTGAGGGATCAGAATTATAAGAAATCTGGAGGATGTTGAACAGGTAAATAAGTTTCAGGAAGAGAGTTATAAATATTAAATCTAATCTGGATGTTTACCCTGGTATACCCCAATGTGCTGCGCAATAACAAAATCCCTCTAATACAGTAACTCCGACTCCGTGTACGTTTCCAAATTTATTATCAGGCAGTCATAGCTTAACATAGCCCGGACAAGCACTGTACAGAGAAGGATACTCGACAAGCCAGTGCCTGTACTCGTACTCTAACACGTGATTACTGCGGGACAATGGCGAAGGTGGGCATCATGAAAGCCGAAAGGCCAGGATTCATTTTTGAGTGACCAGACCAAACTTTGGTTTCTCAACCCAATTCATTACATATCATACAAAGATCAATTCAATGTCATGAGTGGCTTGATTATAATTTTCTATTTCTCTTTCATCGTCTAAATTACCCCTTAGTTTTCTCAATCACTTCAGATCTCATCTGCCTAGGAAGGACTTTCTTAGCAACGTGTTCCTTGAAACTACGTAGATCTCTCCAAGATTCCTAAGCTTAGGAATTGACTTGACAGTTTTCATACTCGAGTTATCTCCCAAGAAATACTTAATCAAGCTTTCAAGCGCGGCTACGAATCTATTGCGCCTTGCACTACATCCACGATTCTCGGAAAGACGGTAGAGAATTTAAAGCTATAGCAAACATGGCGGCACCACAAGATGGATATCCTGGCCAAGCTTACCCCCCTCAAGATCCATATGCACAGCAAAGCCCGGCGCAACCAGGTTTTGAACCATCAGCGACATCTCCTCCACCACATGGTGGAAATACAGGAGTAGATGGTGGAAAGAAGAAGAAGAGGGGCTATGCGACACAAGCTTATGATTTCGGACAAGGTGCGAATTCGGCTTTAGGAGGACAAACACAGGGCGGTGCTCAATTTCAACCTCCACAAGCACCTGCTGCATACGGCGGTTATCAAGCTCAACTGGATCCAGCAGCTGCATATGGAATTCCGCAGGGTGGAATGGTCGGGGCTCCTCAAGGGGGTTTTGCTCAACCGCAATATGGCAGCGGCGTCGGGGGTTATCAACCTCCTGATGCTGGATACCCGGGTCCAGGTGCACCTGTTTCCCCTGGTGTAGCGGGCATTACACAGGGAATGGGACAAATAGGCATGGGTGGACCACAACAACCTATTGCGGCTCAAGCTCGTCCTGGTGCTACAGGTCAGGTTGCTTTGAATCAGCTTTATGCTACAGATCTCGTCAATCAACCTTTCAATGTTGCAGAATTGGATTTACCTCCTCCTCCGATCATTTTACCTGCAAATGTGAGTTTTCCCAGCCTAATTGTGATAGATTATACTAATATTTACATAGTCAAGCGTCACCCCTTCCCCAAACGCAAACTGCCCATCAAAATATGTTAGATCGACTTTGAATGCCGTTCCTACAACCAATTCCCTCCTCAAAAAATCGAAACTTCCTTTCGCATTAGTTATACAACCATATACTTCATTGCACGATATCGACGATCCAGTACCAGTTGTTCAAGATCAAGTCATTTCACGTTGTAGAAGATGTCGTTCATACATCAATCCCTATGTTTCATTCCTCGATCATGGCCACAGATGGAGATGTAATATGTGTAATCTCACAAACGATGTTCCACAAGCTTTCGACTGGGATGCAGCTGCACAACAAAGTGTTGATCGATGGCAACGACCGGAGCTAAATCATGCAGTTGTGGAATTTGTCGCACCACAGGAATATATGGTTAGACCTCCACAACCGCTTGTCTATCTCTTCTTGTTTGATGTCAGCTTTGCTTCTGTATCTTGTGGCTTGTTGGCTACTAGTGCTAGAACTATTCTCGACAGTCTTAACAGGATACCAAATGCAGATCGAAGAACACGGGTTGGTTTTATGGCTGTGGACTCAAGCTTGCACTACTTCCAAGTTCCAAAAGACACAGAAGAAAATGGAGAAACAAATATGCTTGTTGTCAGTGATTTGGATGAACCATTCCTTCCTGTTCCTCAAGAGTTATTGGTTCCATTGTCTGAGTGCAGGATGAATGTTGAAAAATTCCTCATGACTCTTCCTCAAATGTTCCAAAGCAACACAAACAACGGATCATGTATGGGATCAGCTCTTCGTGCTGGTCACAAGCTTATTTCACCTCTTGGTGGAAAGATTGTTGTAATCACCGCTTCGTTACCTAATGTTGGATATGGCAAATTAGAGATGCGCGAGGATAAGAAGTTATTGGGTACCTCGAAAGAGAGTAGTCTATTACAAACGGCCAATAGCTTCTACAAGAGTTTTGCGGTGGAATGTTCAAAGAACCAAGTCTCTATTGATATGTTCTTATTTTCATCGCAATACCAGGATGTTGCTTCTCTTAGCAACCTTCCAAGATATACTGGAGGACAAACCTATTTTTACCCAGGATGGAATGCTGGAAGAAGTGAGGATGCCATCAAATTTGCTACAGAGTTCAGTGATTACCTATCTGCTGAGATTGGTCTCGAGGCAGTATTACGTGTTCGTGCTACCACTGGTCTTCGAATGAGCACTTTCTATGGTAACTTCTTCAACCGAAGTTCGGATCTCTGTGCTTTCCCAGCTTTCCCTCGCGATCAAAGTTATGTTGTTGAAGTCGCAATTGATGAATCTCTTACGAAGAACTTTGTTTGCATGCAAACTGCTGTCTTGCATACCACAAGTAATGGAGAACGTCGTATTAGAGTCATGACTTTGTCATTACCTACAACAACTACTCTTCAAGATGTTTACGCATCTGCCGATCAATGCGCAATTACTACTTTCTTCAGTCACAAGGCTGTTGAACGTGCATTGAGTGGTGGACTTGAGCCTGCACGTGAAGCTCTTCAATCTAAATTGATTGAACTTCTTCAAACTTTCAAGAAAGAACTTGCCGGAGGAAATATGGGAGGTGGTGGACTTCAATTCCCGGCCAACCTCCGTGGATTACCAGTCCTATTTCTTGGTCTTATCAAGAATGTCGGACTTCGAAAATCGGCTCAAATCCCGTCGGATCTAAGATCTGCGGCTCTTTGCCAACTGTCTACACTTCCTCTTCCACTTTTGATGCAGTACATCTATCCACGTCTTTACTCATTACATGATATGCCTGACAATGCCGGTATTCCCGACCCAGAAACAAATCAAATTGTCCTTCCGCCTCCTATGAACCTCTCTTCGGAACGTCTCGTACCATTCGGTCTCTACCTCATCGACGATGGCCAAACACAATTCCTCTGGGTAGGCCGCGATGCTGTCCCACAACTTCTTGCAGATGTATTTGATGTTTCTGACCGAACGAAACTCAAGGTTGGAAAATCTACTCTACCAGAGTTGGATAATGATTTTAGTGAGAGAGTCAGGAATGTCTTCCAGAAAGCGAGAGATTATAGGAGTAGAGGTGTTGGCAGTATCGTGGTACCACATCTGTATGTGGTCCGTGAAGATGGTGAGCCAAGTCTGAAGTTATGGGCACAGACGCTGTTGGTGGAGGATAGAGCGGATCAGGGAATGAGCTTCCAGCAATGGATGGGGATGATGAGGGAAAAGGTTAGTTCTTAATCATAGTCTGGGACAAGGGTGAATGTAGGTGGAAGAGCGATTGGATGTATGGATAAATGAATGGATGATGGAAGAGAGTATGGATGAAAAGTATGATGGGAGTGGGAGAGAGGCAATGAAATGAGTCTGACTATGCATATGGATGGAGGAGGCATTAATTCATTCGCAAAGGCTTCTTCTGATTACGTTGGCAGATACAATTAGTGGAGTCGGTTCCTCGTTCAAATGTTTCAATAAAAAATGAGTTATCTATTTATTGTTTTATATGATTTTGCAAGTACTGTTTTGCGAGTACAGCAGTGAAGATTCAATCAAATTTTACGAAAGATCACGTACATCTCCTGGTGAGCTTTAATCTACTTCTATTTTGGACAGATTCATGGATGACTTATTACTGGTAGCCTACGAAGTACATCCGATAGTCCGAGCTCAGTAAGGCTACGAGGCTGATTGTAAACAACTTAAAAATACAAACAAGGCTGTGTCACGATATTCAAATCAATACAATATCCAAATAAATTCTCACTTCATCACCGCGACACCACTGCTGCGAACCTCTCACGATGTGTCTCGCACAATTGATTCTGGGATCTTTGACCCGCTTTCAAAAATCTCGGCACTAATTAATCTCTAATTCAACTAATCTAACCTCACAATTCCTCCTCCATCCAAACCATCAAACCACCCATTCCCCCTCCCCTTCCTCCACCCGATCATCTCCCCGCCCTCCCAACGTCCCCTCCCTCCCGCCCTCATCGCAACAACCAAACACAGACTCCTCTCCCTCTCCCTCACAACCCCACATCTCCTCGATCTATCTACCCATTCCCTCCCCTCCGATATCAATAATCCTCTTTCTCGCGAACGTATTCTAAATACGCGGATTCCGGTGCAGGTGCTGGATATTGTTGATATTGGACTTTCTCGGGGGGAGTTACTGGGGAATTTAGTTGGGGAGCGGATGGGAGAGAGGCGGAGGGGGAGGGAGGTTATTAGGGTTGTTGATGATGATGCGGATGGACATGAACATGGCTTGGAGCGGGGATTCGGGAGTTCAGCTTCTGGTTCTGTGTCGCAAATACGAAATCGACCCGCTACAGGAGAAGCCCAAGCACAAGCAACAGGACCTTTTAAACTCTTCCTCCAAGATCACAAAGGTGCACATGTATACGCATTCACGACTTCAGAAACATGTAATGCGCATCCGAATTCGATGCAGAAAATTGCCCTGCCCCCACGTATGCAGATTGGCTGTAAGATTATGCTGTTACCTGGGACGAGGATTTGTAGGGGGATGGTGTGGATTGAGGGGGATACGTGTGTGGTTTTGGGGGGGAGGATAGAGAGTTTGGATAGGGAGTGGAGGGAAGGGTGGGAGGAGAGGGTTAAGGGGGAGGTGGAGGGGATGAGGGAAGAGTTGAATGGGGAACGGGGAGGAGGGGGTGCTTGATGGGTGGATTTATATACGGGCTTTGTTCACGGATGTCCTTCCTTCCAATCCAGAAATTGTCATATCCTCGCATCCACGCATCTTCGCATAAACATCAAATATCAATCTCATTTCCACCGACGAAATTTATTCGAAGAAGTGCGGTCTCAAAAGCTCATAGATCACATCTGATGAGTTCGGATGTAATCAAAGTTCCAACAATCCCCAGACTGTTACGGACGAGACAAGAGAGGAGGGGAAACAAAATACACTTATGAGAAACCAAGCGTGAACTCTTGCCGTCTACCTAGCCTCTTCAAAAATACAAAGAAGTAAAGAAGAGCGCGAAAGTACCTACTCATTTACATGGAGAAATAATAATACGTGACAATACAATCATGTTATAACCCTTAGCTTAGTGAAATAAAAACTTAATAATTGAAATAAAAAGAAAAGCTGTACGTAACATGAGATCATGCTATCATAATTTCCATCCCATCTCAGCCTGCAAATCATGTCAAATGAAATCGCTCCGACTATTTCCATCCCATCTTAATCCTGCACGTAAATTATGAAAAATGCTTCCCGACTGTCTCCTTTCTCTTATCATTTATATTATCCAACTCATATGCAAGTTTTGTACCCATCTCATCTCACACCATCCTCGTGAGACGTTGGTTATTTCAATGCTTTCTTTCAAGGCTACGAAATCAAGTGAAAATTGCTTCGCTAACCGAGGCGAGATAATGCCGGTCCAGAATAGAGAATTTCCACATACACCTCAAATCTTTGACAATCCATGCATGCTACAAACACTTTCTAGGACCGGAATAATCAATATTTTGAACATTTAAGTTTTCCAAATAATGCGATAAAGGATATCCGAAGCGAATTAAAAAGTGAAAAGCAAAGTCTATCGCATGATCTCTTCGTAGATCAATTGTTTGAGTTGTTCTTTGGTGAGGTTGTCCTTGTTTTTATCGAAATCAAAGAATTCTTCCGGAATAGGGTTGGCCGTAGGTTCATCTTCTGGGTCATGATATGGCTCAAGGTATGGGTGTTTCAGTGCTTCCTCGACAGTAATTCTCTTGACAGGATTAAATGCGAGAAGTTTCTCGAGGAGATCCAAAGCGAGATCTGAGGTTTTTGGGAACATAGTCTTGAATGGAACCTTCTTCTTGAATGGCAAAGATCGGATATATTCTCTTGCACGACGAGATTTGATGCCGTAGTAATCTTCCATGGTAGGGGTACCAAGAACATCAAGAATGAGTGTGAGTTGGTGGTGATCTATAAATTATTAGTAAGGTACATTACTCCTACATAGATTTCACTTACAATCCTTTCCAGGGAATAGGGGCTTTCCGCTTAACATCTCGGCCAAAATACACCCAACAGACCATACATCAATGGCCTTGGTATACTCTTTGAACGTCAACATAATTTCGGGAGCACGGTACCATCTGGTCGCAACATATTCAGTCATGAAACCAGAGTTATCTTCTTGGGAGGCAGCGGATCTAGCAAGACCAAAATCGCAGACCTTCAAATCGCAGTTGGCATTAAGTAATAGATTGGATGGTTTCAAATCTCTGTGTAAAACGTTTGCTGAATGCATAGCTTTCAAGGCTCGGAGAGTTTGATAGATGAAGTACTGGCAATGATCATCGGATAGATCTTGAGTGCGAATTACACGATGCATATCGGTTTCCATGAGTTCCTGTTTTATCTTAGCACGTTGTTTTTCTGCTAGCGAATATCACCCATTTACATACTTGAATGAGATAGACTTCGGTGAAGGACTCGTAGTTTCTAGGCTTTTGAATATCGAGAATGGAGATGATGTTCTCATGATTGAAGTACCGAAGTAACTTCATCTCACGTAGTGTTCGCAAACAGAACATCGAATGATCAAATGGAGTGATCTTCTTGATAGCGACCTTTTGCCCTGAAGGCTTGTGCAAAGCTGAACTATAAACAGAGATCGAGTTAGCATCCCTTCATGTTCTGCAAGTTCCCTTGCTCTGCCTCGAATCGAATAATGTAAAGATTGTACGAGTAACAAGGTGGGGTAGCATACCAAACGACACCATAAGCTCCCTCTCCTACAACATCCTGGATATCATATTGTTCGCTGACATTGAAAGAGATCTTTCGGGATCCCGAAGAGGGATTAGGCGCACGACTTGCCATGGTATATGATAATGGGTAGGTATCTGAAGTAAAGAGATCGTATACTGCGATGAAGAACTGGAGACTTGTCTACCAGTTATAAAGAGCTAATGAACAGCTTTGCTGAATGATTACAATAATATAAAGTAAGAGCTAAGTCGAAGGAATACTATTTTATTGTAAATAAAAGTGCAGAAGCTCGGAAACTTTTCTTTGTTGTCGTTAGTTGCGGATGTTCCAGACGATGTCAAAGCAAAGTGATTCGCACTCTTTTCAACCTTGTCCTCAAATATTCTTTCAGCCGCAGGAATTTCTTCTCTCGTATGAATTTCTCTTAAAGGCTAAATGTGTACAAAACGCACAAAGTCGTTGATTTGATGATTGATTAATAGTCCGTGAATGTGAGTTGTGAATGTTGTTCTTCAAAACACTGCACACACTGCACCTTCTTGCGCTTGGTCCTGTTGTATAGATAAAGAGTATCTTGAGCTTGTCGCAGCTTCGATATCAGTCCAACAGAGTTGTAATTACCGAAGTATAACCAGCTGAAATATCTCGCAGCGAAGAAAGTCGTTAAGTGGTGGTTAGATCGAGGTTTATCTGTATTGTCGAGGAACATGATCAGCATTTCTTGTTCTTCTATTACTTGTGTCCCGCTCTCACAAATCCTTCTCCTCTAGAGACCAACCTCAAAGTTTGAAAAGCTTCCAGGATGATATGAGATGTCTTCCAACAGATGCGCAGAGTGAAGATGAAGATCAAAAACAAGTCATCCGATATATTTAACTGTTGAAAAGGAAATATGTTGTACCTGTAATCTTTCGAATATGTGTTCCAGACCAAGACGTTCGTTCGTTCAAATTGCCCCGCTACAAGGATGACGTTTCTTTTCCAAGATTTACTTTTTGATCCGAACTCTGAATTTGGGAGAAAGGTATGGCAGAGAGTAAATGTTCAGGTGAGAAGATGGGAAAGTAAGAGAGGACAAGAAACATGAAATTATCTGTCTCTTTCCAAACTGTTAGTCTTGATGGGATTTTGGGAGAAGTAATGAATGGATGGATGGGTGCCCGAGTGGTTGTTGTTGAAAGGTAAAGCACGGGTAAAGTGTGGGTGGCTTTGAGTGAGGGGGATCGTGATGCTGATTGGAACTTGGAAGCTTACTTTAAGTGGAGAGGTTAAGGTTATGTGGATGGGATGGATAACCCCTACTTTATTTGTACGGAGGGAGTACTTTCCAGCTTTCCAGTAGATCAAGGCCAAAGTCAAAATCGGGAGTTAAATTTCAGGGACATCGGAGAAAATCTAAAACGTAGGTAGGTGGTCTGTCTGTAAAAGACGGAAGGAAGCTAATAATGAATGATGTGGTGAATAAGTATTCAGATGCTGGACGGGAAGTACTGGAATAGGTATGAATCGAGAATCGATGTAGATGTAGAAAATAGAAAATAGAAAATAGAAAATAGAAAATACTGGTTGCATACGGAGTAGACATGCACCAATGTCGACGGGACTAATGAGGACACCCAATTCTCTCGTAGCTGTGGCTATGTTTCCTATCAACATCATGATGAAAGGAATAATGATAAATATATCTCATCATGTGCCCAAATATCAAAGTATACATTTTCCTGTCCTTCTTACCTAGGGATTCGACCATTTACAACGAAGCAGCCGGTTCCCATCGAAAAGGACCCCACCAAATCTATACTCTTCAGCCATTTTACTCGATATCCTCTCTACGCGCCCAACCTTTGATATCCTATCCCCGTCACACCAAGATTTGAGACCATAACGATCTCTCAAAGCAATATCGTACACACCACTGGATAACAAGTGAAATTAATACTACCAAGGTACCTAATAATTGTACCATAGGTTGAAAATTTCATTCGCGTATGCGCCTGTTTCACATGGGCACAGGACAGGGAGACGGCAAGATCTTACATTCACACCACCAGCATGAACCAATCAACAACTTGCAATGGGAATGCTATCTTAAACCTTTTACTCTATACCTACCTACCTACCTACCTACATACCTACCTACCTACCTACCTACCTACCTACTCAAAACACTCATCTCATATTGACTATGACTTGCGTTCTATCGTAGCCAATTTCTTATACTCCATCGCATGCATTATGTTATGTAATCTTACGTTCTACCCACCTGTTTATTACAGAAAGGACTCAGGTATCCGTATCTATGGTTTCATTCTACCCCCTCAGTTCCTTTCGAAAGTGTTCTGTACCTGCTAAAACTCAAAACACCGCCATCTCACATAAATTAATAGTTCCCCTCAATTGGGATCCAGCCCTAAAACAACCACCAGGATGGATCCCGATCCTTCTATCCATGTGGTCCGTGACCGGATCGACAACTTGACTTCATCCTACGACTACATCATTTCTCATTTCTACTTCATTTCACCTGTCTAGTACCTCATCGCCTTGCCCGACCACATAACATCCCGACACAACCGCCATTACCACCAAATAATCACAAGAATCCTCTGAACACGATACCGCAAATCATCAGACCAAAGAGCTTATCAAAGCCCTCCATCAATACACGATCCCCACGGACACCCATTCCCCAACTCAACGTTTTGACCTCTACCTCTAACCATCAAAATTCACCACACAACATTCCTCCCGCAAAGCCGCCCCGTTTGATGTTTGAACTTTGAACAGACGAAACACGGAACATCTCCCTTCCACCATCCGATCCCAATCCTCCCTCCACTGTCAAGTTTCACACCCCTATTTCTTGTCTCCCATATTTATTCCTGTACGTACACAAAAGGATCGATTTCTACGAATTGGGTAATGGAGTCCGAATATAAGTTACAATAAGTACAGTCCATTTTCCAGCTTCGGGAAGAGAAATCTGGAAAATGATTGCTTGATTAACCTATTTATACTTAACTAGATGCTCTTCCATACACCAAAATATTGGGACACTTCTAAGTATTTTATAATACATTCATTCACCTATAGGCTACAACATAATGATAAAAAATCCTGGGTTATCAAATCCTCATCTCGTAGTCGTGACTCTTACATCGTCACATTCTTAACAAGGTCATGCTCTTCACCAAAACACACCAACACAAACCTGTACAAACTGCTGCACGCCCATTTAACCTCCCACAGAGACATCGATAAATAACATACAAAAAAGTATCCCTATCAATCAAACTTAACATACACTTATACGAGTGAGTACACCTACATCATAATAACTCCACAAGGTTACCACAATCCTAAACCAATCACCGGCTCTTTCCTTTCACTTGTGACTTTACGTTATATACAAGGTAAGAAAGAGTGCCTATCTAGGTAGATGGGTAGGTAGGTAACCTTACTTCTAACCACGTAAGGTTACATCCCTGTGAGAACTAGGTACTTGAAAAATTATATCAACTAATAGGTATGAAATAAGTGAAGAGAGGGGAGTTGAAGTACATTTGCATACCTAGGTACGAGTGCTACTTATGAGGAAGACTTCCAACTCTAATTATAATGAATTTGAAGATCCAATTAAGTCTCTATCATGCTTTTGTAAATTCATAAAAAATCTTGATATCAATGTTATAGGACTAATAATACCTATATACAGACCTTTCAATCCTTAATACAATTCATTGCTCATCCAAGTTATCAATTCCTCACCTCTCGTCCTTTCCACCCCAGACGCCCAACAATGCTCAAAAAGCCCACAAGTAATCTTCGTGTATGCCAATCATTTATCACATCAACTGACAACTCTTAGTCTGCTGACACTGTTCATAATAACCTTCTTCCTCTGCTTTCCCCAACTTCATATTCTGTCGTCTCATGACCCCGGTAATTTTAATAGATTGTTCACCCTCCGCATGCCACCATCTAAGTCTCTGAATCACCCCACCATCCTCGTCATCTGTACTAATTGTCCATTTCCCCGCACTAACTTCCACCTCACATTTATCCTTCGGGAAATGGAATTCGGGGAGAGATATTTCCGTTGGTGCCTCTTCGGATGCTGCTTCGCCGGCGTGGAGTCGAAATGTGAAGATACAATTTCGAAGATCGAATCCGTAATTGAGAATCTTGCCAACGGTTGCAATGGGGGACGGACGAACGTAGGCTTCGGCCGCTCGGTAACCAGGGGAATTGGTGAGTTCAGGAGGGCTATCAGTTTGCTTCGATGAAATTGAGGGGGTTTTCAATGCGGCTTTTAAATTACCTGGATTTACTGTGGACTCGTCTGAGTTTTGTTTTTTAGTATTGGGTCCAGCTTCGTGGTCCACCAGTGATGAGCTTGATTCGCTGGGCGTCGGAGGGTTGGCTTCGAGTGGTAGTGGTAAATCATCAAGGGAAAAAATTGAAAGATCCTCGCCATTCCATTGGTCGCCAAGAGAATGTTTGTTCTAAAAATCATTAGTAGAAATCAAATTGAGAGAACCCTAGTCACTTGCCTCGCACATATAGAGCCAAAGAGTATATCCTGCCATGGCACTCCCTTCTACGGCAAAGTGATTTGCATCCATGGCCCCTGATTGACTAGAATAATCACCAGTTTTGTAAGCATATTTATCATCCATGTCGTAAGGAATACCAAATTCTGTCAAGACACATGGGTGATTTCCCATATAGTCTTCACCCTCTTTCTTAATAGCTGCAAGTTGATCTCGGAAACAATTCCTGATTGCTGTCTCTCCTAGCTTTATAGCAAATGCGGGACTGAGATATCGGCCTCGCAAGATGCCAAAAACATCAACATTCCAGAAACGATTCCACTTTTTGGTCATAAGAGTGACTCCATCATAGTAATGAGGCGCATAGACCATGAGAGGATCGTCATCCTTTGTACCCTTGATTGATGGGGGTATTTCCAATACCGGTGGCTGACAAAATAAAATTGAGTCCTTGTGGTGAGCTCTGATAGCGTCTCGGTGTTTTCTATAGTAATCCATATAATATGAGTTTGTGAACTCTTCATAGCTGATGTCTTTCTTTGTCCTTGGGTTCTTCTTAAAATAATCCTTCTTCAATAGACTATCTGTTGATGGATCCCATACGCCATGCTGAGCCCAGATACACTCTCCCAGCTTCCAACCAGGGTCTCGCTTGTAACCATATCTCGACTCATCGTAGTCTGATGGTAACCATGCTGTCTCTCCTTCGGGATCAACAAGAACCTGACCAGATTTGTATGGTCCCATCCCTCCAAAATCCCAAGTACTTATTTCACATGCTCTTCCAGATCCAGTCAACATGGCTTGAAATGCAGTCGGAGATGTTCCTTTCTGTAATTTCTGCTCGCTCGGTATGGTAGAAATATCTGCCCAGCCCACAAGCCCCCGGTTAGGCTCATTCATACTTTCCCAGCCAATTACTACTTCATTCTCGAGATCTCCTGCTTCATGTACTCGTTTTGCAAGATGTGCGCAAGCATTTACGAAGTGGTCTTGAAGATAGTCCTGAATGTTCTTACCATCAATGATACATTTTGGCGCAAAGTCCCGACCAGCGAAGAAGAAAGTAAATATTGTCTGACATGCCAAGCGAGTATAATTTGTAGACCAAATCATCTTTGGGAAGTTTTCAGGATCCGGATATGTATTGTGCACGACTGCAGCTTCTGTTACCGCGAATTTTTCAGGATCAAGCCCGCAAGCATAGAGAGTCCACATTGGAGCGCCTGATCCGCCCGAAAACCTTGACCACTACTTTATTAGTCTTATAAGATCTCCTCAGAAGGATTTAAACTTACGACGTCCTGGTGAGGATCCATGAAAATATAGAAGCCATAACTTTTTGCTAACCGCAGAATCTCAATGGTATGCTGAATCCATTCTTCATCATATATGCCGGGCCCTGCTGATTCTATTGCCTCCCATGTGAAAACATATCGTATCGTATTGTAACCCCAACGCTTTAATCGCGAGAAATGAATATGTGCGTCTTCTTGGGAAAATGGGCGCGAATGGAAGTCGACATGATCTCCATTATAGAAGTCCTCGAGGATATGCGAAGGCTGATCAGGCTTGCTGGGATACTTGGCGTCACCAGCCAGATTTATTCCACGAAGAGTAATTTCACGGCCATGAGAATCCCGGAAACGGCCATTTTCGATGGTGAGTCGTAGTGGAGACATCGTACAACGGGTACTTCTAAGAGTGTTTGAAAGCAGGTTTGGAGAATCTTTACTGTCCCAGGAGAGGAAATACAATCTGGGAGACAGCGCTTGAAGACTTCCGAGGTTGCTTGATTTTAGTCAATCTTGGCCAAGTTCTGTTTAGCACTCAGCCTCAATTCGCAATGATTCTATATTCGTTGTTCCATCTGCAATATGGGAGATATCTTGTAGGAATGATTAAGAATAATTTGATAGGAATAAAGAGTAACGAGTAAAAATTCGTGTATTCATGTATTAAGATTTTTATATCCTTATTAGTTCCATTCTAATGAATACCTGCTACTGTTATCAGGGCGTCCGTCAATGACGATGTAGTCAGATGTCTGATTATGACAGGGGTAAAACACACCCAATGAGTAGACCCTGTTAATCATTTCACTATCAAAAGCAAGACGATCCGAGCCGGATAGGCTACATATTTCAACCCCACACTAAAATGGACAAGGCTGCACCAAAATTGTATGATGCACTCATACTACATAGTATTTCCGCAGGTGTAGTCCAGAACTCATTGCTTGATCTTCCAAGACTCTTTAACATAAATCAAGTCTATTTCGTTGGGTCAATTATGCCGAGTGAACCACTTGGTATTGCAAAATGTCAGGAACCAAAGCCGCGCTGAAAGCTATAAATGCTGCAGTGCAGTCTCAAAAGTATGATGAAGCTGTTCAACAAGCTCGGAATCTTCTCAATTCGGACCCAAATAGTTACCAGGCGTAAGTAAACCACTGCACCGTTACCAAGTATTTGTATTATTCTCAGTGCGACGTCTGACTTTCTGCAGAAACATCTTCTTAGGATATGCCTATAGTAAATCGTCGAAATTCTCAGAAGCAGAAGAAGCTTACGAAGCTGCAACAAAAATCAAAGAAGGAGAGCCGCAAGCATGGCAAGGTCTTATCCAGTTATACGAGAAGCAAGGCGGTTCCAAAGTTGGACAATATCAAATTGCAGCTTTGCATTTAGCTCAAATCTATCAAGCTCACGACGATAAATACAAATGTCAAGATGTCATTGACAAGTTCCTCGCCTTTGCCAAAAACCAAGGAACCCGCTTGCAACATAGAAAATCTATGGAGATCATTCTACCGGACAGCCCAATATATGCATATCTGGAGGGCCGTGTCCCTCATCCTTCACATACCTATCAGATTATAGCTCAGATTACCGAATTTGAAGAGAAAGAGCGCATTAATAAGGAAATTGGAGAAAGACGAACGAGGTTGGGTGCCAAAATCAGTCAAGTGACTGTCGAAGTCAAACGGGAAGTTTTAAGAGATAGTGATTTGGAGGAAATCTACAACAAGATCATAGACTGGACCACGGATGATGAGATTCGTCGGCAATACGAAGAAAAACTCGTCCAGAGATGTCTAGAGGCCCTGGTTATTCTTCCGCCGGGAGATGCAAAAACAGAGAAACGTGTAAAGGTATTCAAGCTGGCAACAGATATGGTAATAATTAAACATCCGTACAAGTTGGCCTGGGATATTGCTATTGAGTGGCAGGACCCCGAAAATGTCCAAAGCTTGGATGTTAATATTCTGCGAGAATACATAGATTTCTTCCCTACAAGTGGACTTGCTCAAGTTCTACGAGGATTCATCTCCAGTGAAATTTCGCCATTCCCACCTCCACCACGAACTCTAGCTCCTGTGCTAAATAAAGAAGATCGTGAAGAAAGTAGTTCAGATGAAGACGATGGCGGAGGAGTGACATTGGATGACTTTTCGATGCTTGCAGCAGATCGCTTGTTGATCATGTCAGAGGGCATGTCAGACTCACCTACATCAATATTGGCACATCGTCTCATGGGAGAGTACTATCAATTTCTAGATGAACATGAAAGTGTTGTGGAACTTATACGAAACGCAAAGCGGCTTGCAGTGGAAGAATCAAACAAAATTGGCCTAAAATTGAAAAACGCATTCCAATCCTTTGATGTCTTGTTAGGTACTGCTCTCGTATTTTATCAGTCACCCAAGAATCACCCAGAAGCAAAAGCTTTATTTGATGGACTGCTGAAGGAGAATCCGTTCTCAACTCCTGCTCTCATTGGGATTGGTTTGGTTTATGAGGAGGAAGACGATTTCCCTGCTGCTATCGACTTCCTTGGACGTGCCTTACAACGAGACCCTACGAATGTTCGAGTTAAGGCCGAAGCCGCGTGGGTGAAGGCTATTAATGGCGATTATGTCCGTGGACGTGAAGAGCTGGAAGAGTGCTTACCCCAAATGGAAGCCAAAGATTTGAAATCTCGGGACTTACTGGCCCAAACACAATACCGCGTGGGTGTCTGCCTTTGGAATATAGATACATCGAAATCTGCACGCAAGGACAGGAAAGGTGCTTACTCATATTTCCTAGCATCATTGAAAAGCAATCTCAATTTTGCTCCTGCATATACCAGTCTCGGTATATTTTATGCAGACTATTTGAATGACAAGAAGAGATCTCGAAAGTGTTTCCAGAAAGCCTTTGAGCTCTCACCCTCGGAAGTGGAAGCGGCCGAACGCCTGGCCAGGATATTCGCCGGTCAGGGTGAGTGGGAGTTGGTCGAGTCAGTCGCTCAACGAGTTGTCAATTCAGGCAAGGTCAGACCAGCACCTGGCTCGAAGAAAAAGGGTATCAGTTGGCCATTTGCCGCTCTAGGAACTGCCGAGTTGAATAAACAGAACTACTCAAAGAGCATTGTTTCTTTTCAATCCGCACTCCGCATCACACCTTCTGATTATCATTCATGGGTCGGTCTTGGCGAAAGTTATCACAATTCTGGGCGTTATATTGCTGCAACAAAAGCTTTTCATCATGCCGAACAATTCGAGAGTGAGGTCGAACAAACACAGAATGGTGACACTTGGTTTGCAAAGCATATGCTCGCAAACGTGAAACGTGAGCTAGGAGACTTTGATGATGCCATTGAGGGCTTTAAAGCTGTACTTCAAGACCGTCCAGCGGAATTTGGGGTATCCATTGCGTTGATTCAGACTTTAGTTGATAGTGCTTGGGATAGTATAGAGAAAGGACTTTTTGGAAAAGCTACCCAATGTGCAGCTGAGGCCATTGAGATTGCTAGTCAAATTCTAAAAATTAAAACCGATGCTTTCAATCTCTGGAGAGCTGTAGGCGACGCTTGTGCTGTTTACTCTTGGGTTTGGAGCCGTATCAACGAGTTTCCCGATGCCAATGTTAGGAAACTACTCGAGCAATGGGCCACTACTTATGATATTTTTGCAGACGTCGATGGAGTTTCTGTGGATATCGTTTTTGCCAAGGGCCTATATCCTGCCGATGAAGAAGATGGATTGTACCGAACTCGATGTCTTCATGCAGCAATTCTAGCCCACAAGCGAGCTATTCATGCTTCATCTCACGATACGCACGCTCAAGCAGTTGCTTATTACAACCTTGGTTGGATTGAGCATCGTGCTCATGTCTGCCTGTCTCCCAGTTTAAAGAAGAAATCTACTAGATACCAGAAAGCAGCAGTGAGATGTTTCAAAAGAGCTATTGAACTAGAAGCAGGTAACTCGGAGTTTTGGAACGCGTTGGGAATTGTCACCAGCAATTTGAATCCGAAGGTTGCACAACATTCTTTTGTTCGGAGTCTTTACTTAAATGAGAGAAGTGCTCAGGCATGGACCAATTTAGGAACACTGTATCTCCTACAGAATGATTATCAGCTTGCTAACGATGCTTTCGCAAGAGCTCAATCGACCGATCCAGACTACTCACATGCTTGGATTGGACAGGGCCTTCTCGCTCTAATGATGGGCGACGAGAAAGAGTCCAATCTTCTTTTTACACATGCTATGGAAATCTCTGGCTCGTCTTCATTAATTACGCATCGGCAGTACTCACAATCCGCTTTTGATCAGATCTTGGCTTCGAAAAATGCTTATAATGCATCGGATTTGGTGCAACCACTGTTTGCGTTGATTCAAGTAAAATCGATGGCACCAACTGATCTTGTCTCGAAGCACCTTTCATCACTTTTCTCCGAGCGTGTAAATGATATTTCTTCTGCTGTAACAGCCTTGAGCTCAATTTGTGGAGCAGCTGAAGCCGATTACGAAGTCACGGAATCACCAGAATCACTATCTCGATTCGCTTTGGCGAAAGCAGATCTCGCCCGGTCTCAGTTGGCGAATCATGAGTATGAAGAAGCCGTCGAAAGTGGAGACCTCGCCTTACAGCTCTGCGACGAGGATAGCGGTAATGAGCTTTCTGCAGAAGCTCGTCAAAAATGCAGACTATCGGCTCATCTTACCGTTGGCTTAGCACAATACTACTTAAATAACTTAGATACAGCTCTTGAATACTTTGAGCCTGCTCTTAAAGAATCCAAAGGAAATCCTGATGCAGTATGCGTCCTTGCTCAGGTTCTATGGGCTCATGGTACCGAATCGTCTCGTTCTAAAGCACAGGATCTTCTTTTTGAGTGTGTGGAATCTCATCCGGACCACGTACAGTCTGTAATTCTTCTCGGAATCATAGCTCTATTCAACTCTGATACCGAAGGTATCGAAGCAGTAACTGCAGAACTACAAACTCTTCGCACCAATAGAAATATCACTAATGCAGAACAAGCTCGTGTTGGGGAAGTTCTTCGTTCCATCGCTGCATTTGCCGAGAAGGATTCGGAGCTCAAGGTCATGGCTGAGATACAGAAAGATGTAGTTCTTCATCCAGAATCAATGCACGGTTGGTCGAGATTGGCCAACCATTTTAGTGACCAAGAAGCCGCCGAGATGGCAGTATTGACGGCTAAAAAATCTGTACCTCCGCGTGGAACGCTAGCTGCTACGGATCTGGCCACCGCGTATGCGGGAACAGGAAAGGTTAGCGATGCTCAAAGAGGTATCATGGTTGCACCGTGGAAGAAAGATGCCTGGGAGGCTTTTAGTAACGGCATCTCTGTATAGTAGTAGTACGACTAGATCAGGTGTATGAGAATAGCATGATTAACGACCAAGTTAACGTTATTGACGTTAGCAAGAGAAGAGGTTCTGGTGTCTAGAGTACTACATCATATGTTAGATATGATATTCTTCAGATGCATAGAGGATAGAAATCAGAATACCACCACCTATAACCTCGCAGTTAATTCTTCTTCGCTGCTTGAATGCACTATGGTTATAAATTCCTGCGATCATCCATGTTTCTTAATGGTATATTATCCTCTCTTTTTTTCTTAATAACCCCTGCTCTTCTCAATGCCATGTAAAAAACGTATTCCTTCGCTTTCTAAAATAACTATCATATCAATTCGTGAATTACCGCTCCCCGGGGGGGCGGAGAGGGGGTTGAGGGTTTCCGCCTTCTCCCTCCGTCGGTTGTCAAGGTTGTCTTATAAAAGAGCTCTTTTGAGAGCTAGTTCTAATTATAATCTAAACATGTTTCTTAAAGTACAAAAAGCATAATCCTACAATCTAAAATGGGAGGATACGAATAATTGACGGTGAGCTTTTACCTTCGGTGACATGGGGAGTGAGCCCTAAAAATTATGGGAAACTTACCGGTGGGTGGTTTGTGGAAGTGAATCGAACTCAACTGATTGAAGCAAGCGCTTTTGTTAATTTATTTAACGTGGTGGGTTGGGATCTAGAGATTTTTGAGTTCTTGTGATTCTGAGAATTTTGGGATGGGGCCTGGGTGAATTGGTGGATTGGAGTGGGTGGTATGATTAGAAGGTTTAATCATAGAGTTAATAGAAATGTAAGATCTTATCTAGTAAAATTGGAACGCGAGATTAGAGTGATAGGCTCACGGTGTATAGATAGATGAAAGTATTTTAGATGAATTTTTTGGTTTGTGTTTTGTTTTGTGTTTTGTATTGTTTTTAATCTCTGAATTTTATATTTATCTTCTTGTTGACGATGGGGGATTGAGGGGAGGTTAGATACGCGATGATACTCTATCCTGAATCATTTCAAATAGGAATTAGATCGCTGTATAAAAGCTTCAGTATTAATAATTGTCCATGTATTAAATTTCTATGCAATTTCTTATAGGGTCCTTACTTAAAGATGTATTGTATTGATGAAGATTTTGCTAAAGACATCCTGAGGATGGTAGTTCCCATCTGAGGCTAAGTAAGATGCCAATGAATGATAATGCTGAGAATAAGAATCTTGCGCCAGAAGTCTGACGTCAGGTTGAGTGGAGAAAGATAGTTATTCGTATTAATTAGATGTATTGGTAGTAGTCTTTAGATATCGATAGGTTAAATTGAACACTATAAAAGCCGCAGAAAAAATTAGACTTATAGCAAAAGATCTTGTCAAAAGCATCGCGGAAAATAATTCTGGGACAGTGCTAGCGCAGATTCGAGATGAGATAGTAATAAAAGCTTGGGCGTGACAGAATAAATTTTGTTCTTTTAATCCAATCTATCGAGATAGATATTCGGGTTTCAATTTCCCAAGTTATGATAGGTTTATAGCTGATCTTTAGTAAAAGAGTCTTGTATGGAATCTGAAAGATCGTCATACAAATGTACTTTTGTTCTGAACTGTGGAGATGAGATAGATACAGAGTTCTATTCTTGTTCAAAATTATATTTGCAAATATACTGGGATGTTTAGAATTCTATGCTTAAACCTTCAGATATCTTTCAAGTTTTGATGATAGGTCGTCTTCTTGGAGAAACTTGCTAGATTCTTGGTTAGCCGGACTCTTTAAGTTCACTCAGGAATTTTGTCAGTTGTTGCCCTAAATAGGGTTTTGCACAAATCCTAATAGTAATTAGATGAATATTATTGGGGACTCAATAATAAAGAGAGAATAAATAGATATGAACTTCCAACTGATCTTGAAGGTCTGCTGGCTATCATCAAGAGGATGGAGATGGGGTATTATGGAAAATCTGGAGTAATTGAATGGATGGAATGGTTTCTTCCAATTTGGACAGAGAATTGTGTTTGAAACTTCAATATCAATGCAAAGAATTGATATATCTTAACTGAGATGAGTTTATGAAATAAGAATAGGTTTGGATATGAAATAGGGTCTATACTTCGATGTATCAACGATGTCGCAGGAAATCTAGGCTCTAATTCCAATTTCTGTGCGACAATTCCAAGTAATTTTATCCAACAGATCTAACATTACTATTTCCAATTTCAATTCCACGGACTATAGCATCTCAACCTCTCGGTCAATCTAAAATACCACTAGCTTTAATCTCAATTTCGGATTAAAAGACCCTCATTTTTTGGCCTATCTAATGTCCTTCAATAATTCAGATACCTGCACCTATTTCCAACACGCATATCACTACGAGCATGGCTGCCATCCACGCAATAGTAAGTGGAAACATTTGCGTAGGCGCACGATCATCATTATCCCCACCATTCGCACTTGTAACATTGCCTGTCACGTTTCCCATATTATTACCATGTTTTGTTGCTGTGAATGCGGATGATACTGAATTGCAATTATTAGTCCTAACAGTCATTAATACATTATCACCATCCACAGTTGTGAAAGTAATGGTTACGTAGAAGCTCTTCAGCAGACTAGCTTCTACAGCGATAGTATATTCGGACATCTTGACTGAGTTGTAGGAGTTGTAGAAATTATTAGCAGATTCTCAGAATGCCGATAGGGAGGAGTAGGAAGGATCTGGAGCTCCGTTCGAGAGTGTAGAGGCGAGTGGATTGCCGGGCTCGGCAAGCTTGGAGTACTGGTGGTAAGTGGTGATTCCCAGTGGTAGACATTGACTATGGCCCTGGAAACTGTGGTAGGGGTAAAAATACCAGCTTGGGTGTAAGACCAGGCTCGATGTGAGAGGTTGCTTCGGGGGACGATGGTGCTGTGGGTGGTGTCCTATCTCCAAGGATAAGAGAGCAGTACTTGCAATGGACTTGAGAGCCAGAGATAGAAACAGCGGGAGTGTCGAGATAGTGCTTGAAGTTGGTGTTGTTAGTAGGTCTGTAGGTTACTAGTACGTGACATTGATTATAATCGTTGAGTAGATAAAGTTCCCAGAGGATATGGGCAAAGAGAGGGGGAGAGAAAGAAGGAATGTTAGAGACATACCTAGAACACCAATCACTTCTGGTTGTGTCGGCTTTTATACCAATTTGATCCCATTGAACTGGGCCAAAATCCCAGGTGCTTCCTCTTTGTGGTTCAATTGCAAAGAGTGCCTAGAGATGGTTAGCCACCTCGAAGGCCACAGGGATGTAATTCAGCTACCTACTTTATTGAAAGGGCCTTGACCAGCAGGAGTCGCTTTTGATTCTTTCTATTAGTAAAATGCATCCTTGGACTATTACTTTATATGGCAAATGAGAGTGCGCCAAGCCACTTTCGATGTTCCTGGGGATCGAACACAGATCTATCAGAGAAATTTATTTCACCAGCCTGTATCCCAGCTTGGCCTCGTTCAACATTCCATGTAACATTATATACCCTGTTTATCTGCATTCGTCAATTCGTATTGAGTGGTAATGCGATCTCCAGGGTAAACTAAATTTCTGACAGCCTGTCTAAAATGCGTTTAAGTACTGACAAAGCTTAAGCGTACCTTGCTACGCCTTGTTAGCCTGTCAGTCTTCAGGTCTTTAGTTCGATAAAAGTCAGCTTTACCGCCACTTTACATGTTTTCCATAGAGTTCAATCGATTCCTTCGTTTTTTTCACAATGAATTGTGGGTAATAAAAGGTGGCGAAGTACATACGTGCAGCAAAACTCTAATCCAATGTAATACCACTCTCCAATACCTCCTTGGTTTGGGACCGCTGTTTGTATGATTTCTTGATTGTTCTGAAGGGAAGGCCATATAGCTTGAGCATTGCCTGGTATAACTGGTGCCCTTGACGCGGGAGGAACCACTTGAACACTTTGAAACTATGACGCATTAGCTTGCTCTAAAATGAGTGAATTCGTAATATTTCATGGCTAGCATACCTAAGTGACGGTCGCATTTGAATCGAGCGTAAGGTAAAAGAAACTCGCATTAATATCGGTCGGAGTTGCAGAAGCTGCAACTCCACTAAAAACACCCCAGACCAACAAGAATACTAACATGATCATAGTATGCAAGGGAGCCAAAAGCTTTGACAAGACGATGAACAAAATGAGCATGTAAATTGCAAAATCTATGAGAAGAACTTCTGCCAATCTCGAGCTATGTTGAAGAAGAAAGTGTGTTTGCATTGAATTTAACGTGATGAGAAGTAAGAAAGAAATGAGGAAATGATCACAAAGTAATGCTGAGAAACTTGATACAGGGTAAACCTATGTATCAAAGAGAGAATTAAAGATGCAAGTCCTTCTTTATGACTAGAAAAATCTCTATTAAAATAGATATCAATAATGGAAAAAATATTTCTAAAGGGGGATATCAGATGAAGTTATTCATCACTCGATCAGTATGATAAACGAATTTGTCTATACAGTACTTTGAGGGTAGATCACAGCTATTAAGCAGCAAATCAGCATGATTAAACAGCAAGTCCCTCATTAAAACTATTTATCGCAACTAAATATGTTTTAAACAAGATGAGGAGTTCTGTCGTTGAGGTTTCCAATCACAATGATCATGAGAAAATGTAAATTCCTTCTAGTATGAGGAAAAAGATGTACTCTGAATCTCAACAAGGAAACTCATTGGTATTGAACTATTACAATATATGGGGATAGTAAGGATTTTGCTTGTGATAAATTATCCATCAGAAAGGTCAGCAGTGGAATACCTCTCGTTTCGATATACAACGAAAGCTTCAAATTCCATCGGATAGGATGAGAAATAAGACATTTTTTGATACCAAAATGCAAGCAATAGAAAACTCCTCTCTTTAAAGAATCATTGTGGTTGGAGGCAAGAATCAAACGGTTGCAAATTGAATGCTGAATTGAAAAAAAATTAAAAAAATTAAACAAGATGTAGACACTGACCAAGGTAATCCTGTAGTCCAACTTACTTACAATTCCATACTACTATCCCTTATCAGCAGAATACCTCTCCTAGCGGTAACTCAGAGCTCGAGGCTTAATTCAACAATGCTTTTGCTGTTCAACGTGACCGAAACTGAGAACGTGTATAGCTTCCCAGAAAAGCTGAATCTAGCATTGAGAAGTAGAGATAGCGCTCAGGTCATTAATACCCTCAATCAAGAATAAGTAATCGATCGTTTAAAGTCAGGGCATTGAAAAACCCTTACTGAAACTGAAAAATAATACTGGTACCATAATTACAAATGAATAAACTCAAAATATGCTATAGTAGCCAAAAATATTTTCGTGTGTGATCAGACAGAAGTAGCTAGTGGCCGGGCAGTGTGCAACAGTACAGGGGTTCGGTAACTTAAGCGAGGAATTGCCTTCGAGGAAAACTACGAATTTCCAATGAGGATCATACATATGTTGATGCATGATTTTTTTCCGGAAATTTTTATTAGGAGCCTCTGAAGAACTATCTGATTTAGTTAGTAGCTCATTATAACAATCAAAAAGTATCAAACATGGTCATTCCGTTCTCCCGGAATCTCGAAATGACAAGTCACAATAATTTACAACACCTCCACGCCAAGATATACCTTCGGAAGATATTGTGCCCAAACTACCAAAGGATAAATGCTCTCGATCTTGGGTTTGTTTTATGCTAAAAAAAAAATATCTTTTTTTCGTATACAACGACAAATATAATTCGATCCTGCATTGCAAGCTTGAGGATGGATTTTAATAGAAGTAAGCAGCGCAGTACATTAATCCATATGGTGACGCATAGTTATTGTATTGGATATTATAAGAGTAATTGAAAGTAAATAGAGAGAGCTATCCAGCTCCTCCTTGGTTAGTATTTGTGTTACCTCTCATGCTTACACAGGAAAATATTTTAAACTATGGTTGTAGTTTTCCGTGATTGAGCATTATAGTAATAATAGAAACATGTCGTCGAGGTTTACGTTCAGATACCACCTTTAGAGCCGCAATCAATACTCCTTGCCACTTTCGGGCATTCTCGAAATATGTAGATCTGAAAATTGGCAGAGAATTTGTGCATACATGAACTTGAGTTATAATGCTGGCACCCGTGATTCTTCACCTACCGTGACTCTGGACTGCAGCTGTCAAGAACCTATGTCACCCTCCGAACAAAGCTGCCGTTAGCATTGCAAAGATATGGGTATTTCTTAAGCAAATATAAAGCCCAATGCCCTCAACACGCCACTTAATGTCGTTCGCCTCTCAATAATCACTATCATCGTAGAAATCCACGTTAGTCTTTTTCTCCAACAAGAATCGGCATCCTTCATTTATCTCGCTTATTCACCGCACCTGCCATTCTGGAATAGTACCTTACTAGTAATCGTAAAGTTGTTTTCTTATTAAGCTTGGTTACTTCAATCAATAGGCAATATTATCTGTTCCTTATAAGTCCCAGGAAGTTGCGATATCAGCCCTGAGTTTCTATCAGTTTTGCTGGATTGTAAATCTTTAAAGAATTATAAAATAGACAAATTATCATTTTAACAAAGTAAAAGACTCTAAGATCTTACACCCGGAGTAACAAAGGCCTACATTCAAAACTGAAAAGTTTTAAATAAAAAATGCTTAATCAATCTTGAAACGCGCTTTTAAGTACAAGGCTTAAAGTTTTAGAGTTTTTTATTGAAAATGCCCAAAATTTCCTGTTCTTATATTAGTTTGTTACAGGTGCATATAGTAATCTAGCCTTGTATCTAAAAGCATTTTTTTGTGAGGATTGATTATAAAGTCATTCTCCTCTTCCTCTTAGTCAGCCTAGCGTCTTGACTACGAGAGTGCAGTCCTTCACAAAGTTTCCCACTTGACACACTAGCTCACAGATATTATTGTTTCGAATTTAAGCCTTTCGATCTACCAACCATATCCAGGGCGTTTCACCTATAATTCTGCAAAGGAAAAAATTGAGCTTTTATATGCTCCTGATAATACTTTCTTACAAATAATTGAAACAAAGATGTTCAAAGCTTAAAAGTATATATTTATATTTCTTTTATAAATTGAGTTGAATTATAATCTTTATAAATTTAAAGATTTTTTATATATTTTTAAAAGAGAGACGAATTATAATATTTATTATATTGTTTTAATATAATAAGTATTCTTTAAGATTAATTATATTTATTATATAATTAATTAAAATTGTATTTTGACTAAATATATTATAATCTTATAAAATCTAAAATATATAATAAAACTATTTAATAATATATAATATTATTTCTAATAATGACCAATAGAAGATTATAAATAAAAACTTTTTAAATATTAATACATTCAACTTTCTCATCCTTTTTATATATATATATTTTTTTTAAAAAGTTATTCTAAATAGATTTCCCAAGTATAATCTTCTCTTTCATCAACGATATATATATTAATTATATGAATTCTTAAATTATTTAATTTAATATATAATTAAATTTGTTTTATTTTATTTTATCTCATTTTGTAATTCAGAAAGAAAATTCTTCTACATCAGATATTGATCTCGCAAATCATAAGTACAAAATAATTACTCAAAATCGACGAGCACGCATTTATAAACTTGTGAAAGGCAATTTTTTTTCATTCTGAGATTATCATTTATTTAAAAAAAAAAATTGTTGACATTTATAGTTGTTCTTTGAAAATGTGATTGAAGGGTTCGCGAACCTCTGTTTTAAGATGGGTTATTGGTCAAGAGAGTCCTGACAAACCCAATATCGTCGACATCCCTCTTTCATGCTAGTTGAATCTATTCATAGTATATTCGGGTTTGAGAATTTACAGCTGTTAGTGCCGTTTCACTCATGATCAATTATTTCACTCTAGCCTTTTTTGCAGCCGCATGAAATGCATATGATGGTTCATCGTTGATAGCATTGGCAATATCTAAAGCTTTGATATGCTTAGGAGAAATCATAAATGTGAACAGACTTTCCGGTGATATCGACGGGCCTTTGTGGCCTAAGGTTGGGTTAAGTCAGTTATACTGTGATCCTCAAAATACGGATAGCGTATGATTAGAGTCGAATGTCAGCTACCTGTGTGGTTGTCTTTTCAATTTTTTCTTTTGCAGTAAATGGATATTGAATCAGGGATACCAGATTTTTCATTCTGCTTTCCATGTCCTTTGTCAATGCTGGTAATAAGAGCGCATGGCTTTTCTAATCTTCCAAGTTAACCATACTATCATAGGTAGAAGATCGTTGACAGAACCTCCGTTTTAAGAAGCCACAGTGAAAGAGCGCAGCAGCTTAGAGCCACTAAATAATTATTAAGGACTGAAATTTTAAGATATATATTTGTTAATGAAGGCATAAAAAATGAGCGATAACTTGTAGAATATAAATATAAATATAATTCTTTAAATAAATCAATTCTAAATAATCATTATTAAAAACTACTAAAATATAATTAAATTAAAAAAAACTTTTAATATAAATTATTATATTCATTCATTGAACTTATAAAACAGATAGTCATTTATACTCGATCTCAATAACATTTAAAGTTTAAAGTTTATATTTGATAAATTAAAAAGAATAAAAATACTTTAAACCCTAATTCTAAACAAAACCCAAAATCTCAATCACTAAAGTAATCTTAAATCAAACTAAAGAATCATCAAAAAGTTCAAGATTATACAAGATGCCCAGCGAGAATAATCATAAATAAGCATCTAGGTATAAAAGTTCATAATTCATAATTCATTGATTCGTTTAAAGTATCTAACTATCTACAGTATAAGTATCTACCAATTTAAATATCTAGAAACCCATCTCATCTAGCAAAGACTCCCAAAACCTTCTTTTAAAATCCCCAAGTACATAAGAAAAAATAAACACCAGTACATATTATAATGCAGGTAGGTAGCAGAAGATAAAAAAATTCATGCGGCTTCTCATCTTAGTGAAAAACCTCCAGACAAGAATAATTGACCACAACAACAACGCCATCAACACCAACAACCACTTGAAGACAAATGGGATGAAGTGAGAAGTGAGTGAGTGAACAGAATGAATGAACGAACGAATGAATGAGTGAATAAAAGGCCTTGCCAATTTCCAATCTTCCGACTTCTTTTCTTTCTTTCCTCCTTGTGTTCCTCCTTCTGTATGTATTCAGTCTCTGTGGTCGACTGCATACATGTATATGTATATGCGTATGTATCGTGACATATCATCACATACATGACGACCTCATCGAAAAGACATCGATGCGATCCACCGAGCGAGTACTGTCTATCCTCGACAAACATCATAGTCTTAGTCCAAGTATCATATCATAACATATCATGACATGACACCACACCCCTATCCAATAAACACACCTCACACCGCACACGCCCCTCAAACAAACAACCCACTAACAGGAGGATAAACCTGTTCCTCCCAAATCTTCCTCTCAACACCCATACCCGCACTAACCCCACCCATACCCTCTCTTAAGCCCCTATCCCTCTTCTCCCTCGCCTCTCTCGCCCGCTCAATACTCTTCAAAATCCTCTCTCTGTCGCCCTTACTAGCCGCGATACGCGCAGAGATAGATACATGAAGACCATTTACGATAGGAGCGACGTGAGATTTGACATGAGATTTGTGGTGATAGAGTGATTTGGAGCTGGTTTGGAAGGGGATTTTGGATTGATGGTTGAAGCGGAGGATGTGGCGGGCGATGGAGGGAAGGGCTTCTGGAGCTGCTGCCATTTTGTATTTAGTTTTGAGGTTAAGGTGTTTGTTGTGTAATTGAATCGATGTAAGTGATATTGAAAAGGCTCAGTTAAGAGATCTTGTTGTGACGTGAGGTTGTTTTGTTGATGATGATTCGTGGACGGAATGGGAATCGGATAGTATGTATTGATGAGGTGAATTTAAAGTTTAAACTCGGGTCTGACTAATGATGAGGGGCAGATATGTAAGATGAAATCACTTTGATCTAAAATTCAAAAGAACAAAGCTTTATAAATTTTTATATTCGATATTCTGTGACTCCGGAACTCAAAGTAGAAATGAGGACTCCGTTCCAAAAGAGGAAATGCGGCGTAATGTGATGTGATGTAATGTTATATTCACGTGTAAGAATATGGGATCTTGGAAGACGAGGATGTAAATGTATCTAAGATGGATGTAATGAAGATAGATGATGAATCAATCAATCAACGAATTCTTTCCTTGGATACTTGAGGACTTGAGTCAATATATAGTATAAATGAAGTGGAGTGAATTGGAAGAGAAGAGAAGAGATGAAAGTGATGAGACTGTTAACTGTGACGGAAAAAATATGACAGGAGGAGGAAATTCGTCAGATATTTAAGCTAAAATTCATCAGCTATCCACCATATGCGATGCAACCCCGTTCCACCGCCAGCGTCAACCTCAAGTCACACCTCCAATCCACTACATCCACTCATCCGCTTCGGCCAACAAAAATGCCAAGACCCAAGATTAATGAAACGTTAAAATCCACTCGTCCGACACCAAAAAAATACAAAAAAATACTTACAAAAGTCTTGAGTCGTGCGATAACAAAACATCTTGGCTATGTCCAAGAAGTTATCCAAGCATCTGCACAAAACATCCAAGCAAAATCAAGAGAATTAATCCGTCTACGAATATCTTATCTGTTTGGATAAATCCATTTAATTTAGAGATCTCTTGGCATGATTAAGACGGGAGCGCCCGTTAGGACTAAAGGAGGGGATTTGCTGGGGGGAGGGTGAGGGATATAGATAAACTGTGGATATCGAGTAAGATGAAATAACAAGGGCTACCTGAGCCATTGCTTGAGGCTCCAAGAACTTTAAAACGGTCAAGACTTCATGAATGGCTAGACGTGATGCAACACGCCCCATTTGTTTCTATAGTGTGATAAGGAAAGAGGAGTAATAACGACTAACCAGAGCTTGTGCTTCACGATGTAACATCCCAAGGGTATCATGTCATATTTGAAATGTATCCTGTCATTAAGAAATCTACAGCTTTCTCAGCACATCCCTAGATTTCCGGGAGTTTCTGGCTCATCTGTCTCATATGTCATCCGCCTTACGCGACCGCAGATTCCCAACCCAACGCTGCTCAAAAAATACTTCAAATCCTCATTTCGAAAATGAGTGGACTTTAAACGCCATGAGAAAAATAAAACATGCTCGTAAAACGCTGCATCGACCAGTGCAACTTGAGTAGAAGATGAAAAAAAAGGTAAAGGGTACTCGCAGAGCCAAGGGAAGGAAGAAGAATCGAAGTTGGAATATCAAGTGCTTTTCATGATCATCATCTTCCTGAAAGTTGTGCCGTTCCTGCACACCATAAACCCTTTGTCGTTTCTGCAATTTTCCTGGTCTGCGCCTCGATCTGTGCTTCCGTTTGGCCATGACCAGAAGTTCTCTCCAAACCCCTCATAAAGTTTTCACGCTCGTCATTATTTGCACCGACGGTACCATACCCCGAATCAATGTCCGTGGCACTATCTCCATCCCCTGTTCCCATCCCACCTAACCCGGAGTCTTTACTAACCGTACTCAAAGGCTTAGCGCCACGTTCCGGATCCATAGATTTCGCACCATCCATCATGCCAGCCTGACCTTCGCGAAGTTTATTAATAGCGCGCACCGTATCGATAGCAGCGTGAAGAGTTCGTCTGGCATTGAAATTCTTCTTGACCACAGGAAGTAAATCGCTACCTTTACCATCTTTTGACACTGACTCTCCGGTGACGAAAGGATGTGACAATGCTTCGTGGGCAGTCATTCTTTGTGTAGGATCTATTGTAAGGCATTTCTTGATGAACTCTCGAGCTCCTCGACTTACACCTCGCCAATATTCAATAGGTGTGAAACTGTAATCGGCTATGAGAATAGCTTGCATTTCCTCCAAATTAGAATCTCTATCGAAGGGTGTATATCCACATAATAAGAAATACGTAATGACACCAATTGCCCATATATCTACTGGTTTTCCGTGGCCTGTCTTTTTAAAGATTTCAGGTGCCATGTAACCTGGGGTACCGCAAGTGGTGGTCAAAACGTGGAATTGTTCCTCGTCCATTATTCTGCTCAAACCAAAATCTGCAATCAATAAATCGGCATTATCTTCGGGGGTGCGAAACAATAAGTTTTCGGGTTTGAGATCCCTATGGACGATGCCATGATCGTGGAGGTAAGCTACAGCGGAAAGGGTTGCTCTGATGAGATCAGCAGCATCGGATTCAAAGTAAGAACCTTTTCGACAAATGCGATCGAATAATTCTCCACCTAGGGCCAAGTCGGTAACAAGATATAAATTATTGAGCGTTTCGAAGTAATCCACCAAGGTAAGGATGTTCTGATGTCCCATGGAAACACGTTTGAGTACAGCGATTTCATTCCGAACCTACCAGAGCCATGTCAGTATATTGGCCATGTGTCGATTGAGGGGTAAGGAAGGAATTACCATATGTTCTCTGCCTGCCATCAGTCTTTTATTAATGACCTTGGCGGCATAATATCTGCCAGTATCAATGTGCACACATTCTTTGACGACCGAGTATGATCCTGCGCCCAGCGTCTTTCCCGTCTTGTATCGACATGCTTGAACTTGAGGTTGAGGTCTCCCTTGGTGAGAAGGCGGGGGGTTTGATGAGCTCATTTTGTTATGCGGAGTAATAATGTGAGTATCATAAAAAAAAGCGCACAGTGGTAAAGAATGTGATGAATGAACCACTCCGTACGTATTACGGAAGATTTTCGGTCGGGACGTGCGATGAGTAAAGTTTTCTGAATAATTGAAGGATGATTATGGATGTGTGTGGATGGGGTGGGGTGGGGTGTGGATGGATGAGTGTGGGTGGGCGGGCGGATTCATTCTTTCAGGTTACGAGTATTGCGGCTGGATTGCGGGGTGGGGCAAAGGCAAGGCCAATGCAATGCTGAATAAGTTGGGCTTAGCTAGCAGATGGAGGATGTCTAACGGGGCAGCAAGCAAATCAATCAAATCCATCAAATCCATCAAATCCATCAAATCCCCTTGGACTCGGGAGTTTTCTACACAATTAATAAGCCTTCAAACCTTAAATCCGTGTCAAGGATTGGACTTCTTATACGAGCAGGGAGAAATGAATACGAGGCTGATACTTTTGATGATAGGAGGCCGAGAGTGAGATCAAGAGAAATATTAGATGAAGGGTTATCGGGTTATGGGGTTATCTATTTAATATCTATTTTCCAGTACTTGGAGGGTCGATCTTCTTTGGCAGCAAAATAATGTCGACATTAGGTCAGTGTAAGTGTAAGAATTTCACATGCCATAAGATCTTACCTTGCCTTGCTCCGTAGTTCTACCTAAGGCTATAGCTAAGGTAATAGTGTTGCGGGTAGGGAGGATCAGATCTTACATGCCGGGCTAGTTGACACTACCACTTCTGGCTGCTTAACACTACTACTTCTGGCTGCTTAACACTACTACTTCCGGCTGCTTACATTTCCGTTCCTCAGGCCGGTCTAATATGGTGTAATATTTCCATCCAGCCAAGAGAGAACTCAGCCATATTCATTTTCCGTGTGGATCTCGATTGGATATTTCCTGCTTCTTATTTGTCACAATAATATCAAACTATATTTAAGGTTCGTGGGGGCTTGCTTGTCTGATGTAGGTTGGGTACTGGGTACGTCCGACTTAGGGTAGTCCGGCTGTCCTAGACATTGTGGTCGAATTTTTCCATTTTTCTGTTTTGCTGTTTTTCTGTTTTTCTTACAAAGACCGGAAAAGCTCAGAACCTTCCGCCGGTCCTTCACTTCAGTCGGTCTTCAAGTACCGGTCGGATGTATAGTATATATACTGTCTAGGTATTAACAGCACGAGTAGGATATTCTAATTCATTATAACAGGCACGACTCCCATCATGCTCACCATTACCAAAAATCAATTCATTGGATTTATTTCCATCCTTCTTCACATGTTTGACTAGAATGTCCTTAGCTTCACCTGTCAAACGTCCTTTAACACGTGTCGCACGTGTGTGTGGGCTCATTTCTCATTTTTCGAACCCTGCCATCGGTACCAGAACCCAGCATTCATTCATTCAAACTCAATTACTCTCGCCCTCTATCAAACCTGGACCTACAAATTCATGCTATTTCCTTTCCCTTTGTTGAATCTGCACCTTTAACAATTCCCAAGTCCTAAAACCAGTTCGAAAAGTTCGGTTTCTACTTTATTTCATACTTGTAACTTGTCCATCATTTAACAGCATAAATATTATTAATAATGCTGCACGTATCGTAATTTGTCTCCATTTTTTGAACTCACTGCTCCACCCCATAAATACGCGTCGTCACAAATATACGAACCTCAGCATTTCTACCGGACATGATTTCCCAAAACTTAATAATTCTGCTTGCTAGGACTGCGCCTTGCCATAAATAAAAATCCACATAAATCGTAAGTCTCGACTGGGATTTTCGTCTTGTTGTTGTCATTATGTTCATGACGTTGAAATTCACTTAATATTGTCCTGCCCCTGCATCGCCCATTCTTTTTCTTCCTCAGCTTTTTTTCCCTTCGTTTCAAGTATACCCTCGTTTCGTACCTTTGATGTTGTATTTATTCTTTTATTTGCTTTCATCTCCCTTCCTAAGCAAGAATCCTACGCCAAGAACAGGTAATGGAAAATAATCACCAATCGAGCCCTTTAACGTTGAGAGATATGGATAACTCTGGTGTGGGATCGAGCGGTAGCGGCGGTAACCAAGGTGGAGACCAAGGAAGTTCTGGAAGTTCTGTAGGCCCAGATCAAAATAGTTATGCATCGAGTGGAAGTCAGGCGATAAGAGACTACAATGCTCAAATAACAACCGCTTATCAATCCACACCTACATCTGCATCTACACTCGAGAGTCCAACGAACTCGGCAATCCCAAGCTCTACTTCCTCTACGTCGGGCGGATCATCAAATGACCGAGCAGCAATAATAGGAGGCGTACTTGGAGGCGTCGGAGCATTATTGATCATATCTCTCATTGCTCTTTATCTATTGCAAAATAGGAAGACTAAAAAGGCCGCTGCTCAAAAGCGAGTTACTCAGCAAGTATCCTACAATAGATTAAACTCTTCATTTGCTGGTGTACCCTTTATCAAGAGGAATAGTCAAGCTAGTGACAATGAGATATCACCACCACCGATGGTTGCCGATACCTCATACCAAGGAGCACATATGAGAGGAGGACAATCAAGCTACCCTGATTTATCCAGTGATATGGAAACCGATCGATTCCTACCGAGTGACGAAGAATCTCAACAGAGAATGGCCGGCCGAGTCCATTCATCATTCGATCATCTCGCCACACCATCCATATCAGGAGATCCATTTACAGATCAAAATCGTCTTTCTCAAATATCAGGGAATACTGCTTCCCCTCCTAGACCAGGAAAACTCGTCCGACATGATACTATGGGATTTCCTCTCGACGACGACGATACCTCATATATCGGACCAGACGGTGAAGAGCACCGCCTCTCCAGAATAATGCACAGTCCTCGCGCCTCAGTTTTCGAACCCACCATCATGTCTCCCTCCCCAATCCGCCCCACCATCTCTCATGAAAATCTCGAACGAGGTTTTTCACAAAGCCAGGATCTAAATCAAAGTCGACCCATACCCCAACATCTCAATTCACTTTCCTCAAATTATGATAACCCAGAATTCGAGAATGAAGACAGTGATTTACCACCAATTCAATCATATGGAGGTCAACAAACTACGTCTCCTGTTCCTATGCAATCCGGTGCATGGATTGCTGCACATCATCCACATTTAGCTGCTGCTTTCTCTATGGGTGATGTACATAGGAATATGAGTACAAGAACTCAAAGCAGTTTTGCACCAAGTGTGATTAGTGATACGGAATTAGATAGACTGGGAGTGGGACAGAGGCCGTGAGGAGCAAGAAAATGAAAGTGGAAGAGGAATGATAATATGAATTTAATTTTATAGATTAGTGTGATGGATAGCATGGAAGGAAATGGAAATCGGTTGTAATGGATAGGATAGGGTAGGATGGGAAACGGAAGGAAGGAAGTGTAAAGACTTTTAATCGGGCGTTTGGGAGTACTTAAGCTTATTTGATATCCTAGTCCGGTCAGTGACAATGTGTTATTTTTAGTTTTATTTAATATTCTTTATTTATCTTTGTTATTTGTTTTTCTTTTCCTTTGAGAGCTTTTTCAAAAAATCTATTATATAATTATATTATTATCAATTATTTCACTATATATAAAAAACTACTCGAGTAGATATCAATGAATATTAATAAACACCTCTCTCTCTCTCTCTCTTTCTTGTCTAAATACACATACAAATTCTCACTAGATCTTATCCTGACGATAAATATCATGATTCCAAGTTCTTCTTTTTGCGATCTTGTAACTGTGTATTATATTATATAAAATCAAGATTCAAGAATTTATCAATTAGATTTATAGTTTCGGAGATAGAATATTATTTTTCCTAGGCGGTAGATAAGTTATTATAATAATAGGATATTGTTAAGGAATAATAATTATATATTAATAATTAAATCCTTGAATATAGATTGATTTAGATTATTTTTTATATGATTTTATATAAAATAAAGACTATATTTAAATTTAAATTAAAAGTATTTGTTAGATTTAGTTATTCACTAGCAAGTTATTTATTTATTTTATATATATAATCTTTATATTTTTATAAATAAATAAGTATTGAGTTTTTTCTTCCACTTAGTATTTTGAATTTTGCAATAGAAAGTATTTAAAGTTAAAGGTGATGGACTGAAGAAAAAGCTCCCAAGTGAGGATTTTTAATCATGTATAGATTCAATATTATATTTGTAAAGAGAGTTGATATATTGAGATATTAACCTGTTCTTTCATTGTAAGAGTTGAATTCTTGGTTCTAATGTATATGGAATATTAAATCAATATCAAGACTAGTACTTTGTAGATTGAGCATTGGTCTAATCGCACAAACGAAGTAAGTCTTACTATAAGAACACAGGGACATGCTGGTAGAACTAACTAATATTGTTAAGACTCGGGAGATTGGTGTAACATATTGCTGCGTAAGTACTCACAGTCTCACACCCTAATGACCCCGACAGACCTAAGTCTAACCTCAAATCACGGCACCAAAACTCGTCGGATCAGATAGTTATACAAGGAAAAGGTTTGAAAGTTCTTTTATATTTATTGCTATGTTATGTTATGTTATCAGGAAGGATTTGATGGGGGGGGTTTTTTTTCAAATCAGATAGTTGGATCAGCGAGGTGTGCAATGAAATACTTTGTGAGTATTCTTGTAATTACTGGTTGGTATTGGTGCATATTGGTGGACATCAGGCCATTCGACTTGATGAGAGATGTAACAAAATAACTCGAATGATCTTTATTTACTTCTAGACCTTAATGTGAAAAAAGACTAGACTATCAGACTCGTGATTTAGGGAGGGCTACCTCAACTTTGAGAAAGCTCAATGTAGATAGCTGCGTAAATTTAGGAAAAGGATGGAAATCGTTGAGGTGCCTGCCCATGTATACACATGAATCTTGAGGTTTGAGAACATAGAAGTAAATTGGTTGATTCTTGGTATTGAATACTTTTCCTTCCGAAGTCCAATATCTCATATAGAGTGACCTTCCTCCCATACTCCTGCCCAAACCAACGCCGTCAATAAATTTTACCCCTCCTATATATTATGAGGATGTGGCTTCAGCATTCCCACTCGCATGCACCTTCAAATCCTCCCGATTTATGTTACGCTCAATTCTTCCATTTCCGTAAATATGAAGCACTTATTCCAGCTTTCGAATTGTATGTTGCAATACTGTTTGAATACCTGAATCTAGCTCTTGTAATGCTAAAATTGCTTCAATCCATGCTTTTGTCTTCATTGATAATTGAGTCTTATCATTGGTATTCTCCATAGATTCCTTGAGGCGATTAAGTGCCGATCCAATGGCTACTGCAAATTCAGGAGATGCATGATCGATGCCAATTAAAGGTTGACGAATATAACAATTACATGTTGCGGGATCCTTAGGATATGATTCCAACATACTATCTAAAACATGTTGAAGAATCTTAGAAAGACATTTGACTTGAGTAAATGCTGCAAACATATCGAAGAAATCCTCCGCGGCGACAGATGAAAAGAATGGTTGCTTTTTAGCAACATCGAATATCGCAAGTGGGATGGCTCCATTGAGAGCTGGTGTGGTCATGGGGTCTTTTGCAGCTTCGGAATCTACTCCTACTCTTGCCATCATGCTTGGTTGCATTGTGTTATCCTTGAAATCTGGAATTGTAATCATATCCTGTGAGGTTGTGAAACCAGACTCCTCGGCTGTTTCTTCGATTTCCTTTGGCGCTTCGATAGTCCTGTCGATATCCAGACCAAGAATCCTCCTACGAATAGCAATCTTTGCCAAATAAATCATCTCCAATTTCGCATATTCAATCCATAAATCCTTGCTCCTGGTGCAGAATCGGGTTCCTCTCTGCATATAACTCCTCGCCTCATTCATATCCGCATCCAATTCCAATGCCCATTTTGCTGCATAGAGCCACAATTCCGGTTTCGTAGGATGTAGTCGAATTGCCGCCGTCAAAACCGTCTTGAATTTCTTTGTCGCTTTTGCTTGTCTTGCATATTCCAAATATGACATCCATAATGCGACATCGCCAGGATGTTTCTTCACACCTCTATCGAAAATACCGAATACACGCGCTTGACCAGCATGCGATGAGCTTCCTTTTATGCGCATTCGTTTACATCTTTTTTGACGAAGATGCTCAAGACTCATTTCCCATGCAGCATATCTAGCAAAATCGACGGCTTGTGAGCCTCTTACTAATACTCTATGTTCGAAGTCGGATCGCTTTTTGACCAATGTCTTAATTTCATCCTGAACACATTTTTTTTGTAAGTAACCCATCGCAAAGTAAAAAAAGCATATAAATTTAAGGCAGATGTAAACCAACCTTTGTAAATATTTTCTTTTGCTCGAATTCTTGTAATTGAGGAACGCCTTGTTCAAGATAAAATCTTGCTTTATCATTTGCGCCCGACATTGTTGAATATTAACTTATAATATGATGATGAACTCTCTCGACTTTCTTCGCCTTGGGGAAATCTTCAGAAATTCTTTGGGCGGTGAACTATCTTGGGGAGTTTCTGCCACACTAAGTTGTCGGACACCGGATTATATGATTTACCGAATTGCCGTTTGGGCAGAGCAGGGATCACGGCAGCGTCATTTTTACTTTTGTTTACCTGCACAATGAACTCTAACGCGCCACGAGTTGGGAACAGACAGCTTTGAAAGCTCCACCTTGACCATTTTACTAGGTACATACAGTAGGGCAGGTAAGATTATCTAATCAACCGAACGTCACGGAGATTTCGGACAGAAATTTTGATTCTGCTTGGTGCGGTGCTTGCTTTCTAGTTCTTGGTATGATCTTACTCCCCTTACCCTGGGAGTCTTTTGGGGGAAATCAGTCCAATCATTTGTTCAAATACACCTTGAACGGCATTTACGGCATTCGCGGCATTCACGGATTGATTATTCAACAATTCAATAAGCGCGCGTCCGCCCACCTACCTGTACCTTACATTAAACTCCGTTTTTGATTATATCTCATTTTTCTTCCCTCTTTCATCTCTCCGAATGTGAAAGATTACACTCATTTGGATGTGAATGTTCCATATACAAAGTGATTAAAATCACAGATGGCACCTAAATTCAAGGACGGAGACACCGTGATCGCTTTCTCAGCTAAATGGGTGTCATGGACTCATACTGCAGTCGCATATGGTAAGAACAATCTCACCATTTGTCTTGACTGTTTATGTTGAGATTTACTTACAATTATCAATAGCTGCCTTTATCAGCGCACTCATTGTTGGAGTTTCACTCCATTATCATAAAATCGTTCAAAATGAATATTATGGTTATCCAGATGAATGGTTCCCCTCGGTTTCCGCGACAATTGGGGATCGATATCCGGAACGTTCGTTTTTTATGGTCTTCATAGCTATTACTTCTGGTATGTAGCAGAAATCAAATCCATTGGAATTATGTGAAGCTTTTTAACATATCCTCTAGGCCCTAGATTTGCACTCGTTGGACTATGGTACCTTCTAACTGCGCGACCGAATGCGAAATTACCTAAATTCGTTGCTTTTGCTGGTGTTTTCCGTACTCTTACATGTGGTGGCTGGACTTATGTTACCTCCACGGACGATCACGATTGGCATGATATTTTCATGATTTCATATCTGGTGGCTACTTTGCCATGGACTTTAGGATGTTTAGCTTTAAGCCCGGATAATGCGCGAGCCGTCAAATATCGAAAATATCTTGCAGGATCTTTCTTTGGAACTTTGGTACCGTTGGTTTATTTCTTCATACAACATAAAGTCCACAGGGTTGCGGGAGGTAAGGAATTTCCGCCCAATCAGACGTCAAAATTTTGACTAATGGGATATCTAGCATACACAACATACGCTTTCTTCGAATGGGCTTTGATTTTGTTTGATGTGGCTTTCGATGCTGTTACAGCTCTCGATTTTGAAACTTTCGAATTGGTTGTGAAGGATGTTAAGGGCCAGTCTAAGGGGTACGTCCACTGGCTTCCAAAATAGTGTATAAATTTTTTGGTTGGTGACGTAACATCATTATGATCATGTCTAAATCAGTATCATTATTTAGAAAAGATAAGATGGTAGTTGATAAAGTACTTGAAAAAGAGTTTGTGAAATCTAGTTCCCCCTCTGATATATTTTAGCTAATCGGTAAGTAGAAAAGAAAAGGAAGTCGATCAGCTATTCGCTCAATCTTTTTCATGGTCTCAAGCATTTGATGCAGCAGCTGATGTTTATAATGGCGTAAGTATCGGCTATGGTAGAATTGGAGTTTTACTGAGATTTGTATAGTTCGTATTCTGGTCAATGTTGACTTCTTTGGGCATAGTCGTCTGGTGTAAGTATTTGAAAGGAGATTGATGAAATTTGCTAATCATATCAGACTTCCCTCTATGGCATATGGGTATATCAGGCTATGAAGTTATGGTTATGTGCACAGTTTCTCCATTGCTCTTAGGAATTAGGTCTATCCGAACATTGGTTGTAAAAAACCTTCGGATATGTCAACTCATATCCTTGACTGGATTATTCGCGTATCAGATCACGAGCCCAGCACCTAGACTTTTCATTGTCGGGTTCGGCCTTTGGATGTCATGTTTATCTTGGGCAGCTACTTGGTATGCATCAGCAGGACAGCCAGGTCGGCTTGAGTCGAAGATCTCAGCTTGGACCATTGGTCTCATCGCATCAAGTGTTGTCAAGTTTGCATTCCATACCAATAATCCTATATGGCCTACTTCACATACTGAAAATGGTGGTTTAAACGGTTATGGTCTCATAATCGCCATTCTAGCTGTTTTGCGATCGACACGACAAAGTCCAGCTACTGGAGTTCAACTTTCAATTCAAGGTCGTAAGGAGGGTCCATCGCTACTTGCTGGTCTTGGTATTGGAGGTCTTTTCTTTGCTCTGCATTCCTTGCTATCTGATTCTAGCACAATGATTCTTTGGGTCTGGGAAGGATACCCTATTCGTGGTCCAATCTCAGCACCCCATGGTGCCTGGACAATTGCCGCAATGGGAGTTGGTCTCATTCTAGGATTATCCAATGAATCTCTGGCTCGCAGCTGGACATCATACGGCATTGGTTGCGTAGGTGCTGCCATGCTTACTCTATATAGTCATTGGAAAGGCTATTATGGTGCTCTGGTTCTAACGATTTATCTCATGGCTGTATCTGTTCCACTGTTGGGATCAGCTGCAAGAAAGAGCCCAGCTAAAACGTTTGGAATTGGTTTCCTCGTATACAATTTCATGGTATTGTTCCATGTTTGGGTCGTGGCTTATGCTTTTGTTCCCGGTGGTCCTCTTGTTAGAGAACATACAGACTGGGTCATGACTGTCACGATGCTACTCATTGGTTGTGGCGTTTTCGCCACCTTCTCATCAACTCCCGCATCACAGCGAAAAAGACTTAACGCTTTATTAAATCAACGAAAGCAACGTTTATACTACCTCTATATCATCGCAGCCCTTCAACTCACATCTATTTCGACAGCATACATGCGATTTCCCACGTATGATTATGTCCCTTACCATAAGGATGAGAAAATATTCACCGCAGGTATTTGGACAATTCATTTCAGTCTAGACAATGACATGTGGTCATCCGAATATCGTATGCGAGATGTAATCAAAGAATTGGAAATCGACGTTATTGGACTTCTCGAATCAGATCTCCAACGTATTATCATGGGCAACCGTGATACAACTCAATTCCTCGCAGAAGATCTCGGCATGTACGTTGATTACGGGCCAGGTCCCAATAAACACACTTGGGGTTGTGCACTTCTCTCAAAATTCCCAATCCTCAATTCTACCCATCATCTACTTCCATCACCGGTAGGAGAATTAGCTCCGGCAATCGCAGCTACGCTAGACGTATACGGAAGCCCAATCGACGTTTTCGTTTTCCATTCAGGCCAAGAGGAAGACCCAGAAGATAGAAGACTCCAATCCGAATATTTAGCCGATCTGATGGGCGCCTCCACAAACCCTTCGATCCTTCTCTCTTATCTTGTCACCAAACCCCTCGAAGGAAATTATAACACCTATGTATCCGAAAGATCCGGTATGCATGATATTGATCCAAGTGATTGGGATAGATGGTGTGAATATATTCTTTATAAAGGACTTAGAAGATCTGCGTATGCAAGAGTTTCTAGAAGTACAATCACGGATACGGAATTACAAGTTGGTAAATTCATAGTTGGGGAGCCTGAGGGAGAAAGTGAGGAAGTGAGGAATAGGAGGATTGACGAGAAGGAGGTGGTGGTGGGGAAGAGATTTCCCGAGTTGTTTAAGGGAGATGGAGTTAGGGGGCATAGGTACCACGTATTTGATGAGCCGAGATATTACGGTTAGGTTTTTCATGTAGTATTATGCTTAGCCTGCAGGATGAGAATGAGAGACGAGAACGAGAGACGAAATGACGGGATTAATGAGTGGATGGGATGGAATGAAAAGTGTGTATAGGTACTAGCTATACATCGTTCTATATATATTTTTCTCTCTTGGATTTTTTCTCTATTTCTTTTTTTTAATCTTATATCCACATACAAGAGAGGTAGTGATGGGAGGAATATGAATGAAATACTTAAAAAATAATGTATTATTACTTTTTATTGATTTTGGATTTGAATTTGAATTATAATCGAAGTTTCGATCTAGAAAGATTTAATATTATATATAGCTCCTTCGAGGCCATTCGATCTTTCAATCACTAGTTGTAGATTCTAAGTAACAACTGAACCCTGGTTTTCCATCAGTTTAGTCAATATATATATTCAATTCTGCTAAGAATCAATTTTACAACAACAACTGTTGCAACCGTGCCGTGATTTATATTAGATATATGGTTAGTTCCTGATCCAATCATACCTTGTAATTAGAATCACGCAGACTTGGAACCCACGTTTCGTACTCCTCCTTTAAGTCAATGATCGGGGTGGTTTTAGTAGCTGAAATTAATTCTATTATGGGAGAAAGGGCTTTGCTCCCTCTATACATCCAACCAGGTGTCAGCGGGTGCATAAGCCAAAGAGCAAGAATCAGAATGGAGAGCGATATCGGTAACAAGTCTACGCAAACTTGATTTTGCTTTTGGAATACAAAAACAGAGCCCAGTTCCTGAACGGTTGTATTACGCAACAGCCATCCTACACAAGACTCTAAATCTTCCAAGTTAGAGTATTCCAGTTCTTCCAAAGAAATATTCCATCAAAATATCTTATCAAACCACCCACAATGCCACGTAAAGACATCGAGGTTAAAACTCACGACGATGTGACTCTTTGCGGTTGGCTGTACGCACCTGCGAGTGTCTCGGAAGACCAAAAGCTGCCAGTCATAATCATGTCTGCCGGCTGGGCGAGTCTCAAAGAAATGAGTCTAGATCAGTCTGCTGACGCATTTGTTGCAAAGCATCCTGTCGCTGCTCTTGTTCACGGCCATCGGAGCTGAGGTTCAGGCGATGCGGCCGCGGGTCAACCAGAGCATAAGATATTCCATATATTCAGATGTCCGACATGCAGAATACAATCACCTATGCACAAGGACTCCCAAAGATTGAAGCAGGCAAGATTGCCTTTTGGGGAAGCTCCTATAACGGAGGTCATGTTTCGCAAGTCACAGCCACTGAAAAGCGTATGAAAGCTGTCATCAGCCAAATAAGCTTTCTTCGATGTTGAAAAAATATTTTTAAAGTATAACTAATCTTTCTTTGAAGGCGTCCATGGTCAGCGGCTGGGAAACTCTCCTTCGCCTCATTCGTCCCGATCTTATGCCTAGCATCAACGCTATGTTCGCAGGCAACCGCCTCGCCAGAGCAGCAGGACAAGCTGTAGCTACAGTTTCTGTATCCGATGCAAACCCTCTGATCCCTTCTTCCCTGCCAAGCGCCGAAGCTTTCGCATTTTACACTGAGTTGGAGTTAAAGCTTGAAGGGAAGTGGAAGAATGAAAGTAACAGTTCGGAGTCTTGAAGCTAGCCGTTCATATGATCCTGCTCTATTCATTGAACGCATAGCATCTGTACCATTGCTTATGGTTGTTGCAAAAGAGGATGTCACCACGCCTGTTGATATCTCTCTAGCTGCTTATCAGAAGGCTCGTAAGCCTAAGCAGCTTGTGTTAATTCCGGGTGGGCACTTTGAGGTTTATTCAGATTCAAACTTTGCTCTTAGTTCTTTCAAGCAGGTTGAGTTCTTGCGCGAGAACTTTTTGTAATTAATGTGGGTGATTCGATACATTCAAGGCTGAGAAGGAAATAGGCTATGGAGATTGTTTAGGTCGCTTTATTCACAGATTCATTTCGTGCCTGTATATCTTGAAATTTTATAAATGACCTTAGCTTGCCAATTGAAATTTATTATGAACCCAATGTAATACAAAGAGCCATTGGGTGAGGTCAAAAGCAGCCGATAAACATTCTTTTGGAGAAACCCACAAAATCCAGTGAGGTTCCTCGGATTTACTGCAAACTCCGACGAAAGTTCTGTCAAACACAGTTCAGGACATCCATACTAGCAGAAGAGCCTACACGGTAAGTGAAATCTCTTCCACAGAGACTATCTATACCAGTATTCCCAGGAGCTTTCAGCACATACAAGTTTCGTTTCGGATCTATTCAACTATAAAAGACGATTTTCTTCATGTTGGTATCACTCCAGTGATACTACTCGCATAGTACTATTATATTATGTGTTGATTTTTGATTGTCATTAATAACTATGGAATATGGAGACCTATTCATATTGAAGAGGTAGGAACTAGGGCCCGCTTATTGTACGGTAATCACATGATGTACCGACACTTTACTAAAAAGAACAAGTTGAAATTTATTATATGATTTCCAGTCCAAATCACTCATTAGACTTTACTCCTTCTAACCCCTCAAGTTATCCTTCTAAAAGCCGGAAACATTTGTTCGGATTCTGATTTTGCGAACATCATATTCCACAAAGGCTTGGATAAATTGACTGGTGTTCTCATTGATAGAGGAACTGCTATTCTTAAAGTTTCTAACTACTACCTTGTCACGTGCTTTCACGTGCTCTCTAACATCATAGTACTCACTCGCTTACGTTTTTCCTTCTATCTTATCGATACCACGTGATCATATCGATCTTACCGCTCTTTACAAAAGCTCTATCTATCTAGCCTATATCCTTATCAGGATGATCGTCGGCTGGATAGTATATTAGATCTTATATATATGTAGCCCTTGATCAATAGGATCAAGGGCAAGTCTATTCATTTCAATACAACTATACATTCTTTTATGTATCATTTCTATCAAGATTGTTTTATGTACTTTGTGATCATAGTATCCGTGATATACCTCAATATACCTTTAATTAATGTCTATTTTTAGTTATATCTTAGTACAAACTTATCATATCACAACCGGAGAGTACTGTCAATCTTCTATATATATGCCGTCACAGACTTATAAATGATATTATTTTAACAGTGATTTTCTGTTAATAATAGACCATTCAAATTCCTAAAAAAATAAGTAATCTAATTATACGTTTAGTACAAGAGTACATAAGAAGTATAATGAGATTGATTTGAATATATATCTTTTTTTTCCTTATGAAACCTATAGCTATACACTGTAACGATCTGGTCGAGGCAGCGGCTGTTTGAGGTTCGTATGGTTGGTAGTTGTAGGTTAATGTAACGATCTGGTCGAGGCAGTGGCTGCCTTAGGTTTTCGTATGGTTGGTAGTTATAGGTTAAGGCTAATAATCATTGATTATCTACTCGAAGGTGAATATGTTATTAGATCAATTGGAATGTAGATAAACTAATTGATAATTAAATTGAATACAAAGCTCTTAAATTATAAAACTATTTTGATTATATATTAATAAATGTAAAGGAGCTTTATAGAACTTTAGAGCTTCAAAAAGCTTTTGGAGCTTTAGGAGTTTTCGAAGTTTTTAAAACTCTTTATTATATGATTAGGATTAGATTATATATTCGAGCTTGTTAAAAATAAGGAGATTATATAAAGCGATTATTATATAAATTTATATATAAATCGTTTTGCTTTTTGATAAGATCTAAGTTTATATAGATATATTAATTGTTATTCTTTAATATATCTTTATTTTAATTATAAATTATAACATTATTTTTTTCTTAATTAAATATTATCCTAATTGTTTATAATCCTTCAGATTTCATTTAATAATTAGTATTTTTTCTTTTTTTATATTTTATTTATTTCTTTTTTTTTGTTATAAATAATTCTGATTTTTTTAATAATTTAATTCAAAAAAAAAAAGGAATATATATATTTAGTTGTAATTATTGATTCTATTAATGTTGAAATGATTTCTTGTTTTTATTATTAATAAAAGAATTATTATTATATTAAAGATCTTTTTGATAAATATTGTTTATGTTATTCAGAATATATATAAAATTCTGTTTTATATAATATTGAGTTTTGTTTGGAAGATAATTGGGATTGTGAAATTCCTCGAAAGTATAATTGAAAGAATCTTGATCAATAAATCGATAAATTGGATATTGAAATTATTGAATCTTTTATTAAAATTATTTGTTTTATTAAATAGAAAATGTAATTCAAAAAACAATACAATAAAATATTATATTGCAAATTCAAATATCTTAATAAACTTGATATCTTCGAAAAAAAAGAACGAAAAGAAAAAAATAAAGAAATTCCTGTGATCTTTTTATTGTTTTTTAATCAATTTGATCAATTTGATTAATTTGATCAATTTGATCAATTAACCTTTAATCGATTTAGTTAATTATCAATTGACCTTATCAACTCTAACGAAATTCTTATAAACAAATTCGATTCTTTCGATTCTTCTTTACAAAAAACAATGAATTCCTTTTTCTTTTAAATAAATCCGGATTCTATCGATGAAACTCTTAGAACCTTTTCAAATATTTAATCTCTTTTTCAAGTTCTTATATATTTTCGAAATCAAAATAATCTTTTTATTTTATTAAATACTTGATTTTGCTTTTAATATATTTACAATTTAATATTTTCTTTATTTTATATTTGATATTTTGATTTGTAAATATGATTTCTATTTTAGAAGTTTTAAATATTTCTAGAAATACTAATTCGAATAAGGATATATAAAATATTGAATATATATTTATACTTTTCGATAATACTAATTTATAATTCAAAAGTCCTTTAATCTTCTTAATTTTGAATAATCCAAGTTTCTTATAATCCAATTTTGTATTAAATCTTTTTGTTTTAATATTTTTTCGAAATAAATAAATTTTATTTTTCTTTTTTAATATTGACTTTTGATTATATTTTTGATTATAATAATATATATTTCTTTCAATAATGAATTTCAATTTTATTATTATTTCCTTATAAATCTTTTTGAATCTTTCTATTTGTATTATTACAAACTGATTTTCTATTTCTATAATCCCTGATTTACAATATACAATTAATTTGTATTTATAATTAATATAATTCGAAATAATTTGTATTATTTCTGATATTGAATTGTTGTATACAAATTGTATTAAGAATAAAAGTTCTATTCAATTATTCTATTAATAATTTATATAATATCGAAAATAAACTTCAATAATTTGATTTATTCTTTTGTTTCCTTTATTAATTTGTAAATAGAATATAATAAACATTTTTCTTTTTATTCCTAATAATGTTATTAAAGTAATTCAAAATTTCGATATAAAAAGTTTATTCTTATCAAAAAGTATTTCCTTTAATAATCTATATACTATAATAATCTTTTTCAGAAATATAAAGATTAGTATTTTCATAATTAGTATTATCTAATATAATATAAATATTAGATATTTCGTTAATTTATTTATTATAATAAAAAAGTAATTATATATTATCTTTATTATTAAATCTTTAGATTTTGATAATGAATTTATAAAATCCTATAATATTGATTTCTATAATATAAATAGTATTTTAATGATATTTATTTATTTATAGAAAGTATAATAGGAAGTTTTATTCTTAATACAAATATTATATTCAATAATTATTTTTTTGATTATATTATAAAATCCTGGATTTCAATATTACTTTTTGATTCTTAAATGTATTCTTTGTATTCTTTGATATCTATAAATTGATAATATATATTATTCTGTGATATATTTAAAGATAATATTATTTGATAATTAAATTTTATTCTTTATTCGAAGTAATCTATCAATAATTATTGATAATTTCGATTATTTGATATCTTCTTTATTTTATTATATTTTTATAAGTTTATCTTTTTAAATCTTTATTGATTTATTTTCCATAATAACGATTTCTATTAGATTAAGAATAAAATCTTTATTTAATAAGGATTTCAAGATTGTTATCTTTTAATAGATTTTATTATTTTTGTAATTTGATAATTTGTTTAAAGTATTTGTTTTTGTATTATTCTTTTTTTTGATATATTTGATTATCAAATCAAATCCTATTAATTCTTTAATCTATTTAGCTAATCTATAATTATTCAAAATCTTAATGATAATAAAGGTTTGAAGATTTATATGATTAGTATAAATGATTATTGAGAATTTAATTCTTTGAAGATAGATCCTTCAATATTTCAATGTTTTTATAATAATTATAAATTCTTTTTTATAAATATTATAATTTTACTCTATTTTGTTTATTTTGTTTGAATAATAAATAATAAAATATAGTTTTTTATTATTGTCTTTTTGTAAATAAATTCTTGTTATATAAATATCAAAAGCATTTGTTTCGATGATATTTTCTTAATTATTATAATAATTATAAAGAATAAATTTCCTTGTAAATCTATTCTTGATTTTTTGAAAAACTTGTTCTATCTTTTTATTCTATATAAAAGTTATTCCTTTTTTGATTATTTCGATAAAGGATTCCATCATTTTCGAAAAGTTTTTTATAAATATTCGACAGAAATTAGCAAATCCTAATATAGATTATACATCTTTGATATTTTTAGATTTTTCTCAATTCTTTACTTTCTTTGTTTTCTTAGAATTTATATTCATTTATTCTAATTGAATAATATATCTTAGAAATATTATTTTTTGTATTTCAAACTTATATTTCGATAGTTTGAATCTTGAATCTATTTTTCTGAATACTTCGAATATTTTTAATATATATCTTTTATATTTCTTTTTTTTTTAAAAGAAGATTAGAATATCATTCAGATAATAGATTATAAATGAATTGAATTTTTTAAATATCTTATTGTTTTATTATTGATATATAATTAATATATTAGT